TTCGGAATTCATGCTGCCGCAGTGCATGAAATCCGCGCACTCGCTTTCGATTTTCTGTGTTGTGATTGAGTTGGGAAATGTTTTGGACATACAAAGCCTGAAGAATTTTAAGAAAAAGAGGGGCACCGTGTACGCACGAGGGGGCTGAACAAGTTGCCAGCCGCCTAGAGCGTGGAGAGCTGGCCACATGCGTGCCACAAGTGGCGGCGTGATCGCGAAAATACGTTCCAAGCGTGGCAAGCGCGGGGGCCCGTCACCACAGCAAGAGCAACGCAGACACGCTCCCGCGCCGCCGATTGCTCCGCTGCTGGCATAAGAAAGACACCACGCCCGTGGAGGCCCAGCGCGCCAGTAATGCACGCGGGGGACTGCTGCCACTCCCGCACGCCGGGGCAATGCGGCGCGCACCAGGGCCCAGACCCTGCACAAAGACCGCACCCCCCGACGTGTTGCACAGTGTGCAGCGTGAAAAATCCACCGGGAGGGACGATGGCCCGCAGTTCCATAGAACCACGCTCGCACTCTCCGCGTGTCCTGTCAAGCGGTCATGGCAATGCTACGCCTCTCAGCTTACTGCGCAAGGCTAGCGCGCAGAGTTTCAGCTCCATTGCGTTCTGGAGCGCCGGAGATGGCGACCACGAAAGCGCTGGCGTTCCCTTGTGTGCTGCGTAGTTCTCAGGCGGCGGGCATGGCCGAACCGCAGTGCGCCGCGCATTGTTCGCCGAGTGCAGCAAAACCGCCCCACTATGGCTGCATAGGCTCCGCTCCACTAGCGCCGCCGCATGGCGTCGCATTGCTTCTTCGCAGGGGCGAAAGTCGAAGGCGCCAGGGCGCCACACAAGAACGCAGCAAAAGGCAAAAAATTTGCAGCGGCGCGCAGCAACGTCAACGAGAAGAGAAGCGGGCAACACTTTCGCCGAGGCTTTCTTGGATGACGATATCCGCGTGCTCGTCAAATGAAGCCGAACTCTATTTGTGACGTTACAGAGGGCAAAATATTCGAATGTTTTTAAATATTCACAAAAAGAAGATGAAAAAGAAAAAGAACGCCGCAGCGTCTCCGACAAAAATCGCCACAAAGCTTTCCCGGCTCTCCTTATCGGTTTCGCTTCCTCATATTCTTCCAAAAGATTGGCCACAAACGGGGGGCCTCATCGGTCTCCGCGTGGCGGCGCTTCGATGAAACCTTGCGCGACACTTTGCGGCACGCTGCGACGTTTTTTGTCGCAAATAGGAAAAAGGCCAAAGCATATAACAACGAAAAAGCCGCGAAAGCTTTCGCAAAAAATCTGCCAAGCTGTTGACCGCTTTGCGAGTCCCTTAGCCGTTTCGAATTCGCGAAATGTCCTCCCTTAATGGTTTCGACTTTCGTGCGGGTATCGGTTTCGAGGGGAAACCAAACCAGACCCAAACCAGACCCAAACCAGACCCAAACCAGACCCAAACCAGACCCAAACCAGACCCAAACCAGACCCAAACCAGACCCAAACCAAACCCAAACTCAAACCCAAACCCAAACCCAAACCAAGCCCCAAACCAAGCCCCAAACCAAGCCCCGAACCAAGCCCCGAACCAAGCTCCGAACCAAGCCCCGAACCAAGCCCCGAACTAAGCCCCAAACCAGGCCCCAAACCAAGCCCCAAACCAAGCCCCAAACCAAGCCCCAAACCAAGTCCCAAAACCCAAACCAAAACCCACACCCAAACCCAAGCCAAAACCCAAACGAAAACCCAAACCAAAGGAACGCAAGCCAAACCCAAACCAAACGCAAACCCAAGCCAAACTTCAACCAGGCCCCAACGAAACCCCAACCAAACTCCAGCCAAACTCCAACCAAACCCCAACCAAACTCCCAACAAACTCCCAACAAACTCCCAGCAAACTCCCACCAAACTCCAACCAAACTCCAACCAAACTCCAACCAAACTCCAACCAAACTCAAGCCCAAACTGAACCGGGAACCAAACCAAACGCAAACCAAACCGAACCCAAACCCGGGCCAAGCTTAGACGTGGGCCGAACTCATTCCAACCAAACCCAAGCAAGACGCAGACCAAACCCACACCGGGCCCCGCTCGCCAGGCCTCGGCCCAGGCGCTTGCCGAAGCCAAACCCAAACGCAAACCGACCAAACCCGACGGAAGGCCGCCCGACCTCAAACCAAACAGGCGAGCCCAAAGCCCGCTCGGAGCTCGAAGCAAGGCCGAAACTCGCAGCATGCTCGAAACCCGGGCCAAGCCTGGCGCTCACGCTGAGCGTGAGACCCAAACTGGGCAGGCGGCGACGCGCTGCGCGTGCGTCTTCTTTGCTCTTCCCTCTTCTTTTTCTTGGGTTTTCTGCACCGCAGGGAGCCCGCTGCCAGCAGCCACCGCGGCGCGCCCCTGAATCTCGAGGGGCGAGAGTGAAGCGGGAAGAAGAACAAGAGAGGCAAAGGGAGAGGCTTGGGCGGGGCATGGTATGGCGATGGATGTTGCGGCTTTGGCTGCGCGTGGTCCTTCAGTGCTGACCTGGTCAACACGGTCCCGCCTGTGTTGCCTTTGTCTTCTCTTTTGTTTCCTCCTCGTTTTCCTCTCTTCCAGGAGATTCGAGGGCGCGCTGCGGTGGCTGGTGGCTGGCTACACTGCGCGGGCAGTGTGTCCGCCTCGGTCTTCTTCGTGCTTGGTTCGCTCCCGAGATTCGAGGGCGCCCCGCGGTGGCTGGCGGTGGGTTATGAGGCGAGTGCAGTGCGCTGCCCGTCTTTGTCTTTCAGAAAGCTCCGGCGGGGTTCTGGACTGCTTCAAGACCAGGAGCCCCGCCTGGGGTCGGGAAGCTCTCTCGACTAGAACCCACACGCGGCCGGGGTCGGTCGTGGTTTCAGGGGAGGCGGATCTCTCTCCCCAACGAAATGAAGCCGCGGGGGGTCTTGTCGGTGAGGGGTCGAAATTGTCCGAATTTGATCAATCTGAGACGCCCGAAGTGCCGCCAGAATAAAGAGAAAACGATGACGGGCGTGGGACTGCTTCGGGACCGCGGGCCCCTCTGGAGTCGCCCCGACACCTTTGCGGCAGCCCGGTCGAGGCTCATGGGTGAGCCTTCTCCAAGCTTCTCGGAAAGCCTGGGAGGCTGGGGCAGAGCCCGGCGGAACCGCCTCGCAAAGCCTCCAGCAGGTTCGCAAGAGGTCGCCACCGAAGCCTTGCGCGGGGCTACATTCTTAAACGCCGCCGGGCCGGGGTACCCTCGCCCGGCGTTTAAGTTCCTAGCCCGAGCAGGTTCCTTTTAGTTACTGGCGCTTCGTGGTTTTTGCCCGTCTTTTAATTTTTTTGGTTTGCTTGCATTTTTGTGAGATTCTCGAGGCTTTTCCCATCATTTTGGAAAAGTTTGGTGTCTCTCAAAACTGACCCAAAAGCCTCCAGGAATTGCAAAAAGTTACGTTTTTGGAAAAGTTTCCTGCCAACGTCGCCACGCAAAAAAAAAAAATGTTGGCGAGAGGAATCGCGCTTAGGTTGGTTTTTTTCGCCGAGCAACGACTGGCGGGCACGGGTACCCCACAAACGCGCCGAAGCCCCACTAGATTTGCCGCCCTCTATGGCGGTCTACGGGAAAACTCAGGGGATTAGGCTTCCCGCTTGGATCCTAGTCGCTGTGGGCTTCGCAGCCGCACCAGACTCCCGCCGCCGATAAGATAACCAGGAAAGTAGTAGGGACTGTTGTCCACCTGTTCCCCGATCACACCACAGCCCCACCACACTCCTTCGCCACGCACTAGCCGTCCCCGCCTCTAAGGATTTCGGCTGCGCCAGTTTTCCTCGGCGCCAGCCCGTCCACCTTTGAATTTCACTGCCACCACGCCTCATTTCCGAATGAGACTCCCTTCCGGCAGCTGACGACAAAGAGACTGAAAAGCCCGCAGCCTTCCTCTCGCACCGGTGATACCCCTGTTTTTGGTAACAGGGTTACTTGAGCTTGCACGATTTGCTCTTTTTTTATTGTAAGCGCACCTGAGACATCTGTGATGTGTATAAGAGTGGAGCATTTTTACCAGATTGTAATCGCGGCCCCCCACTGCAAAGAATAGTTCGTGCATTAGATATTGCGTGAAGGTAATTCACTCACACAGGATAAAAAAAAATTATGACACCGGTAGGCGAGACCCGAGCGAGCGAGAGCGAGTGCGAGACTCAGTAAGTTCATGAGAGTTCTTTCGAACCCCGGTAGACTCCCTTCGATAATGTAGCATTATGGGACTTTGTGTTCGCTCTGAGAGACGAGTAAGAATGAAATTCTTTCCAGGGCCTACGTACAAGTCGTCCTTTGTTGTGATTCATTTTCATGCCGCAGCTACTTATTGGCACGTTGCTTAGTCCTATTTTGGTCGACTTCGTTATTTTGAATCTTGGTTCGGGTTTTGGGCGATCTATAATTCGATCTCAGGATATTCACTGCTACCCTCCCTAGCGAAGATAGAGGACCCATGTACAAGAAGCCTTTCCATGTTGGAGTTTTATCACGCATGCCGCCACCCCCTGATCAATATTTTCGTTCTTTGTAGTGACGCCCCGTATTGGTTAAACAAAGCTAGCTTGACTACATCAAAGCGATTGCACTGATGCTGATTCCTGTGTCGCGAAGACATCTGTTTATATGAGAATCGAATGGCCGCTGCCGCTGATGCACACATAGCAAGTATAGTTCAGAAAATGGTGGTCTTCGTAGGTTCATTTTTCATCTGTGGTTGAGAATACACTAGCGTGCTGGCCAGGTCATGGATCTGGAGCCATCATCCAGCTTTCGTGCTTGTGCATATGAGGAAGCAAGGTTTAGGCGTCATGATCATGCAGCACGAACAAGAACTAAACACTGCGTCGTCGAATGCTAACCCGTGCTTGCCTGGCGACGTCATGCTGTGTCGAGGTGGCCAGAGGATGTGCGGAGACGGAAGCTACACTGCGTCAGCTGCAGCATCGTTCTCGCGAAAACCTGCTCGAGGTTTAGCAGGCTGTGCCAGGCGGGCAAAGATTTCTTCTGGTCAAAGACATCTTGGCTTCTGGTGGACCGCTTTGGTTACGACCGCAATCACTTCCACGACTGTGGGTGTGGAAGGAAAAGAAGAACAAAAAAGCGAGACGTTTGGATCGGGAGCTGCAGCGTTGGGATCGTCGATAAAAAATGCAAAGATGGTCCGTGTGCTTGTCGTGTTAGACGGCGACGAAATAATGGAAACGGGATTACGCGGTTACAACAACCGACGAGCCCGCCTTCGTTCTCCGGCAGATGCTGCGCAGAAGACAGAAACAAGAGCAAATGTAGAAGTAGATGAACACGAAAGGGTGCATGACCAGCTCAGCACGAGGCCTGCGGGCAAGCCTGAGATTACAACCACATCTTCAAGAACGAGCAAGTTGCGAAATGCAATACGGCAACTGCAGAAAACTGGGCCCTCAAGAACTCCCGCGGCTTCTATAAACAACTTCTCCCAACAAAATACTTTGCAAAAAACTTCAGGAGAAAAGTCAAACTTTACCAAGAGGCAGAAGGAACTTTTTCGCGCACGGGTGTTGGGGATAAAAAAACCTCAGGTCAACTATTTTTCCGGGGAACTACGAGAGTACTGTAACTTATGGCTCTCTTAACATTTAATGTACCGTATCAAAAATTAATTCATTTTTTCTACAAAGCTTTTATTATTTCAACCATTCTATATAGATATAGCTTTGCAACGCTCAGGAGACAGTGTTGACAAAGCAGCATGCTTGCAGACAACAGAGGAAATGAATCAGGAATTAGCACGACAGAGCCATCCACAGTTCTAAGTCTGAGTGGCAAGGCGGGCAAATGCTCCTTCGTGAATAAATCAGGGAAAAGTGTTGGACTTGGGCAAGTCCAACATTCAGGATCAATAGACGAGCAATTCATGTTCTCGTCTAGAGAACGAAGCCTCGCGGAAAGTTTATTTGCTGGCACGTTGGGGAGACAGCTGGCGCCCTACTCCCCGAAACAGTGCTCAGATCACGCCGCCTGTGGCGCGAACCACTACTGCATGAGCTGCGAAAAGTGCCGCACGCGAACCGGATCTCCGGACTGCGCAGGCGATTGCCCTAAGCCTGAGTCTAGTGGAACAAGCAGTACAGGTATTTGCAAGCCCGCCGTGTTGTGTCAACGGCACCAGGATTTTCTAGGGTCGGGATGCCCGACTTCGGTCCAAGGTTGTACCACGGATTCCGACTGCAACCAATACGGAGGAGCGGCTTCGACGGCCTGGCGCGATCAAGAGGAGTACTGCTACGACTGTACCAAGTGCGAGCAGTATAAGGCACTCCATCCGACACATAGTTGTGGGCCCTGTGAATTAAATCTGCCGGGAAAAAATTCCTTCTGTCGGTCTCTCCGCGATTGTGCAGATGCTAGGGATGCGGTTGCCGGATCGTGTCCGCAAGCAGAAGGCTGCCGAAGTCACGCAGACTGTGGCGCAAACGCATACTGTCGTGACTGCGACAAGTGTCTCGCGAGGAATGACCCCGCATATTGTGCAAGACACGTTTGTCCTACGCAAGGTAAGCTCCTTCTCTTGTTCTGCGACTGACGTAGTTAAGAAGTTTTTTAACAACATCTCGACGCTCTTTTCTTGAGTTGCAATTTGTAATGGCGCTCCTCGACGAACATACGTAGGAATTTGTAGTCGTTCATTCAAAATCTGAAAGTCATCAGGACTAGTGATGACAATGACGCACTCAAGCCCATAACTGCACTAGGTGGCGGATATTGCTACCATCAGCTCTCCGCTTGCGAGACATTTGCGGATGGGATCGGTGGCTCCTGCGTGCGCGCTATGGGTTGTAACGCTCATACTGATTGCGAGGATGGCCACTACTGCATGTCATGTGCAAAGTGTCAGGCATATCATGATATTATGAAGACCGAAAGTCAAAATTGGAGATGGTTAATATGCTCTTATTCAGGAGCGTGTTTGACTTTTCGAACATTAGCTACTGAAAACGATTTTTTTTGAAGAGAGTTATAGCATTCTGATAATTTTTCCAGACAAACTGCAATAGGTCACTCTATATCGATATCAGCGCCATCAGGAACAGCCGAAAGACCACCGACAACCCAGCAACAAGCTAAGCCGGCGGGTAGCTCCTAGGCAGACTGCCGCATAAATTCACAGCGTCGAGCACTTCCGTTGATCAAAGCGTACTGCTAGTGTGATCTGAAGGATTTTTCTAATGAATGTCTGCCGGCAGATCGTCGCGACACGTGGCACTGCGATCCTTGTCCGACGAGCACGGGTGGTAGTTGCGAGGCCTCTCGTTGGTGCGGTGTGGCCGACGACGGGGTTTCGGCGTGTCCGAGTTTCAAAGGGTGCAGCCAAGAGAGCGACTGCGGGGCCGCAGAGTTCTGTCTTGACTATGAGGCGTGTGTAGGCGAACTGAGCGCAGCGGACTGCGGCACCAAGCCCGATAAAGGAGGCTTCTGTCTCGACCACGACTACTGCACGGCGTCACGGATTCTCGGTAGCGGTTCCTGCGCGGTGGAATGCGACAGCAACACAGACTGCGCAGGCGGCGACTTCTGCGCCGATTACGCAGACTGTGTCAAGTTGCGCGGCCGCAGCTACTGCGGACCGGCTCCGAGCTCGAAGAAAGGCGTCTGCATGCCGCAAGAGCACTGTGAACGGGGATTGCATCGCCCGCTCTCAGGAGAATGTCCCGATGCGAGAAAGTAATTCTAAAATTTTGATCTTGCTAGAATTAAAGGTGAACAAAAACACAAGTATATGTTTCCAGATGTGATCATGATCAACATGTTCAATAATGGTAAACGACCGTGGGTTGGAACAGGTACAACTTCGAAAACCCACGAAATATTGTTTCGTTGAGTGACGCGACACGCAACTTCGCAATTCATCACCAAGCGTTTAACGTATGGCACAATCCGGAAACGGATGCGGAAAATGAAGAGTATCTCGTGGCGCAGACGCATGACGATGGCGACTACATGAAACGGCGAGACGACAAAGAGTACGTGCACATGTGGAAAGTGAAAGGGGATCGGACGGTGGAGGAAGTCAAGGTCTGGCAAACTAGTTGCGGTTCTCTCGAAGTGATCGTGCCAGCGCGAGGTCCCTATGTCTACGAAGCGAGAATAAGTATGGAACTAGGAGCGTCGAACGGTGGCATAGCGGAATGCAGCTGCATCCAGAGCGGCTACCCTTGGAGTAGCGAGGGTATATTCATTTGCAGTAAATGGTGCACCAGAGAAAAACTTCACTATCTTATGGATCAATTTGCTGCATCAGAAATTGCGTGAGTTCATTCTATAACGTTTGGTGTAAGGACGAGATCTACTCAGTTCAGACATTTGAGAAGCTGACGATACGCAATTGGAACCTGACGATAAGTTTTTTCCCATCTTCACACAGGCGTTTGCCCCCGCGGAGTTGAGACAAAGGTAGGTAGCAATGCGGGGGAGTATCTTCCTTTGGACACGTCGCAGCAAATTTCATTTGTTTCAATGGAGAATCTTTTCATCGTAGATTTGAAGCAGACATTGTACTCGCTAGACCGTGAGGTGTCGGGTCTTGCTATTTTTGTGCCGGACAGCGGTTGCCCGACTGTGCCAGGCGCAGCAGAGAGTAACCCCTTTCACCCGTCGCAGTCGGCCTCGCTGAGTCTAGTCCAGCTGTCGCTCTACACTGACAACAACGTTCCGAAAATGGCAGGCGTTGCGGGGAAATTCTGCGTGGCCAAGCGCGACTCCGCGTGCGGCGTCTCAGTGAAGTACAGACACTGCCTCTATTCGGGCGGCAAGGGCTTGCTGATCTATCTGCATGACGACAGCACAGAGGGCGCCGCGGCGGACGATCTGCATGTCGGCGTCCAGCTCTTCTCGGCCGAACGGTCCCGAACGGATCTGATTCCAGCGATTATGGTATCGCATTTTTCTACGTCGATTAAAAGCGCGATCACAGCTGGTACACTCAATTTGCGAGTAGGCCCGAGCGTGGGAGGTTCGAGTATGACTGAAGCGGCGGCTGCGTCCCCCGGGGGCGTGCGCGTGGTGGAGGCCGCGACGGGGAAGGAGCAAGCTCACCACAAACTCTTCGGGGCAGTGACCTACATGGAGCCAAGCGAAATTCGGTACCTCACCTTGATCTCATAAACGGTCGCTTTTAATGAAGAGAAATTATTCAAGGCAAGAAAGCACTAGTGCAACAAGTACATAGTGGGAGATCAAAAAGTCTTGAATTAGAAGTAGGAGGATGGAAATAGTATGATCGAATTTGAGTGCTCGTGAGTCTCGTCCTACACGGGACCGCGAGACCACAAGGGGGCAGCCACTTAGTATCTCGTGATGCACTTGAGTGAACAGCACGCTTTTGTCTCTCGAGGCGCTTAAGCGCCCTTAAGCGCCTCACGAGGCTGTTGAGGGCAAGTCCGTGAAGTGCCTCACGAGGCTGTTGAGGGCAAGTCCGTTGAGTGCCTCGTGAGGCAGTTAAGGGGAGTCCGTTAAGTGCCTCGTGAGGCAGCTCAGGTCGAGTCCGTTAAGTGCCTCGTGTGGCAGGTAAGATCGATTCCATTACGTGTCTCACGAGGCAGTTAAGGGTGAGTCCGTTAGGTGACTCACGAGGCGTGTAAGGACGAGTCCGCTAGGTGCCTCGCGACGCACCTAAAGAGTGGTCCGTTGGGTGCCCGCTGGTGGAGCTCAAAGGAAATCCCCTTATGTGCTGCGCGAAACACTTAAAGAAGCACTTAAGGGGCAGCGCCTTATCGGTTTCATTCTGTGCTTGAGGGGCAGCTCCATAACGGTTTCGCGCAGCACTTAATGGCGAGACCCTTAACGGTTTCGCGCAGCACTTAATGGCGAGACCCTTAATGGTTTCGCGCAGCACTTAAGAGGGGTCCTCCCTTAACGGTTTGGCGCAGCACTTAGTGGCGAGACCCTTCTCGGTTTCGCGTAGTACTTACAAGGGCTCGCTTAAGCGGTGACTGTCACTACTTACGCGAAGTGTGCTGGTCACCACATGCGTAGGCACCTTAAGCGGTGACTGTCACTACTTTAGCGAAGCGTGCTGTTCACCATATGCGTATGAACTTGCTTACCCGGTGGCTGTCACTATTTAAGCGAAGCGTGCTGCTCACAGCATGCGTGCGAACTCGCTTAAGCGGTGGCTGTCATTACCTGAAGGGCGGCCCCCCTAGTCAGGCGCGTCGAGCAGCGATGAACGGGCGCCAGTCACCGGTTAGGAGATACGCGCGATTAAGTGAGTCTGTAGCTCCCAGACGATTATCAATGATTCGGTCGACGATTTCAAAAAGATTGAAGACTTCGAAATCGAGAACAAGTATCTATAGTAAACGTTTCTACTCATTCCAGGAACGTCCTGTTCGTTTGCACAGACGTGTACAACACTACGACGACGCATGCCTCGGAAGTCCAGCCTAACTTCGAGGTTTTGAAACAGGTTCGCGTCTTCGACACAGGTTCGATGGACAGCACGATGACAGAGTACAAACCCCGCAAGGGTTCGGTACGCGCGAGTTGCGAAGACAGCAAGTACCGAGATTATCACGTGGTAGATTTCAAACGAGGAGATCGTTATTACAGCAGCTTCATTAACCACCACCAAGGCAACAAAATCGAGGTGTATGATACCACCGACTTGACGGATTGGAAAATCATGAAAGAAGTACATGCCGACTGGGAGGACGAAAACAGTGGGCTGGGCGCGCTGACCACGAACGCGGATGGCAGCGTCCACATTTTAACTTGGCACTGTGCGCTTTACGCTTGCGAGGGAAGCACGGGCTCAGAACTCTATCTCCTAGACAGTAGCCACCCGCCAAACCGGCCACTGCAAGGTGGAAAATGGGACTCCACACAAGCGGAAGTTACGGCATGGGTCCAGTTCATGTCGATCCATAGCGTCCTTAGGCTCCCCATCCAAAGTGGAGCGGAAGGTATTTCATAGTATGCTGATCACGCCGTCGATCATATACACAGATTTGTTGTTTCAGGACGGTAAAAAATCATCGATATAATTTGAAGAAACTTTGATACGCCGCGGAGCGTTATCGCACATTGCTTCTATATCTCTTTTTGTTTTGTGAGGCGGGCATCTCGATCTTCTGTGAAAATAATTAGTCTGCTACCTGCAAACATTATATTTGGCCATCATAGGAAAATTTTTTCTTCAGGTCGTGACGTCGCGTGCAGCAAAGAGAATATTTGTTTAGTAAGCATGAACACAGACGGGTTCGTAGTGTACGACGTAGGCAGCTACGATGTTGCTTCCGGACTGCACTCTGCGCCTCGCAAAATCGCAGAGCATTCGTCCACCTTCAAACAGAGTAACATTCCCACGACTTACAAACGCAGTGCGGGCGCGCAGAAAGTGTTTGCGAGTCGGATACGAGGAGACCGATTTTACCTGGAGCATAGCAGCATCGAGCTGGGCGTCTCTGTGGGCACGTCGGCCACGGACGTGGCGAGGAATAACAAATTGTGGCTGGTGGAGAGCGAGCCGCGCTACGTGCCTGGAGACGAGGACAGCGATCGCTTCTTTGACACCGCATCGGCGGATCCGATCGTCTTGCTGACTGTGGTGATCAAAAAGAGCTACGGTGAAATCGAACAGTTGTTAGGAGTACCGCAAGGGCAGAGCAGCTTGGAGCATCTGCAGAGCACGCTGCAACACGGGTTCGCAACAGCGTTGCGCGTTCCGCGCGGCGCGCGACGCTTTCCCGTGACCAGCGTGTATCAGCTGCGCGACAGCGTGGAAGTTAATTTGGAAATTTTGCCGGACAAGTTATCACCCTCGCCGCTGACAATGCTGAGCATGCTTTTGCGGCAGCACCAAGTGCAATCGAGCCTGCTGTACCGAGGAGTGCTGTCGCCAATTGCCAGTTTTCTTCAGTTCGCCGGAGCCTACAGTGTAGTTGATAAGGAAGTGAGCTCGCAGTCCACACAGGGAGGCGAGGTGGTCACGCGGGTAGGCGGCAGCGATAACTTTATTCCGATCGACGGAAACAGTGCTATCGGGACGCGTGGCGGCGCTGGCAGTTTCCGATACACCGTGGAGGCCGAAACCGCACAGATTGTGGGCCTTTCGGTCGCTTTCGGGCTGATCTTGCTTCTCGCGATCATTCTCATCGCGATGTTGGCACTGGAGTACAAGCAAAGGCGAAATTTGCAGAAACAGGTGGAAGCACTGAAACGAGAGCAGACCGTAGCGGCAGCGGCTTTAGGGAGTGCTGGCAGTCGCCGTGGCCAGTCGTTCACTGTAGTCGGCCGGCCGACGGACAGCGTTCGCGCAACCGAAGGTGCTGCTGTTGGCACGGCTAGGAACGAGGTCACACGTGGGATGCCCGTGTCAGACGGCGAACGGTATAAGAGCAGTCCCTCGCGAGTCTCTCCAAGTTCGAAACGCATTGCGGCCGAGGAAGACTTCGCTACTTCAAGTACTGGAACCACGGCAGCAGAGCCACTTACGGCCCTGCCACCTGGAGCGGTTCCAGAGACTGATCTTTTGCAGCCCACTACGTTTCCTCCGTCACCAGGCACTTCATCCAGTAGTTCGATGATGCCGACTAACCTACCACCTCCCAGTACTTCACCTTCAAGTGGCGGTGGTGGAACTGCTCCTGTTCCCATGATCGGGCAACAACAAATAGGAGGAGAAGGAACTGCGGCACTGCGACCTCTATCCGACTCCTCGGAGTCCGCTGTCATCGCCGTAGCAGACGACGAGCAGCGATCGCTGAGGCCGCTCGACGAACGCTGAGAGCATATTTCTTCTAGTCCTCTGGATCTAATCCAAAATCCTACATCTGATTTCGAACGGATTTTTTCAACCCTTGTACGGGTAAGCAGGAACAACGCTCGAAAGAAGCGCCGAGCGCGCGCCGCTGTTCATCGCGTGAAAATCAAAATGTAAAGCAATCACCTTTTTAGGAAGATAATTCATCCACGAAAAGAAAATTTGAAAAGCGTAAGAATCGAAATTGGAAAGTATCTATTATCAAGAATTCAGAATTCGTACGAGCCTTTCACTTGAAGTTATCAGTGAATCTTTCTGAAAGCAGGCAGTAAACAAGAAAATTGATTCTGTGTGCAGAAAAACTGCCACGCTCTTAGATAGAAATGAAAATCAAATGTTCTTGAATGTGAAGTGAACGTCACTAGACTTGAATGCGATTTGCGATTCTGTTGTCGAATTCGAAGCTTGATGCTGTGCAATGTTAAGAAGTGTGTTCGATTTTCTTGGGACGTAGTACGATCTGGATGAAGGAAGAAGCTTTTGTTCCAGCAAGGACGAATGATTATCTTCAAAGAGTATCCGCATCTGTTGATGCGACGACTCGAAGTTCAAAAAGACTTAGAAAGCATGTTGCAGATATCGCTGTACCAACTTGGACATGAACGATGTCAAGCGCATTTTCTGACCATTTTCCTCTCACCATCACAGTCGTGGTTGCTCAGAAGTTTTTGTGTGAGTAGAAGGAGGTGTAAAGTAGCAAAATCACGGCATCACTATGGACGAGGAGCTACATTAGATTTTCGCGTTCCTAGATTCATTTGTAGCGTGATCGTCCTCTCGCGTTTCACAGATTGCTTCTTTTGTTGGGTGTGGCCTTGTTCGCTAAATCTTTTACAAGTCTTTGTTATTCAGTTGCAGCTTGTTGGCATTGATTCGGAGACAGAATGCCGCGTTTTTATTGCGAATATTGCGATGTCTACCTGAAGTGCGCTTCGCAGGGGTGCCGCAAAGAGCACAACTTCGGGAGGAAGCACATTAACAATAAGATTGATCACTATACTGCCTTGATCCGCGAAAAGCAGCTCGCACCGCCGATTCATCAGCCTCCGATGTGGCTGGTAGCGCTATTCTCTTTAGGGATGTGCCTAGACTGCCTGAGCCTCCTTTGTTAGAAATTAATGTAGTCACGGACGCGGTCATCTGGAGGCTATAATTCTATCATATCACCTCTATCACTTGGCTTCTTTGTCAGACTTCTCCATATCTATCCTTAGCGAGGAAACCACGACAACTTTTCAGGTGAAGCGCATTCGGAAAAACATGGCTAGCGCGCCAGGAGCATCACCCGCGCTTCCAGTTCCTGTGCTGCCTATGGTCCCGAGGCCCGAAGAGAATAAGATTCCAGATGCAGCCTCTTTTGCAAAAATGCCACAAAATATGTTTCAGATGATGGCACAAAACATGCAGCAAAGTATGAATCAACAAATGCAGAGCCATATAGCAGGAAAAGGCGGACCAGTTCCACCTGCTGGCCCTCCAGGTCTACAAGCTATGCAAGGTAGTAGAAGTGCGATTCTTGGTTTTCTAGTTCGTCGGAGATCATATCTCTGTAGATAATGTTCATGTCCTATGATCAATTGTAGTTTCTTCGGAAAAAGATAGTACTGGTCGTGCAAATTCATCAAAATGAAAGATTCATTTGTTGTTCAGGTATGCCGGGTATGCCTCATTTAGCTCCACCACCACCGATGATGGGCGCACCACAAATGGGAGGACTCATGCCACCAGGAAGTCTGGGTCAAAGAGCTCCAATGTAATCCGGGTCATCAAAAAGAGATTTACGCCTTTTCCCGAATGTCTCAAGATTTTTATCACATAATTTTCTCCTCCTTCCATGAGCATGACATATCCAATTCCCCATGCGCTTTCCCTCTCCCAAACATAAAACATGGACATCTAAGAAAATCTGCTCTTGGAATATAGCTCAAAGAATCGACTCTATGAAACACGTAAGTAGACAGTTTTGTTCCATTGAAGCAGCATCCTCGTGGTTGATAGGCAACAACTCAAGTTCCAATCTGAGTGGATTTTCAGAAGTTCGTGGAGTCGGTTTCGAAAGTCATGCAGGTGAAACATGAATGATCGTCGCTCTTCGAGAGAGGAATCGACAGAGCTTCCGAACGCTGGTTATGAAATGAATCTCGGTGATTACAAAATCGGCGCTCGGGGACTTCGACATTCGTTTACAAAGAGCTAATCTTCAACCGATCTTGAAAATGATCTGCTTGTCTGCAGCAAGCGAGTAGATTAGTCAAACACGAAAATTCATGTACGAAAATCACCAAAATCGTACTCCAAAAAATGGTTGGGAATTTACTCACTACATTTGCCAGTGAGATCGGCGAGGTTGCGGGGTGGGACATTTTCCCCGGGCAGCACAGACGTGCAGGCTGGTTTGGTAGAAGAGTCCGTTCTTTCTTTCCGGAGCTCGATGGTGCGGAAGAGGAGGACGCTCAGCGAGCGCCGTGGCCCTACGATCAGCATCAACAGACAGTTGCGGCACCAGGAACCGTGATTGCACCTCAAGAAGTGATCACAAGAGAGATACACCGCAAGATCCGATCGAGTCCTCGCGAAAGAGTGCGACATGCCAACGGCAAAAATCCCGGTTTGGTTGGCACCGCAAGTTCGAAGACTGGCGAGGAATCCCCAAGCGCTTCGAACACGACGATGAGCGGAGCTGTGCCGCCGTCCTTTGCAAAGACCCTGATGCAAGCGCGGGGAAAGCACCACGGCGCAGGCCCGATCGATCCTTTGACAGGACATTTGCGGCCTACAAATGACTGGCAGAATCCGCCGGACTTGCTGGACGGGGATCCTGGTGCATTCGCTTTGGGAGGGCCGGGCGCGCCACTTGAAGCAAGGTGAAGCATGACAAGGCTTTCTCCCACTGCTACCTCTCGGAAATATGACTCGTCACCCGATCACGTTGTCGCGGAATGTCGTCTGTTTAGGCGCTCCGAGAGTGAACTAGCGCTTGTTGTGTCGCGATGCTACTGCATTTCTGAAAGAACTCCGGTTCTCAAATCTGATGGTGAGCGGAAAATTGTACCCGAAAGACTCTCGTTCTTGAGCAGCATGTCGACGGGCTGTCAACTCATCGAGCGGTTTGGCCGCAAGCGGTTACACGGCAATGAAAATCGAAGATCGACGACAAGGACGATTGTGCGAAGGATTTTGCGACGATTGCTTTAAGACAATAGTGAATCTGGCGTATCGCCCTCTGATGATGATGCAGAAAATCCCTTACTGACTACACCACCATGCTATGACCGAGAGACGACAGAGTGCGGAAAGATCTGGACTGTGGAGTCCTTTCATTTTGAGTAGAGCTGAGTACTTACTTCATCGCAAAAATCCGATGCAGACTTATTATATCGATTAAAACTCTGGACAGAAATTTGCATGTATCAAGACAGGACATGGAGCATGAATTTCTTTACAATGGAAGACTACTGATTCCTTTCCGTTCCCCAGACTTCTCCAAGAGACGACCTACTTGTGTAATATTAACTGCGGTTTTTAAGAACAATCAAACAAAAAGCAATCCATCGAAAGCGAGTTGTACTCGCACGGGTGCCGGAAGATGAAAACTATGTGTCGAGAAAATCTTGCATGAGCTTCGGACCTCTGAGGAGTTACTGGTATAATCGTGAGAGATCACACGATGCTCTTGGTAGAGGAGTGCCCCCTTTCTGTAGCAACTACCTTGGAAAAACCTATCTTCATCTACGTGTTCGGTAAAAGACTGAAAAGGAGGATGGGCAAAACACATGATTGGTCGAGAGTTCAGAAGGACATAATTTTGACGAGCGTAGTTGTTTCCGGATGAGTCGCGCCAAGCAGCGCGATTGACGTCAAAATTTGATGCTCAGTGCGTAACTTTCCTATGCAACTGAGTGGAACAAGATGGGGAACGGAAATAGCGCTGAGTCGAAGTACCATGCGGACGGCACACCCAAGAAGCCTGGGTGGTTTGCGCGGACGGTCCTTCGGCGGAAGCCTGCGCCGCCGTTGCCGCCTTCGCCGATAGAGTACTGCGAGCGCGCTGTGAACACGACGGAGCTGCTGGTGAGCCGCACTATGGTCCGACAAGCCGTGGCCTTGTCGACTTTCGCGCGTGGGATTGATCCCTTGCGCAAGTACTTTTTTACATGGAGTACAGCAGCACGTGAGCGAAGACGTGACCGACTGCAGTATCTTGGCGAGTCACTCCAGGAGGTGAAACAAGCGAACTATGAGGTGCGGCTGCTGTCGTTACAGCGGGAACGAGATGCCCTGCGTGGCGAACTAGAAGAGTTGCAGTCCCAGATGTCGGGTGTAAAATTTAGAGTTCCCGTGCGCGTCCTCGATGGCAAGCTTGGAGACTATCTGCATTACCGCCAGGAAGTACTGATTGATATATCTTCTTCTTCACAACGTCCACAATTTGGTACTAATAAGCCGATATCCGCATCATCTACTTCGGCGTTTGCGACTTGTTCGCCTGGAGGGGCGATAATTGCTGGCGATTTTCAGGACCGCATGGGAGGAACAGTGTCGATGCGACATCCTCTATGGGAGCCCGAGCGCCAGATTTTGCAGCTGCCAGTGACACAAACTCCAGTTCCGCACTTGCGTTTGTGTGGTCCTTTGCGACTGGAACTGCAGGGTCCCGAACCAGCCTTGCGCAGTCTGACGGTACGCGGTGCAGACTGCATGGTCCGTCTGACTTCGATTCCCCACCTGGAGGTACTAGAGGTGCGCGAGCGCGCCGAAGTGCGTCTCCAAGGCTGCGAAGTTGCTGGCGGGGTAACCGTGCGGTCTGGGGCGCGCCTCTTCGCGGCGCAGAGCTTCTTCGGATCGGAGTTCGTACAACGCGATGAAGCATCGTGTTCGGAGTTCGTGGACTGTAACTTCTCACGCCGTGCGCAAGTCCTGGAGGGATTTTTTCGCGCACATCGTTGCAAGTTTCTGCTTCCAAACTCAACTTATGGCAGCTACAAAGATACTCCCGACTATCTGTTTGTACTGTGTTTGTAGCATTTGTGCTGTGATTTGGACATTATCCTATTCTATTTGGAACAAATATTTGGAGCTTGTTGAATAGAATACTAGCCAAGAATGCAGCTGCTCAAATTTTGAACCATAGACAGCTCTAAAATGAGAAAGGAGATGGAAGGACAAGCGCGGCTCAGGACGCCGAGCTGGCTGGCGGTGGAAGTTCACAGCTGTGCTTCTACGCTTCTTGTGCGGGGGGTGTGCCTTCGCAGGCAATCGAGAGTTTGTTTCACACAGTATTATCGAGCGCGCTGCGAGCCGAGGACGAAAAAAGTGCTAGTGCCATTTTGAATACAACAAGAACTGGGGCATTGATGTCGCAATCCTCCCCAAGAACAGCAAAAACGTCCACCCAGGATTTCGAGGTGGGGATGAACAGGAGTGGTCGCACTAGAAAACACGAGCGTCGGACATTGGAACAGCTTCTCTCCGGAATAGGGGAGATCGACGATGGCGAGGGCAGCGAGCAGCACACGCCGGCGCGAAGATCGCCTCGACGACTTTCGCGTGTTGGTTTCTCCTCACCGCGGCTTAGCAATCATGCCAGCAGCTACGCGGGCTCTCCGAGATCTTGTCCTGGCGGTGCGAAGGATCTAAGAAATAGAACCACGCTATCACGCACTCAGCAGCTCCTTGCCGCGGGAGACACGGTCCCGGACGATTGGCCGCGCCTGATGCCGCACCCGAGCTGCAGACGGCCTTTGCTGTGCGCGTTGCAGGACTGTCTTTTCCCCGACAAAGGAGACGTTCTTGTCCGTGGAAAGGGTGCTACCCTTTTTCTCGACGCTGGCACTGTTTTTGGTGGTACGGTCAATGTGCAGGACGGCGCGGTGCTCTTGGGCTCCGCTCCTTGGAGCACAACCGATGAACGGGAACTCCCCGGAGAGCGGCTCTGGTCCTTGAGTGAAGATCGTGATCGGAGAGCTACTTCTTTAGATGGGTCAACGATAATGACGAGCCCGGCGCGGGCGGATGGAGGGTGGACCTCGCCGAGACGAGCTTTTGCGGACAACACGCTGGTCTTCGATGTCGAAAACAGTCGTCTTATTGAGAACGAAGATCCTGGCAAAAGTCATGACGATCAACAACAAAGTCAAGGCTTGTTCTATGATAGAAACTACAACCACGATGACCAGCAGGAGGATGTCAACACCGGAGCAGCTGGACCGCAGCGATACGCTACTTCGCTTTCACCTGGTGCAACGCTTCTGTTACCAGCCGAAGAAGGACTCCAGTACGGAAGTCGAGAGGAACAAAACAGACAATCTCTGCATTTTGATCGACAACATGAGAAATTCAACGCGACAAGAACACCCCACTCTCCACGTGGAGTCAAACGCGAGTCCAGACTGTATGGCGTGCGCACAGATCGCTCAGCTCGCCTGATCGATCTATCTCAATTGAGGGACGAGCAAGTAAAAAGTCAAACGCAATTATTTGTGTGTCTCGTGCTCATCGAGGCAGTGGAGCACGATAGGAAAACCAATCAGGAATTCAAACTGAGTGTTCGACATGTGGTTCGTAAAAAGTAATAGAATTTAGTCTTTGTGTGTGTTTAGCTTGAACGAGGGTTCGCGGCGTCTTTCAAGAGAGAGACGCACAGAGTCGAACAACTGTGTGCGAACGACGCTCGCGTGGTTTTTTGCTACTGGTTACGAATAAGTTGTTTGTACTTGTTGTTGATACAACTTATAACTCTCCTTCATCGATCGAAGCAATGCATCGTGTATTCAAAACGACGATCCAACGACGATTTGACTTCTACGACCAGATATCTTTTAGGCTTGTTTGAGCGATCCTGAAATTCCATGACATCTGTTCTCAATGAGTGGATGATATATCGCAAGTCTTTTTCCTCCGAGAGAGCCCAAAATTGCGAGTGATATTCACAAAGCCTCGAGAATGCATCGGTAAATGAGATGGTCCATCACAGAATATGTGCACTATATAGATGCTATTATCGCAATGTTGATGGACAAACGATATCCCTATCGATGAACAACCGTCCCTCTTGCACCCATAAAGCAGGCTCCGCTGTCCTCACCGCCCCAGACGCCCACTAATGAGAACGAGATCTTTATTCTAGTATAAGTGCCAGCTATCTTCTAGCTCAATATCAAAAAATCTATACCAAAAATCACCTTCTTCATACTTGATGAGTGCTTCTATAGTATAACTATATACAACGTGCGAAATTGATCTTCATTATATTCGGTCATTGCAACATTCATTCCGTGTCCTTAGTCTGCGTCCATGTTATGTAGTATTTTCCAGTCACATCAGAAAGCATCAAAACATCAACCTGCGTTGTCCGTCAAAGTTTGAGCATTAGTTTCGTGCATCTACTTATAACTTTTGAAAATCTGCGGAGGTTTCGAAGATTTTAGCTGCAGCGTGCGATCATTGATGACAATTATAACTCCATGGATACGTCGCAGACAATACTTTATTTTTCCATCTGGACGGATCTAGCCATCAAACAAAAATCAAAACCACATAGTGCAGAGGGTGACAGGTTTTGGAATGAGAGGTTATCTTCAGTTTTGAATATAGTTGAGGTGAAGTCGATAACAGCAAAACAACAAGACGGGATGAAACACCGATCCCAAAGTCTACTACTGTGAGTGGCTTGTATGAATATTTTAGATGTTGAAGTTGTTCTGTTGTATTTCGTATATAGCATGATATGAACTAGCGCATATATGTTAGCCATTTTCAATTACTAATATCATAATTTTATAGTTGTAGTGATGTTTGAGCGGTTGTAGAAGCCGGTTCATCTAGGAGACCGAAGAACACTATTTCTTAGAAACTGTGTACAAAAGAGTAAACTTACCATTAAGTTTTGAGGAACTTCATCATCTGTAGTGGGATAAAAAGACTTCTTGAGTTGTAGCACTAGTACTAGACGGGACCACTATCTAGGGCTTCGGTTGCGCCGAAAGTAGAGGCTTTATTGACTTCTTAGCATGAATGGTTGTAACCCTTTCGAGATACTACCACCATTGGTGTGAATTTTTTTTTTGTGATAACACAAAGACACCGCCAGGATATCTTTGTGCAGTGCGGCATGGGCATTCTGGGACGACACTGTTTAGTGAAACTTCTCTTTGTATAGCAAGTAGCTCACTAACAAGGAAACCTACTGTTCTGTGGTCTTTTGCTTAAACAGACGATGAGTCTTGTTCTTGAACAAAAGTAACTATTGAGAATCTACAAGCAGTGAAAGGGGAAAAAAGCGATCGAGCAGCATACCACGTATGCACATATGATTATAGCATAGTGAAGGGCCAACGAGCTGCGGCAACATTATTGTGATAAAAGTGTGTGTATGAAAGATTCAAAATGTTTTAGTATTGCCCTGGAACATCTACTTAGATGAAGCATGATAGTCCACGGGGCAAGACATAACTGAAAGCATGATACGAAATCAGTGTAGAATTACAAATCTGGTATTTTCTGAATGTAACCCAACGCTACTAGCTGCTTCTATCTAGTGTCAGGTCTAGACCAGTATTTTTTCTTAAATATCAACAAATAAGCTCGTAACTGGTAAATATCACCAGCACTCAAGTAGGAAGAGGAGGTGAGTCTTTCTCTTGCGTTTTCGGGGAATAGTACTGCGCGTCTCTTGTCTCAGGATGTCCTTCAGCTAGGTGCCCAGACGCCCTTCGAGAGGGGTTCGCATCTGTGAAAACATCCTTTTTGTAGAAAGGGGGCTGACCCTTCTTGACTCAGGCTGGAGGTTTTTTTTTGGTTTGGAGGGACGTGCGTGGTCAGTCTGTGAAGGTCTTTCTTTCATCTGTCGGTACGGGGCGGCACACCTTGCGACGTGATTAATGACGCTACCTATAGCCATGTTGTAGGATTGTGGTGCCGCCTCTAGGAAATTCTCTCAGACTCTGATCTTTTTTTTCTTTCGTTAGGTCGTTAGACACCAGTCTATCGCCTCTTCCTCTGTTAGACGTTAAGATGTCTTAAGTAAGAGCGACTAGATGGCAGATCCGTCTACCTGATACAATCGCTAGGTAAGAAGTTTTAAGGCTTGATGGAGTATCATTAGGTCTAAAACATAATCCATCCTGATATGATGGAAAGTGTAGCTTCTACTTAGTGAGGGGCAGCATTTTTCTTCTACAAAGAGATGGTCTGCTTCACGTTGTGAAGCCTTTCGACGGTCGTCCGAGAATTGCCCTCGGGCTTTTTCTTCTGAGAAGCTAGCAGAAATAGCTTTTTCGTAGACTAAGAAAAGAAAAGGGACAACGAACATGTTCTTGTCATATTTGGTCTCCCATTCCCACTTACATAAGGCTTCGGTCTATTAACTCTCGCATATTCTACACGACCAAACAGACAATATCTTCTATTTTGATAGCAAGAAGATTATAGTTTTGATAAAAATTGTACGACACTGACTTGTACGAAAAAGATATAGTTTGATTGAAGAATATAGTACCAAACGCTGGGACCTCGAGAATGTCTGAATATGGCTACGGGCGGTCCGGTCAGGCCTTCGGGTCGTCAAGGCACATCCGCGCGCGAGGTACCATTCTTATATTTGAAAATGGTTGAATATGTTTTGCGACGAAAAAATAAGAAATTGATCGAATCATATCACATCGATCTTATATCTACAACACCAATTTTCTTACGTCATACGACAAACATACAACAAAAAACAACAGATACACAGCAGCGGAGGAACCAGTTCGGCGGAGGGCGCGGTAACGCAGTGCGCGGGAACAATAGGTGGAATGGTGGCGGACGAGGAAGTACTCGGTGGGAGCATGAGGAAGCGGCCGAGGCCGCGGACTTGGACAGGAACTGGCGTAGTAGCAACAACCGCATCACCGCGTCTACGAGATTCGGGCAGCAATTCATTCTAGGAGGTGGAGGCGCTCATAGCTCCTCTCTCGGAGCGGGCTCTAGTTCCGACGGCGGAGGCCATTCCGATGGGTCGGGATCGCACAACAACCGACGTGGTGGCGATGGACGCGGCGTGGAGTTGCGCGATCAGTCTTTTGGTTCAACCGGAGGAGGTCCTCTTCATGGTGATGAGTACCAACAGGGCTACAACCAACGTGGTGATCTTCAAGATTATGACGAGGACCACGAGCAGCGTGGGACTATTTCCCGCAATGAACGGAGCCAAGAACGTCCACGGTTCTTCAATAATATGAATGTCGGAGGAGCGCCGGGTTCTTTGGCTGGAAATTCCGCGTCAGCATCGGGTAGTAGCATGATCAACCACTATGGGGGTGGCAGCTCGTCAACAAGCGGAACGTGGCGCGACCGCAGCGGATCAGGATGGGGGAACAACCATGGAAATAATTTTAACACCAGTAGCAACTCGAACTCGACTTACCCTGCCTCGTCTCCAACGATTGCTGCAGGCGGTAGCCGACGAAATTCCGTCGAAATGGAAGACGTGGAGGGGGCAACTCTGGGATGCGATTCCCGTCCTACTTCTTCCAGCACGACGGTGTCTACCACGACATCATCCACCTTTGCTTCACCGGACAACTCGTTCGACAACCAGCCAAATTACCACTACAACAATGCGGGAGCACCGTTTCTTGATACCGTCACAGCGTCGGTTTCGGGTGGGACAAGTAGCAGTAGCGCCGCATCAGGAGGAGGGCAACGCACGAACCTTGGCGCTCAACAGCGTTATAACAACTACGGTAGTCAACATTTTGTCGCCGGAGATGGAAGTCATGGTGCGGCGACTGCGGCTGCTTCCTCTAGTAGTTCTGGTCCGGCTATGGACCCAACTACAACGCACAGCCGATGGGCAGCTGCAGAGGAGCGTGGCTCGTCCCTGGAAGACCGGCCACGAGGAGAAAGTTTCGCGACGAGCCGCTTCGGCGCTGCTTCTGCGCCCCAGTCGCAGTTGGTACGCGCCATGAGCGTCGACGCCGAGGAGTTTCCGATCCACGACGCTGACGACGATGACGACATGGCAGGTAGCGGATATGGGTCGGCACTGCTTCCTCCGCGACATGCCGCTCCGAGCAGTATTCTCGGAAGCAGCAGCAGTAGCAGCAGAGGCGCCGGGGGGCTTCTTGGCGGGATTATGTCGAATAACAATTTCGGCGGACTATCGGCGACATCTCACAGTGGGCACTTCGGGAACCCGAATAGTGGAAGCGATTTTTTCCTCGATACGAACGGTAGAGATCAGTTTTCAACGGATCCTGGGTCATTTAGCCTGTTCAGCAGCGGCATTTCAGAGAACAATCATCAAGGTAACTCCTGGCAACAGCGCTCACAGCATGTAACACTAGTGGGACGTGGTGGACCAGTGATCCCTTCGGCGGGTCCCGCGAGTGCCGCCGCGTCAAGCTTCAACGGGCAAGCGGCGTCAGGGCAGCAGCTGGGCGGTGGACTGTTCACCAGCAGTAATACAAGCGGCGTTATGAACCAAGGAGTAGGTGCTCCGCAAGTGCCTCCACGGCAGCCCACGGCACCCCACCGGTCAGCTCCTGCACCAGGCTTCTCATCGAATGACAGCAGCAGGAACCAGCCCCCGCAGAATCCTTTCATGTCGCATCGCAGTGTCTTCGACAACGACGGGTTGAGCAGCGCGCCCGCGGGTGGGGATATCGTGCTGGAGCCGAATCCCCGATGGCAGGCCATGTTCGGCGGCGGTCCGAGTGGCCAGCACAATCCCGAGCAACAGCACCATGACGCCGGGGGACCACCGCACCAGCCGCTGCGGAGTAACTCCCACCACCAAGATGCCGTTCGCAGAAACAACCCATTTTTGCAGGAGACAGAACAGTCGAACACTTCCGTCTTCGAAAGCAGCGGTCCTATGGACCACTTTCACCCGCGACAAGTTGCGAACCCTTTCCACGGAAGTTCTACTTCGAGTAGCATCAACGGCCCGTCCTGGCGCTCAGGCGCGCGACCAGCCCCGTTTTTCGGCGGCCCGATCCAGGATCAGAGCCCACGCTGGAACGACTTCCACAACGGAACGAATACGCAGAGACGTGCGGGAAACAAGCGGCATCGGGCCAACAACTACAATGCGCCGGGCGAAGCAGGTACTGTCCGTCAATTTACGATAAATTTGTTGCTTTCAATAACAGACTAAGTACAGTCTTGTCATGTTTTAGGAATAATAATGATTTTCTATGATCCATTCAGTGCTCCTTTTGTTCATCAACCTTGCTGGTATCATGTGATGAAATTTTGCGTTTAAGTATTCCGAATTTACCCGCCTCATGATGTTTCAAGGATATTTGAGTGCTCAAAACCACTGAGAGAACCTTATTATACTCTTCCTTCACATTGTTTTAGATACATCGAGTCGGACGCGTTCGGGCACCATGTCGGAGGAAAGTACTGCTCTTATAGTTGACCCTGATACGCGGCTGTCTTGTATGTCAAACGAGAGTGTTTGATTGTGAAAACAAAATCTGCTTCGTATATAAAATAGGAGGTAGTACAACCTCGGATGCATTATAACTTTTAAGTGTTTATTGGCACGGAGTTGTGGTGAGAACGAGAGACACGAACGGATATGCTTCATCTGCTGTTGGTGCACCGTGATTTAGCCATTCGTTGCTTCCAGGTCGCGCTAATGCAAACAAGTATGACATGAGAGTGAAAAAGGTCTTTGGTGCTGCACGTGGTTTGATGCCTCAAGATATTCAAATTGGATTTATTGGCCATCTGTTACTACATACGCTCATGTCTTATTAGCACGGTAGGTGAATTGAATCACTATTTATGGACGGTCAGGTGCCGTATCTTAGAAGATTTACGTTTTGGAAACAAGTCGGGTGAACTTTAGTATAAACGTTTAGATGATCGTCCAATTAGCTTTTTTATATCTCAATCTTAGGTCTCCTGGCTGCCTTGGCGAGTATTGCAGGACCCGCTTTTTCTGACAGGACTGCGTGCGACGATGCTATTGATCCCATCAGCCAACAGCGAATCTGGGACTCGGTTTCTGCCGACACCAGCGACGCGAATAACAACAATAACAACTTCAAGGTGAATAGTGCATCTGCTGGCGGGCACTTGCAAGAGCACGGGGCCGACGAGAACAAGAACTTTTTGAACACTAATAACAAAGGAGCAGACGTGGACGATCTTGATATTACGTTCAAAGTTACCGCTACAACTAGGACAACACCTGCAGAAAAACAAAAAGGAACTCGTGCCGCGTCGTCATCGCGCCGTGCAAATTTGAGCGAGATTCAATACCTCTTCAGCTACAAGGAGGCCGATGACAATGGGCGGGAGTGGGTGCGTGGTTTCGCGATCGAGAGCGTGCAACAGCTTCTGCTGCAAGCTCGCAAAGGTAGCGTATGGCCGACTCACCCGGTGACTGGGCGATCGATTCCCGCTGCTGCTGTAGCCCAGGCCGAACGCATGATTCAACTGCTCAAAGACGCTGGTCGCATTGCGCCTGTGGAAGACGAAGACCCGACAACTTGGACGCTCCAGGAAATACGTATAATTTTGATTACTTACCTGAAGCGGAGTGAAGCACATTCAACATGTTCCATTCGTTTTTCAAAGTCTCTGTCTCTCGTCATTCTCTAGGTACACATCAGTTGGAGTCTTTCAAGTATTCTTACAATTATTCATTGACCAGTTTTGCATTAAAGTGTTGCTGCTATTTATTAGAGTCTTAGTCTTCTTACTACTTCTCAATCCTACCTCAGTTTCGAGTACCTCTCCTATGGCGTCGATGAAGAAATTGGCTTTCAGCGTGTTCCAGCCGTTCTATATCAAGAGCAGCATCGAGATCGATGAAGAATGCGTCCTGAAGCTGCCACTAAAGGACCTGAAAACCCTCGCAAAGGAGACAAAGGGAATGTTCCTTCGCAACTTTGACGCCACACAGCGACGCCTCCTCTGCCCAGAAACTCAAGGACAAGCTTTTGGCGACTGCCCCTACTGGGAAAACGACGTGGTACCTCCTTTTTTTTTCATCTCCCTTCTTTCATTCTACAACTCCTCATTGCCTTTCGTCATTGCGCAGCATCATGAAGAAAAAACTAGTCTTCGGGGTATTTGATATAACGATCGGAAAAAAGGACAACGGAGAAGATTTTGTTGTACTTCCAATGTTTATTCAAAAAGATGTCATTTGAGCTCGACACCCATTACATCACCATTTTTTCAGATTCCGTGGTTATACTTCATTCTGAGTAATATTCACTACGTCACGGCCTATCCCAATGCCGAATGTCCGGAGCATCTTCGAAAAATGTCGATGTACGTTTTCGTTGCCGCGATTGCTGTCGTCTCTCCTACGGTACTGCTTGCTTCTTGATGACACAACATGAAGCATAAATGATTTATTTGTCGGACGTGAATTGTAGTGAAGTATTTTAGATGACATTCAAGATGTACTACTACGTTGTAAGTAGAGTTTTATTCTTTTCCACTTTTTATATCGCATTAAGCTTAAAAGAAGTCGAATTCTTTTCCACCATTGTGGCGTGAAAAACTACATTGTCAGGTTCGCGAAAGATACTCCGACTCGTTTGCTTTGGATTTCGAGATGAACGATATGGGAATGCAGGATGTACGCTAGAGAGGCGGCGGCATTACTTCGATTTTGACATTTTGCCACATGTTTATCCATACCTCCATTTTTGATCCCAATTTTCAACCTCCTAGCAGTACCCCTCTATCTAAGTATTTCCTACAGGTGCGAGCAAAATTTGTCGTGCTATAAGTAGAATCGACTGTCTTCATCTAGTACAAGTTAGCAATTCATTGTAAAAATACCATTGTATCGAAGGGGTGTGACGAATTGGTACTACCACTCGCGGTGTTTTTCCATATTCCCCCAAATCTTACTAGATGTGCCTTCCTTTTACATATTTTCGGGCCCTGAACAATGATAGTATAGATTGTAGCGATTAGTATTCCTATTTTCCGTAGTGACACAATAGGTAGCATTGGAACTAGGAAGCCTGGGATATTCCACGGTATTGTAGTCTCGCCTATTCTTGTATAGATCCTGTAGTTGAGTCAGGATATCTTCACATCCGGTCGTGGAGACTAACCTAGATCAGAGGAATCCTCGAGTTTAGCACTAGAATCAGTATCAAGGTGTCCATCGTAGCAGTAGACTAGTGTACTAGTAGAGGAGCAGAACAAAGAAGATTCATGCCTGGAGAAGAGGAAAAGTACCTACGATGTTGTTTAGTAACGGCGCGACGCAGTCCGTTACTCTCCCAACATTCAGGCCGTTCCGCGTTTTAGAAAAAGCCCGTGGTTTTTTTGATGTTTTGTATAATTCGCAGTTCTACTTTCCACAGTTCTTAAAAATGAGTTTAGGAGTAGTTATGATGTCACATGTAAGTGTATCCTCGTTTTCTTTCTTGTAAAAACAATTCCTGTAGGTGAACGTCAGCAGACGCAGTTCTAGTGAGTGGACTTCTGGAGAAATCATATCGTTACTACTATGAAATTAGGGATGTAATTATTGATGATGATTATATCCTGGCGTGTGCTATTAGATAATTGATAAAATATCTCCTGAGAAAAAATAATAGAAAGTAAGAGAACAATGCTAGCTTCTTGTAATAAATTCGTGTTTCGTTCGTTTGATGAATAGTGATAGAGTCACCGCAGAAATGATAAAAATATGTCAGAGAGATTGACTTACAAGGGAAGATAGAAACAGCATAACTAATGAATGTCTATATACAACTATTGATAAGGAGTAGATGGCCTCATTCTGATTCGCAATACAACTACGTAGTTACATCATAATGTCATCTACCTACGCTCTTCATAATGTATAGTCTTTAGAAACAATAGAAAAAGCGGATCATGAAATTCGTGTTTGTGACAACACTCACATCTATGTGTAAGATGAAGATGCTCGCCGTAGAAGTCAATAGGAAAGAGGATGATTAAGACGGGCGTCGAGCATGAATCTGAACCAATCTTATGCTTATTTGTTGTTGTCCGTCGTTATGAATGAGTCGGCGTCCGAGGCGTAGATCATAAAAAGCCCGAAAAGAAAGGATGTGATAACCATTTAGGTTTGGGCAGAAGGAGAAGGAAACAAGACGAAGCCTCAGGATGTACGGTGCGTTCTTCACACAAGCGAGCATTCTTGTCCGTGAGGAATGTATTTGCCTCTCGACCATCCTCCAGTTATTTACACAAATCACAGCTAGCCCTTTCTAAGCACATTTGATGCTGAGTTACGGTCGAAGGACGACCTGCAAGACGTGATGTCGAAGAAGTTGACACTATCGCGATTCGTGCCTCCTAGCTTCTCATCATCTACCTTAATATTTATAATCTTTCCAAAAACTACAAGTGCTAGAGGAGCAGGTGATAATGATGGGTGATTTTTGGTCATCAAAACTTGTCTCTTTTATATCATAGAAGAATGTTTTCGGCAACGGCATCAGCATTTGTAGTCGTTGAGATATTAAAACTCGCATGTTTGAGTAAATCTTCGTGATTCGCATGTTTGAGTACTTTCATCGCTATTTGCCTCTAGTTCACGGCTTCTAGCAGTCTGCTTTTCAATTAATTGATTGAGTAAGAGTTCTGTCGATTATGGTGCGCGGCTCTTCGCTCTCAGTGGAGCTGGTTGTCACCATTTCGGCTTAGCCGCCCTAGGATTAGCCGCTCGGGGTAGTTGATTTCCGTCGTCTCCCTCTGCCAGATAGGTACCCAGATCGAGGCCCTGTCTCTCAAGCTGATCGCTTCGCTTTGGAGGAGATGAGTCGCTCTCGCGTTCGTACTCGTTTCGCCCAGTAACAACGACATCTATAGTTATGAGACAGGTTGGGCCTATCCTTCCTCGTCGAGCGTCTTCTTCGCGTGGTCTCACTGTACTTCTTGCCCGATCTTGCAGGAAGGCCTTCATCCTATTATTGCCGACGTCGTCATACATCTTCGTCGTTACACCTTTCTCAACTTCTGCGACATCGCAAGACCTATCATCGGCCCGCGCTTCAAACTTCGTCGTACAGGTCCAGAGGAAGGGTAATCAGAGGACCCTTCTTCAGCCGCGGTTCCGCTGCAGTCTACGTTGCCGAGTAGTTCTGTGTCATATTTTCGTCAAGCTGACGCACCTAGCGTCCGGGCTGAAGCGAGATTCCCGAGAATCTAGAATCTAGCGATGGTTCGGCTTCGTATGATCGTCACACAACGTAGTCGGAACGACAGATATGGGTTTTCCTGCGAAGTCATACAATCGCAGGGGAGGTGGTTCGGTTAATTATAACTAACACTAATGTTACGTAGTTCCTGTTTTATCGACCTCCTACGTAGCTATAAGTTGAAGATATTGTGAGAATGTCGAAGTGAGCATAATTCTGCTCCTCTTTTATATTAGAACGTATGAAGAACAGAAGTTCGTTTCCCTCGAAGAACAAGTGAACTGATGGCTTTGCTTGATGAGACAGCTTGATTATCTAGCTTGAGAAAGCAACAGACCAGGTCCGCACGCCACCCTCAGGGTTAGTGCCTCGTTCTTTTTCCAGGTCGTTTTCGTTCCCGGTCGAGTTCGTCCGAGATCGAAAGGCTCTCGGTGTCTCGGCTGAACCTCTGTTATATTTGTGGATTTCGACGTTCTGCTTCCGAGTTGGGTCTGTCGTTGTTGATGGCTGATCGTGTACGATATCATTAGGAGCAGAAGCATATCATGAGAGTTTTTGACAGAGTTCAAACATCACACCGTCAATCATGTCTCTGGTTTCTGGCTGTGGCTAGATCATAGTTGTGGAAGTAAAGCATCCATCTCAACTATCAGATGAAAAAACAGCGAAGATTAAATCGGTCAGATAGTTTTGGTAGCCATTCATTTCCTCCCTCTCCCCTAGCTTATTACGAAAGTGGAACAACAAAAGTACGAACGTAGAGCATAAAATGAGAGAGAACGATCCAATAACGTCTTTGTAATCGGCAGGGTTTCTACAGAAGTCAGACTATGCTTAATGCATGGAGCCATTTCTATTACTCGGATGATGTACAGTAATTTTTGAACAAGATCTTTGTTTTTTGAAGCAGATACTTAGTTGAGAGAAACAATGCCCTCCAACCGCATCATGAAAATTGGGAAAATAGAAAAGCACCAGGTTCAACTGCTCGCATGCAGAGGCGCAGGAGTTTTTGCGGGCTCTCGTTGCAGCTGGCGTCGCCAGTAATACTTTCACAAAGTATCCCATGAAGCTCTCGGGGCCTCTCGCAGGTGTTATTGTGAATCACTACAGCAATGGGACACTGCATTCGCAGCCGGATGGGGGTCATCCAAAGTCGATCTTTGTGGAGGCCGAAGCAAAGACGTGTGTCGAGCAACCGAGAAAGGGAGTTTCATACGAAGCCGCACTCGCAGGTCTGCAAAATCAGATATCTTGTCGCCCTTGGAGCTTCAGCATCTCGGAGTCGAGGCCCGATGTGGAAGGAAGATGCGTACCAACGCAGACCACAACGACACCTTTTGTAGACCAAAATGGGTACCGATCGAGTAGTACAATGCCAGTTCGACCGCAAGCTGACGGAGTTGAAAAAGTGCCCGGTGCTTTATCAAATGCCTTATGGCCCAAGGCAGCTCCCAGTTTCGCTGCTAGCAGACAGCACAACCGAACCCTCCAGACTGCGATTTTTTCTCGGTGTCCCACGATGCCGCAAACGAACACCAGAACTACCAGGGGTTCGGTTCAGACGGAGGGCTTCTAATGAAGAAGCGACGACTGCAAAGCGAAGGGGAGCCGGCTACGGAGCGTACACACACTCGGGCTTTCCGGCAGGAGCATTCTCGTTTAACTCCTTATCTTCCAGCATGCATCCTGGTTCGGACTCTGCTGCTGCGCCTCGCGTGTCCATCCCTCATGCGTGCAACAATCCGTCGCCAGTCTCTCCACCTTCCGTTTCTGGCAAGCGGCATCAGAAATTTGTCAATGGTGGGGCGTGGTATGAACAGCAGGCTATGCGGCCGATTAACGAAGCTCTTGGCACACGCACGATTACGGGGCTCTGTTCCTGTTTGATCGTCGTTGGGTGGGCACTGACAGCAAGTATGTGAACCAGCTTGTGAAGTGGATGAGAGACGACATTGGGGTCGAACGGCCATGCGAATCCTACGAGGGCTTGTCGAGAGTTGTTCGTCAGCATTTCCAACGGAATGAAGAAGAAGCCAAAGATGGGATTCACATAATTCAACCGCAGGTCCGGCGGGACGCGGAATCGATATAGAAGAAGAGGTCGACGACTCAGAAGATGGCCGTGAAGTTAATGAGATTTTTTTGATTAGGTCTACTGCACGATGAGAAGATAGGTTAAGTAGGCACAAAGCACATAAAAAGAAACACGTCTGACTCAACAGATGCTGTATACTTACTACTGTATGTATTTGTCTTTTCGACGTAGCTACCGTGCTGTGTCCCTCACAGTCTAGCTTTACGCTGCCCGAGGATCCTTTTGTTTGACCTTGTGTGTTGTGGGTTCTACTGAAGATGGTGCTCACTAGCTCTTGCTCTGCCTTCAGTACTTATAATCATAAACAAGGGATCTTCTGTCAGCCTCTCTCACAGTACGTTGTTCTATCGATCCTGAAACGGCCCACAGACAGATTAAGATTGAGAAAGAGTTAGTCTTCAGATGAAACTCGACCATGTATTGATGAGTCTGTGGTCGATATGCGAATCGAGGTGTGCCTGAATTATGATCTGCCTGTCCTCTTATCATTTCTACCTCGTAGTTGCAGTACCTAGTACATTATAGTTCAACCAAGAATTGCAATTGTTTCTATTTGAGAAGAGCAATATCGAATCTGGATTCATTGTTTACATTCCGACTTTTTTATCCTTCAATCATTTCACCAACGATGGCATCGTTTGCTCGCAACGCCGGATCTTCTCGCAATCTCATTCGGGTATGGCTTTCCCGACATGGTGTCTATCTCGCGGCCATGCTTGCTGTTGCGAACGGTGTTACCACCTCCAGGAAAAAGGGTCGATCGGCGGCTGCGAGCAAACCAAGGCAGGATGTAGGCTCGGCAGCGGAAGCCCCCACGGATGTTGTACTAGTAAGAAAAATTTTAGATGTACAACATAGCAACGTACTGCAATTTCGTTGTGTATCAGGTTTAGCTCGTATTCCTGACTAATCCGACCACTGGAAAAGGAGCTACGTCTGACTTCCAACGGCAAGTTCGTGTATAATCAGAGTTTTATAATGTGATCACAGAAGAACTAGCCGCGTGGTCGTGTGCGATCGCCCAAAAGAATGTTAAAAAACCTTTGAAATTTTCCATCTGTAGTGCGGTGACGCGAACGAAAGTGCGTCATGCTCACCTAGCACCGACCAGTGGAGCTCACCGACAACAGACGAAGTAGATAACTACGACGAGAATACGATTGCGACGGGACGGCAGAAATTATGAACGAGGTTTACTAGAAGGCGGATAAGTAGACCTATTCAAAATTCTGTTATGAAAGAGGTTGCTACATCAACTCGCGACGTCATCTTGTCTATCCTCTTATACATGTGACAGCTGTTTCTTGTAGGCGTTCTCTACCTACGACTACTTTCATTGCTTGTCACGACATCAAGTGCCGGAGTACTACCGATGCAGTCAGTAGACGAGCGTCCACGGTCACAATTGCGACCACCTCCAGGTCTCGAAGGGGTGGTGGCACGCAGTCCATATCCCTTGAGCGAAGACGTCGCGTATCGTGTTAATGCACTAGACCTGCACTCTCCAAGAGGACCTAGCCTTCTCACCGGCGACTTCGATGTTGGTATTTTGGCTCGATATTCGGTGGGTTAAAATCTACTAGTAGTCCTAAGTTTACAATATCTGCTTGGTAGTACTAGCGTACGTTTTCCGTCTCAAACCGGATGATAATTCATTTCGTTTGTGTTTGATATCGTTTGCCATATCAATCTCATTGACTCTCTCGTTTTTTAGATGAGGCTACCGCTTGGCTAAGACAAACGTCAGTCGGTGGCTCGACGGCGGCATCTATTTCGCCGTATGAGAGGCAGGCTATGAACGGGGACTTGGATCGATTACGCACGGAGAAAAATATACAAATGTTTGAAGAGGGAACAGGCGCGTTTCTTGCAGCCAGAAAAAAGGTGCTGAAGAAACGCACATGAAAAATCATGAAAAATGCTATTCTTTTTAAGAGAAAGGCGTAACGTAGTCGCACTTTGTGACTGCCGTTATGATAGAAGTAAATTCGTTTTGTCATGCCTGCAAATTGTCTCTATCTCTCTCGATTGAGCTGATCTAGGCGGCGGTATTCGATTGCTATGTATTGGAGAATTTTTCAGTCCTAGTGTGGTCGATTTTAGTAGTTTCGACCTTCCTTACTTTGCTGATACGAATGTAATTAGCTGTCCGAGGTGAAATTCCGAGTCCTGTAAAAAGGAACTCTCCATATGGAGAGAACTACAGCGAATCGGAGTAAGATTCACAAGTGCTTGTACTCACTTCCGCAGAAGATGACAGATAAAGTATTGTCCGCTTTCGGGGTTCATGCAGTTCGTGAAGTTGGGTTTAGCATCCTCATCTTGATCACATATAATATGTCTGTGTGAACATGTCTTTTGTCTGTTTCCAAATTGTCTAAACGAAGAGGAACCTTATCGTGTCTTTTACATAAATCTTATAGGATGGCAGGATAAACCGTAGCCATTGTGAATCAAGTTATTGTGCAGGTTTCACAAAATCAAGATTTGTGTAAGCAACAGACGGTTCTAGATACAGTAGAGTTAGGACTTTGGAGTTATGATAACTTGTTAAGAACACTCAAAAGCCATGAAATCATCTCGAGAACGTGCACCGTAGCAGGATTCATGAACAGCACCAGATAGGAGAAGCGAGTAGTAAAAATACGGTAGTAGTAAGAATAGCATAGTAGAAAAGGTCAGCGGAAGGAAATAGTATCTCAGGCAGCATCGCGGATCGGCGTCATCAACCTCTCCATCTGCGAACTCTATATTTAAAAATCCTCGCTATTCGGGGCGTCCCCAGGCAAACCGCTTAGTGAGTGTCGTGCCCTTGAGTGACGACGGACTTCGCGTAAGCGGGCATTTTCCTCGAGGCACGCCGGGCAGTGACGCGGTCTTATTCTCCCCCAGCATGTAATGGTTTAATAAGAATTTGTTGATTGTTTAAAAGGGAGGCAGCATATAGTCCTAACGAAAAATAAAGTTGTTCTACAGGGGTCGAATACGGATGTACGGCTCTTCTGATAGTGGTAGTTTTGTGGCCGAATTTACGGCCTTATGCGCCCCCAGTATGTAATTTTTTGAGTTGTTTAAGAGATGTATTTAATTGCTTAAACGGGCGGCGGGATATAGTCCTACGGAAAAAAAAAACACGCCCGCGCGAGTCAGGCTACCACGCTTCGCCTCCTTGATTGATTGACTGATCGATTGATTGATTGATTGATTGATTGATCGTGAGGGCTCGCCCTTCAATAGCCCGACACAGCGTAAGCAAAGCGGGCAGAGTCCAAAGACAGCCGCAGGCAGTTTCCGCCTGGGGTTCCTTGTAACAGACTACGTTAGGCGACTAGCCTCTGGTCTTTTGCTATGGATGCTCTCTTGTGGGCTAGGTCAGCGGGAACGCAGTCGTGCTTGCACAGTCCAGAGTTGGCCCACGGGCTGTTTTAGTTCCTCCGTTATCCAGCACCGCCGCTCGCTAGACGGCCGGATATAGTTGATTGATAACGGCAGAAACTACCTTACTCTGCGTCGTCGTCTAGACCTATTTTTTCATAACAAACCACACTCACTATCCCATGTTCGCACTGGAGAATATATGCATTCATAAGACCCGATACTGGCATAATGTCATACAGGTAAGTGTCCATATGCATACATACTAGTAGCTATTTACGTGTCTTAAACTGATCGAGTCTCTCTAATAGCTGCTTAACATATGTCTGTTTCTGTCTTTATCGCGCGAACATGTTTTGACATTTGTTCTTGAAATTCGAGAAGGAACGCAAAGATGTTTCCTTCTTCGATTGCCGCAATATGCCATTCCGCGGGCTGGCCCTTTAAGACACGCTTTGTTGGAGAGAAGGATCAACTTCTATGAGGCAAAGTCCTCAAGCTTGCCAAATCCTCGGGAATTGGAAGATGATCATCATGTGCTGAGAGTCTCTCGGTTTATATGCAATGAACGTGAACGTGAGTTCCCCCATAAGACGATGTAGAGTGTATTGGGATTAGACAGCAAGAGTAGAATCAACTCTGATGCATTTTGTTTTCCAGCATTTTTCCAAACTATGAAGTGATCAATATGACTTTCTAGTCTCTATTGTTCAAGTGAGAACTACGAGAAAATTGTTTGCACTATACGCCAGAGAAAAACGAAGCTTGTTCTTGGATAAATACTCCATCAATCTTTATGAGTACGATGGTGTGTCGTCGTCGCGTCACGTTGCGTCTTGCTATAGGTCAGGGTGTGCTCGTCTCGGCATTACTCCGACGAGGTCCGGAGCAGCGCGATGCTGCAGCGGCCGCCACAGGTCATGTTAGAAGCGTTTCTAGAAGCACCTCTCGTGCTTCAGCGCGGGTGGCCGCGTCATCTTCTAGCAGACCCCATCCGGAGGACTCGAACCCTGCCGAGACGCGACAAGTGGACTTGGAGACCGATGATGAAGGCCACTACCACGCTCCGACAGGTTGTAGCCCTAGCTCATACATCACCCGACTACCGATATTATGCGCTTGATTAGTTTTTGACAGAAATCAAGGATGCGTAGTATGTGAAATGATGATCGCTGTGAGCAATAGACTTTTGACAGAGTCTGCTTTGTGGTACCTGCATTTCCTAACAACAAGTAACATAGAAGCAGAAAGATCTGAGTTCCAGGCTCAGACAGAATTTGTTTGTTTTAAAGGAATATAGCGTACTTTGGTATTCCGCGGTCCATCACATAGATGACATCGAGTTTTATTTGCTTTACAGTGTAGACGTTCAAGTGAGGCGGAACTCTAAGACTGGGATCTCTTCCGGTACCCAGCGACTTTGCTAGTGGCAGCTTTTCACCGATTTTGAACGCGCTGTCCGGTAACGGCAACTTCGGCAACTCGCCTGGCGGTTACACTCCGTACACACGAGGCAGACACAAGGATGACGATGACGTGTCGCTATCCGGTGTCATTGATGTGGAAGCAGACACGTCAGGGCACCGAAATCCGGGTCATAGGCGATCACCGGAGGAGCACGTCACTGTGGGAACGAGCAGCGGAGTGGGGGCACAACCACGCGGGGAAAGCAGAAGTGCGGCAGCTTTCAGTACCGGAAGAGCAGAAGATACGGGAGCACAGTTCGTAGAAGATGCTGATGTCGAAGGCAATAGAGGGCAGGCTGCTGGCGCTGCTTGGCCCTACCGGCCATTCGATGTTGATGTGCATGAGCACGCGTCAGGAATACAGCAGGTTATGGCGCGACAATGCATGCGGCATCCGGGGCGAGTGTTTTGCGCACTCGTCGCAGCGCTCTGCGTGCCTGCAGTAGCGCAGCATGGACACGAGTGGGTAGGTGCAGCACGTGGCGACATCGCGGCCTTGAGCGGTGGAGCTGGAGAGGAAGAATGGGTGACGCTATCGTCCACTGCAGCGCCTCCGAGTACCTCGTCGTCCTCGCACTACGCATATCGGAAAGCGATTCCCACCACCGCCCCGCCAAGTGCGCCTAACTATGAGTACGAATATCGAAAGCCGGCGCCACCAACGGCCGTCGAGAGTGTGGGGGATATGATGCGTCGCTCTCGGATGGAGGGTATGGATCCGTCATTAGCAAACGCAGCTGGTGGCTACTCGAGTACAAAGGGAGCAAGCGAGTTCCACTCCGAGGCGAATTCAGTGCCTCCTATGGCCGGCGCGCCTATTGCACCGGGCTCGGTCAGCACAGCCACCGAGATCGGGGGCCTCAGTGCGCAAGGGCCGCCGTCGGGTCAGCCTGGAACCGTAGTGCAGAACGCAGGGGGAGTGAGCATTCCACCTCCACCCCCCGGGGCGCCGACGCCGGTTGCAGTACAAGAAGGCGCATCAGCAGACGCGTCAGCAAGTCCGGTACCGGCTCAACCCTCTACCATCGCGCAGCCGGATGCTAGTGCACAGGCAGGCGGGGCAGGTGCTTACGGGGTTTCCTCAAGCAGCAGTCGGCCTACCATCATGAATGTCACCACGTCGACGTCGCAGACGACTACCCCGGAAGAGCGCATGAACCCGTTTGTTGCCGGAACTGATCAGTGCTTCGCGTTGGTTTCGCTACCCGAAAAAGCACCTGCCGTCTGGGAGCGATTGCAACGGGACTTCATGCAGAATTACTTCAGTTTCTACTGCTCTGAGAGCGACCTGCGTGCGCATATGGGAGAGTCGTGGTTTGACCGGCCCTCTGGGATTTATGACAAGCACGACCATCTGGTCGCAAAACCGAGCGCGAGTGTCGTTTCTCCTCGTCGTAATGCGTCGGCGGATGCCTCAGGCGTGCCACTGCAGCAATCGTCTTCGTCTCAGAGCACGCTGAAAAGGGAGGCACTCTCCAATTCTTCTAGCAAGTTGAACCATGTGCTATTCCGCAAAGACGGGGACACTTCGGCACAGAAGGCTTATGGTTCTGTTTCATTCAAAAAATTGCCGCTACTCTTATTCAAGAACACGTTCTATAAGTTCATTCTCAGTTGAGTAGTTTTGCTGCATAAAATCTTGCAACAGGAGGCACACCAGATATTTCCCAGATGTATTTTTTTTGTTTTGTTTTGCAAGCAAAAACAGAGTTAGTGATGAAGCTGTTGGAGGATCCTGCGTAGTCCAACTAGATCCTCTTGTAATCAACGCGCTGCTCTCCTCGTACACGTACGTCAAGCACAGGGTTAGTACAGTTGTACATCAATTCTAATTCATTTTTTTTGTTTTGTAGTTGTCCGCTTCAAAAGTAGACGAGCATATAAGTACACGCAAGCAAAGTCACTATCTTTCTCTACTAGCAGGTCTAATAGCCGAAGCGTCTTGAAAACAAAATCGAGGCGCGTGAGGACCTCGCATTCCAGGACTTTTTGGATTTGTACTTGCAAATGTGGCAGTCCTCACTGGTGAACGTGGAGTCCTTCTGCCAAAGATTTGGGGTCGGGATCAATGAAGAGACTGCGAACCTGCGGTTCCTTGCGTTTCGTGCTCGTGCGGCGACCGACGTCGTTCATATGGAAACGGAAAACTATCACCACGCAAAAAGAGTGAGGGATGCCTTTGCGCGTGCGGAAGGCTTGGTCCAGTCGAAAAACGAAGAGGCCCGTACGAGCGGATATGATAGATTAGTTATTCTAAAGAATCTAGTAGCGAATCTGAGACTACTTAAATTATCTCGGAGAGCTATTCGTAGCCCAGAGTGCTAAGTCTAAAGTACTGCATGCCTTCATCTAGTGGGACTAAATGTTTTACTAGGTAGTCATGATTTGTTTCGACGTGATCCGATGCATGACTTTTCTTTTTACATTAACTGCAGGTGATGAATCGGCCATCACCCTGCAGAAGAACGCAGCGCACTGGGCAATGGAGACGCGCGATGCCTTGATTGCCGTTCGGGGGGCGCAAGCGCGCGTCGCAGCAATTCATAGGGAATGCTTGCAGCGAGAGCAAAACGGCTTCGACAACATCTTCGGTGGCATCGTCCAGGAAGAGGCCCCGGCGACAAAAGATTTCGTTGTACTTAGTAATCTGAGTTAAGTAGGTTCAGGTGGTACTTCTCGTCAGGTTTCAACACCTAGAATTATGGTTTAAGCATATCCTCTTCTCGTCCTGGACGATAATTGTACTTTCGGTCATTCTGACGGCCTCCCACGTCTAAGAAAAATACATCTAACAACAAATAATTAGTACGTCAGGGCACTTTTGACGCGCCGAGCCTGGAGCTAGAGGGTAGTGGGTGTCCGCAACTTTCTTGGTTTTTGCCGGAATCTCATCAATGGCTTGAGACTTCTACAGAGATTGCGCTCACCCAATTTCTGCAGTCCCAGGTGGAACAACGCTTCCTGCAGTATGGTTCTGATGTTCCCACGGCGTATATCGTTAAGGCTACGACTGTTCCTACCTTTTAGCTCGAGGAAAAACAACAAGTATATCGCTTTTATTGGTTGGTGTACTATAATAGCATAAACATGGGCTTCTGGCAAGGCTCCCCAGCTTGTTTTTGCTGTAATGTATCTAATGAGCGCGAGTATTTGGGGACAAGACAAACTATGGAGTATCATGCGCAAACCGACGACGGGGCTTGGGAGGACTATGCAGCGCCTAAAACGGTAGCTCCAAAGAGCAGTGCGCCTACAACAACGGTCGCTCCAAAGAAATCTTCTAGAAGTGAATTTTTGTATGGAAAGACAGCTCCGACTTCTGTCACCGCTTCGCCAGGTACTACTGCAGCTAGCCGTGGGACTGAGACTACTTCTCCGCAGGAAGCATTAGCAGCCTCTACCAGCCGTAGTCCTACAGCCCCTCCAACCACAAGCCTTATCAAACATGCGTCTGCGCGAACAACAGGAGAAAAAGTGGTGTTGGAGCACGATGCTCGGCGAGTTTCTGCCATGGACGAAGAGTCGAGCACCCCAATGGTAGCTGTGCTGCCTCTGGATTGGTCGGTTAGAGACCCCAGTCGTGAGGTAGCTTTCAAATGGAAGTCAAAAAGCGATGACTTGGACGCCTACTCTTATCTTACGGCTCGTAATGTGGCGTAACGGTTGGCGTATTAGAGTTTCCGTTTCGTATTGCTATTGATTCATGACGCGTGTCGCCCTCCACAGAGATTGAAAAGTCACTGTAGTAAAGATACGAATAAAGAAAGTCACGCACTTCTAATTTTTTGCCGTGGCTTGTGGCTGAGGCGCGTACAAAAGAGGCGGCTGAGCCACCGATTGTGCCAGGTTACTCTATTATGAAAATCGGAATTTTTATATTGAGGATTAAAAAACTTAAACTTTGATGTATCGGAACTCGCTCGCACTACAAAAAAAAAAACAAAAAAAAAAAAATCGTGACGATTTGGTTTGCATTGTTTAGTAAAGTCATTGCCTAGACGGGGTTTGAGAAGAAAGTCTCTAACTCTTGCTCGTCCAGCCGAGGTGCGCCTCTGCCTCCAGTCTTAGGCAATGCCCTCTTGCGAAACCCTTACCGCAGGGAGTGCCTGCATAAGTGGTCCTACGTGCCGCCGAACCTTGTCCCGGAGCCACTGTCGCGTTTATGTTATAGTTTTGTAATTACGTCAGTCGTATCAGGCGGGAATTCATTCATGAATCGCTATGACGATTTTATCTCTGCTTGGTGTTTGGCATCAGCCGAAATTTGTAATATCATGCGCTCGTCTAAGTTTCCATCCAAACATCAAGGGGGAGGAGATGCCGGCGCTGTCGCAGCCAGGTTTCGATGTTGCGGGAGTCACTAACCTCGTCATGCGGACCAAAAGACCGACGCAGGAAAATGCAGATTCATAATCAGCCTTTGAAATAGGAGTCCCATCACACTACGGGAGTACTACAACGAATTTATGAGAAGACATGGATAGTGTGTATTTGTTTCCCCATATCATGAAGGCCTATTTTCATACCCGTTGGGTCCGATTGTAAGATCAGTGATTTATTCTCATATGCTCTTAAGGCACAAATTTTGTATGCTCAATACGAATTCGGGCTAGTTCGGTCAGAAGCTTGTCTTCATAACATCTCCATATTCAACACCGACACCAGAAGCAATTAGAAGTTGTAACCAGGTAAGTACTTTTGACTTAGTGCCTAGCAGGTAGTCTTTTATGAAATTTTTGTAGCAAAAATATCGAGGGCTCCAGATGCCACTCGTATATGAATCAGTTGAGTTGAGGCCTTCTTTAACTACTTAGACTACTGCGAAATGATGATCGCCATGTCATACAAAAAATCTTGTTGTCGTTTGAGAATATAGAGAAAGATAATTATAGTCGCATCTAAGAATCATGTACTGGTATGATGCCGTTCACATCCATGTCTTGTTCTTCGTCATGTACATATAATTTGAAAGAGTAGTGTTGTCTGCGACATCTATCGTTTATTCTTGTGGAGTGTTGGAGTGATTTCCTTCCTAGTGAGTGCTTGGCTTGCTACCACCTTTTTAGAAATCACATAAAGGCAGGGTAATGCGGGTGTTTCCTGTTCCATTCTCAGATACTGCGAACAGCAAACACCCTACATTGTCCCACGCCGAGTTTACAGTACAGGAGTTAGTACGATCTGATTCAAGTTAGTAGTCATGTAATCGACGATGTGGTTGGCTATAGACTTGGAGGCAGTTATAGCTACAAAAAACCAATCTCTATAGTGTGGGTGCCACCCTGACTTATTCAAATGTGATTGTATGAGAGTATCTTTCTTAAACTATCACTCATACTTACATGTTGGATCTTCGAGTGAGAGAAGCAGTGTAATGAAATCATGCTTTTGCCATTCCGAGGAGTACTGTGAGAAGAAACTTGATAGTAGAGAGAAGTTATCCGACTGTGAGTGTTCTGACGATGACACAAAGGTTTTGTGTACGAGAACGGACGGAGATGGAGCATCAATATATTAACGATCTCTTTTCACTGGTGAATGTGATGTGTTGTTCACGAAAGGAGAGACTCTTTCGAATTATCAAAGCTTTTCCTAGAGTAGACCATACTTCTTGACAATGGGTGGGCACTTTTTGCTAATGTTCGTCGCTGCAGCGTTATTTCCCTGTAGACGGTGACGCCATGTGTTGTCCCTAAGTGAGGTAATCTTCCTTACATGTAAAGTAAAAGTATCCGACAAATAGAATTTAAAAAGATCATTTTGGTGGATGTCAGGTAGGAAACCTCGCGCACCCATCCCCCACGAAGGAATCGCCATAGCCTGGCACCAAATGCTAAGCACCCTTATTGGGCGTTTTTGACAACATATCATACATCATGCCACGGCAGTAGCAGCGAGGAAGAAAAGTGTGGTTTCAGAAATGAATTGTTACATAGATATGCTAGCTCTGCTTCCTCTTGTGCAATGATCATGTTCTTTCTTTTGATCTTATGATTTCTTACTAACTGTCTTTGGTAGGTGAAAGAAGTGTGAAGAATTTGTTGATCATTGATTCTCTTTCTTCACGTTGTAGCACATTATAGTGTAAATGCTAGACCACATTGCAAGAACCTGCGTACTTGAATACAGGGCTAGTTGCGGTGGTTAATTTTGACTTTTTCCCATACTCTCAACTCAGAATTTTCTGAACTCGGAGGTGGTACTTACAAGTAACCAAATGTGTAGTGTATTCGATGTAAGTAACTAAGTGGGTTTGCCTGTAGGCGCGCCCGCGTCTCAAATTCGTTCATTGTGTACAGAGAAATTTCTATGCCATCACATTCGTGAATCTTGAATTTTTTCATGGCGACAAGTTATTTCTTTGGCATGATTCAAGTTCAACAGTCAGTCTACTTCTTCGATAGAAATCTATATCTAGGTAGGAGTAAGAGTAAGAAAAAACTACGCATCTAGGACTCGTAATCGTTGTGGAGAACCGAATGTAGTCGGAATAGAACCTGACGAGTTTGTGATTTATTTGATTGAAAGTAAGCTACTAGTATAAGAAGAATTCTTTCAAGTTGGTTGTAATATTTTTGTTTTCTAAAAAGAAAGAAATGAGCCTAAAGTCGTGTAGTTGGCTTTTTGATGTTTGTGTGTGAAAAATATAAACGAATACCACAAGTTCAATACGAATCAGCCCTCTTCAATCGATTGCCACTCGAGTAATAGATAGAAGCCAAAGATGAGTGGCATGCTCAGTGGTTTTCTCTTCGGTGGCAACCGGGGTGCTGGAGATGGTGCAGGGCCGAGCTCTGTCAGAGGTGATTCTCCGGGAGGACGTACTACCGGAGCATCAGGGTCTTCTCTCTTATTTCGTCCTCCAGCGTTGCGGCCGCAAGTTCCGCTTCATGGGGTAGAGAACCCCTTGGTGCATCCATCATTGAATCGCGTGAAATTGCAGTTGAATGGTACGGAAGCGTTCGACCACGCTGTGCTAGACGAGTCGGAAGACGACGATCAGCAGGCGGGTTCGACTGTCTCGTCAAACGATAATAAGTGTGTCCCTGAAGAAGTGGAAGTAGGTGATCCGAGGGTCAAGAAGCGCAGCAGCACTGAAGATGCTGCAGAAGAGCAGTCCGCTGGCAGGTCGTCCTCGACAAGACGTCCTCGCCAAGAGACGGGACTATTCGGCGCCGAGAGTGCGAGAACGAGAGATGGAGGCGAGGAACAAAATGCAGATCGCGATGTTGAGAGTTACGCAGCGTCTGGGCCCAAAGGTGAGGATTCGAGGAAAGCTAGCGTTGCAGCAGGTGGCGCGTCCTCAAGCTGGAAGAAGAGTGTGGAGACAATGCGGGCTGGCAGAGAACAAGTGCCGAAAACTAATACTCAAGTTTCCGCCAGGAAAAAAGCTGCGCCTGTCGGTGTCAACACTGGCACTTCGTCAGTTCCTGGAAACGCGCCGGAGTCGCGCGGGCGATCGCGGCCCTTGCGGTTCCTGGCAGACCGTCAAGTAGGCTGGAACCGCCCGCCCGACCGACAATTGCCACGCGGTGTTTTATTTCGAGATATCGCTGGTATTTCGCCTCCTGACTTAAATCCTGGAACTCGCAGGAGAAGCGATCCCACTGTAGTCTCGAACAATAGAGGTAGTACAGTGAGGACTTCTGGCCTCAACAATAGTTCCTCTGCGACTGCGGCGAATGCCACTGCAGCACGACGTAGGAGCGCGTCGCCTTTGCAGCGGAACCGCGAAGGGATCAAGCCCGGCGGAGTTAGTCCGGCTGCGCGTCAGAATGCTGCATTTTCTCCTGGTCCACGCGTCCGTGCCGTTTCCGCCGATGCAGGTGCGGCCGCGACCACGCGTCGGGTAGTTGTAGAGCCAGCCGTGTCACCCTCGTCAGGCGGTGGAGTCAACTCAGTGACACGCGGTGCTCCGGTAACTCGCGCTGCTGCTGCAGATGGAGAAAATACTAGTCCACCTTCGACGGCTCTTACAGTAGCCAGCTCCTCGGAGAGAATTACCGAAACCCGAAATCAGATCTCACCTCCAACGCAAAGTGGGTCCATAGAGCTCGCTGAGGACCACAAAAGTATTATTCGTACATCGAAATCGATACATGATTATAGATAGAGGATTTTCTTACAACGACGTTTGCGCACTTCGGTTTTTCAATTTGTCAAGTTTGGACAACTTACTACAGGCTTTTCTTTGTTTCTTCATCCTCATCTCTCTTTTACGTTGCTTCAGGTTCTCCGTCAGCAGCAGTGGTTGTACCAGAACCACAATCAGTCGTAGGGCCAGTGCTTGATCTGGCAGTGCGGCAGTGCCCTCCACCGGATGACGGTTCGGTTGCGACGCTGTCTCCTCGGCATTACAGCGATTTTGAAATAGAGGAGCCAAGTACAACTGTTCGTATACTTACTCAGGCAGTACAGGCGGCAAATGTGCTGCACCAAGAGCAAAGTCCCAGTGCACGAATCGTGCACACCACGACGGGAGCTCCATTGTCGGTAGATGCAGCCACTTCCTCCGTATTAGACGAGAGCACGACGACGCTTGTCGGCCTCACAGCTCGTGGCGCTGGATCTATTGACGGGTTGCTTCCGTCGCCGGCAACTCCTGAAGTTGTACTGCAACGAGAAGACCAAGAAATTGTCGTGATCTCTTCAACAGCAGAAGCACAAGTTGCTACTACTACAGCTTCTCCCGTTCCCACTTCTAGTGACGTTCGCGAGAGCAATTCTCCGCCGCGCACTCCGGTAGCGGTGGTCTCTTCCGTGGCTGCCTCGACACCCCCGACGAACCGCGCTCCGCGACGACTGCGCGCTTTGCACATGTCGCGACAGTCGTTGATCTCACCGACGAATGCTGCCGCCGTTCCCCGCAGTACAACAGGTGCGGACGAAGGTGCACGGCCAAACTACCACTTGCGCTCTGGAGGAGACGGAGCTACTGTTATGGGAGGAGGTGCGCGACACCGCGGGTCCTCCTCCCCATCTTTGGTGAGCAATGAGGCGCGCAGCAAGTCGATCGAGGGCTCGGAAACACGAGAACCGCGGCAACACCTGAGGGCCCCTCCGAACCTGTTGTCGTTGTTGACGCCAGGCACCATTCGACCACCCGTCCTCAACGGCAGCCGCGTGGGAGAGCAGAGGAGCAGTTCTTCGATTCCTCGTGGTGGAATTCGCATTCCAAGAGCGCCTATCCGGACAACCAATCCCTCAAGGATGACGCCCATAACAGGCGGATCTTCCACCACGTCTCTAGCTAGACCGGGCTCGGGTGGCACACTCAGCGCTGGGGGAAGCAGCTTCACCTTCTCTTCGAATAAACTCTCGGCGCTTGCAGCGAGCCCGTCGGACGCCTCCTTCCCCACTGACGACGCGCTAGCGATGCGCTTTGGCCTCCCCGACAACCTAGAAGCCCATGAGCTCTACGAGGTGTACCAAAAGGCGAAGGGCAGGGTTGGGCCGGCCTTTTTCAACCACGTGCTCTGTGATGACGCAATCGACACGATTTCTCAGATGCAAATTTGGGAGGAAACCGAGGACGGAAACGGCAAACGCCTGCCAGAGCCGGCAGAGGTACTACTAAAGAATTATTTGATCACTTAATTATACAATTTATCGTTTATTATACTAGTTAGGTCGGCTCCACCACAAAGTATTATACTGAACAGTGCTTCTGTGGAATTCAAAACTTTATCCGAATGGACTTGTTCTTCCCGCATAAGTCCTAGGTTAGTCCCGTCATGCGATAAGTATCTATATGTAGTACTAGTGTCTAGTGACGACCCTTTTAACGCAACTTGTAGGTCAAGTACTTGTGGTCGTACTGGGAAGAAGGCGCATTTTGTCGCGGATTTGCCATCGAGACTGTTCAGAGGCAGCTGAAGCTTGGGCAACCTCTAATACATCCGGTCTCGAAGAAGGAGATGCCCCCTGTCGCAGTTCAAGGCGCAAAAGACCTGATTCAAGTCCTGCTAGACCTTTCCGAACTTGACCTTTTGGAAGAGAAGGCACCGACCGATTATACCTGGCAAGACGTCCTGAAGCAGCCTCCACGAATACGTGACATAGCCAAAGACGTGTTCCGCATGTTTTTTGCTGAAGCAAACCTAGATCTCGACGAAAGCGTTTTCCTACAGCTCACAGTGCTAGAATTAAAGGTAGTACAACTTAATAGGCTTGTCTTTGTGAAAATTTTTTGTCGAACCACTATGATTTAGAGTTAGTACAGATTTATTCATACTAGTATACCGATGAAGTGATGATCGATGGTGGTTGGCCTTTACGAATTATGCAGCTCTCCTCATCCTCTGAGTCAATAAATGCATTACTCTTGTATCACTCTTGTTCTTTTATTTTTCTTAGGCATTTTTCGGCGAGCTGCGTACGATGTGGCACCGGAATTTCAATGGAGCGGAGCAGCGGAAACTGCGAAATACGGAGTTCGCCTTCCTGACTGGATATCCTCCAGCTCGCAGCCAGCAAGACACGCAGCTTGGCTGGCAGTTTTTTGTTTTGAATGAGATTGGGCTCTGCTTCCGGACGAACGAGAAGGCGTTCGCAGAAGACACAGAGTTTCAGCTTTTGAAAAAACGTTGCATGTATCTTGTGACCGCAGCTCTGCTGCAGGTCTCCCCGGCTGTCCGCGATCGCTATTCGGAAGGAATCTACGTCGACGAAACGCAGCCGGCACCGCGGAGCCTCAGCCGTTCCGGAGTTTCCGCTGTTTCGCAGAACGCGGATGGAGGTGAGGTGTCCACTCGCAGCCAAGCTGGTGCAGGAGCAGCATCGGACCACCATGAAACGGAAGCGGCTGGAGGAACGACGTCGGTTGAAGCATTTAGTATAGCGGGGGACCACGTGACAACTCATATTCTTGACATGGAGAACGAGGAAAACACATCAGAGGAACAAGAAGCATTATGGTGAAACATGTTTTCTGCATTCTGGTGTCAACATAGTTTTTATCTTTTAGCGTGAAGGATGAGTGAAAATATATATTTTTAGTGCCGTTTCACTCAGTTCGTTATTGTCATGTTCTAATATCGGATACAGCAGCTGCTGAAGCTCTTAGGCTTTAGGTCGATGTCACGTCGCTCGGCGGCGGAACAGCGAGCTCGCTGGAAGAACAGTGAGATTTACAAAAGTGTGTGAAGAAGCCCTGGTAGCTGTAAGTGGCCAGTAGTGAACAACTCTGATTCAAAATATCGCCGACTTATTAGTAGCAGAAGTACTGACGACTTAGTAGTAGAGGTTGGCAAAAATTTGCCGCACGAGCACATCACCAGCAGAGGTTGTTCCCTCTTTAGTCCCGCCTGAAGCCGATGACCATTGATGCTCCTTGTTTTCTTATGCGGCTTCTGGTTGTGAAAGTTCGCGTCAGAACAGATTGAATGAGGAAGAACGGCCTGACGAGAAGAAACATCTGGGCGGAAAACAAGCGGTTACCCTGATTTCCAATAATAAGGAGCATTTTCCGCACTCGGAGATTGGCATGTACAGTCCGTCGCGAGCAATGAAGATGATGATACCTAAGATATGTGTACTACTCATAAGAAAAAGAATCATTTTCTCTAGTACTAGAACTACAAGCACATTTTGAAAAAGATTTGAGGCCCGTCATAGAAATACGTAAATGGAGAGAGAAGCAGGAGTAGCTCTATATCTATGGAATAAACGTGTTTGATTAATTTTTGACCATACCATTATGTACCAACAACAAAGGCGAAAATTAGATGCCTACACGTGTTTCACTTACAACCAATGATATCCCTTGCTAGACCTTGATCCCTACCGTTTTGCCCTGTACCCATGTACTGCGTAGTTGAATTTAATGAAAAATAGATGAAATATTTCAATTTCTTAGATCCCCTTTATCGACTGATTACTTAGTACTTCATGTTTTTACTTACACATATTTGTAATGGCAAATGAAAATGGGGTGAGATGACTTCTTTCTCGTTGTGTAAAATTATGATGTTTTGAGCATGTTGGTCATCTGAAAATGAGTATTGATTCCTTGGGGCTGTTGCGACTCTCATCGATGTGAAACTTGAGATTTCATAGAAATATTCCCATTTAATCGTCCCGATGACGATCTTAAACCGGATAGATTTGTCTGTTTTGCTAGGCACTGAGTTTGTGTATTTTTCGGGCTTTTGTGTGTTGAATGCTTTGTCTTTGATTGTGGAAGGACAAGAATACACAGGCTTGTTTACGAACAGTCTTCAGAGCTCGAGGATTAGCGTTGATCGGGCACAGGATTAAGATAGAGGGCTTTGCAAAATGAGCAACTTCTGAAAGAAGTTTAGCGACGTCGGTGGAGCTTGTGTTATCAAGTTAAAAGTCGCTCAGGCGTCAAAAGATACCTCCAGAACAGGTAAATGAATGAATGAACGGACTCAACATGAAAAAGCAACGACCTCTTTTGTAGTCTTCCCAGCCCCTTCAGCTGTCCCCTGTTCTGCCAGTTCAGTCCCAGTTGTCCAGCTAAGTCAGCCTTCGGTCAAGATATTGAAATTGAGAGAGGGGAGAGTGAGGAACCTACGAGCTAGAAGTGAGGGTACTATGATAAAAGCAACACCCACTTGATGATATCGCGCCGGATGAGAGTTGGGTGGAGGCGGTTCAGTGATCGACGGGAGGGAACTCATCAGCGTAGCAAAGAATGGGAAGATTGGGTAGGCGATATCCGAGAGACAAGAATGAGGGGCGCGGCCACAGTGGAGGACGAGCTACTGTCTTCCGAGGATGAACCACCAAAAATAAAAACCTGCAGACAAATGGACAAATAGACTTTATCAAAGGAAGGTATTGAAGGAGACGGTTGAGAAAGATGGAATTGTGATATTCCTATGTACATACATAGGAAGAGGTGAATTGCATTAGGATACGAGCATCAATAGTTTTTCGATTGAAAAATCCTCTCAAAATGTCGTCCGACAGAAAGGCGGTGATCAAAAATGCCGACATGGCAGAGGTACTTGATGTCACCACATTCATTGCCCTGTTTTGGTGCTTTTCGGAATTTGACACATTTCCTTGTTGTTTCTTTTCCCACCATTATTCATCGCAGCCACGCATGATTTTCATTTTGAATTCTGAAATCTGTCGCGCCTTCAAAACAAAACTTTTAACAGGACATGCAGCAGGACGCAATTGATTGCGCGATGCAAGCTTTGGAGAAGTACAATATCGAGAAGGATATTGCGGCCTTCATCAAGAAGGAGTTCGACAAGAAGTACAACCCGGTAATATTCGCCAGTATGTGCTCCTAGTACCTTTCTACAGCCACCATGCACTTGTGCTTGATTTCCTTTCTTACATTTAGAAACTCTGCTACAAAACTTTTCTCAACAAAAGAATGAATAGATTTCCTAGTTTTTGGCATTTACACACGTCTGTAAATGTAACACTCCAGACTTGGCACTGCGTTGTTGGCCGAAACTTCGGGAGCTATGTGACCCACGAAACAAAGCATTTCATCTACTTCTACTTGGGACAGGTACTTTCATTTGGGATAACAGCTGTTGAAGAAAACGGAATAATGATCCACAACTTCCAGTGTGAATATCAGGTAAATTCATCAAATGATGTAGAGAAAAGCAGCCCTAACTCAGACAGCTCTATAGATATTACAAGCTTATGCTGCTCTATATATATGATAGGTTGCCGTGCTACTCTTCAAGAGTGGGTAAAGATGTCGGGGACATGGATGCGATGCTGGTTTGGACGAGACGAGTTCTGCTAGTAATCATGTTGATGTCGAAGATGTACCACATCTCCGTATAATTATTTCGTTTCCACCTACGTCTACGTGATTATAGCTAGGAGTAGTAGCCTCTTCTGAAAAATTTCGTATGGAACAAAGAAGGCTGCCTGAAATGAACAACTCGTGTCATTATGAGTACGCAAACGAACAACAAGTAGTAGAGCTTCCGCACCCCTCCAATTTGCAATAGCATACCGCACTATACTGGTTACAACAAAAACGAATCACCTCAACACATTGTCTTTCAACTATGTCTACTATCGATGACTGTGATCACGTATTTCTGGTATAGGTACAAATGATGTTCATTCGATTCTGATGCCAAGATTTGCTGAAAACGGTGATCGGACAAAGAAGTGCTTGAACAAGTATGAATTCGCGTCTGCTCTCTGTAGTCGAAAAAAGCTACCATGCATCAGTGTGGAGCATCGACATGCGTCTTTACCTTGTGTTCATTATCGCACGGTAAAGTAACAGGCTAACGGACAACATAGGCTACACATGCTGAAAATATCTTCACACAAATGTTGTGCACGAGGAGCCACGTTTTTATCTGATAGGCGCCTTTCCCGAACCAAAATGATCCTTTTTTCTCGTTGTTCCCTTTTCGCTCCTGCGTCCGTGTCGCTTTCCACGCGTCAAGGTACTATTAACTTGCAGATGTATTGTCACACGCTGTCGAGCCCGTCTGACACAGCCATGGGTTCTGCATCATGCTCGACATTGACACGATATGGATAGCATATTATATATATATATAATTGCGGCTAGTTTGCTCCACAGTTGCTGCGCAGGAAATGCCGGTAGTAAGAGTTGAGGGCTCTTTACCGTATTACCTACGAAGAATGCAGAATAATTCTAGCGCGAAGGTGGAGATTAGAAAAATCACGCTGCAAGACGATGTTTGGATGTGGGAAGAAGAGCCCAAGACAAGGACCATAGAAATAGAATCGTCGGCAGCCAAAATGATAAAAACTAAGATGAACGAGCTGAAAACGGTAAAGACGACGCCAGCTATGTTCCGAAAAATTTTTGTGGAGGTGATCACCGCGATCGAAGAGGAAAAAACAAAGGAGCAGCACGTCGAGGAGTCTCTTCAGGAAGAACTTGCTGAGGCTCCTGCGCTAATTCAGGAGGAGGAGGCACGAGTAGCAGAAAGTTGAAACATGTGACAAGCAATGAGCACGTTGAGGAAAGGAGGAAGGCCAAGCCTTCAAGCTAGTCAAGTGAAAAGAAGCACAGAAGTAGGGCAGAAACAGGGCGCGTCTCTTGTTACAGTTATGTGAAAAACTGCAAGTTTGAGACTCCCGGTTAACTTATTGAGATGGTTCTTGCGACAAATGTGCGTCGCTTGCTTGACTCGGATCGCGAGTCTTGTTTTCCTTTCTCTGCGAGTTTTCTGAGTGTTCGTTGACGTGCGTTGCCCGTCGTGTCTGTTAAAAACAAGTACAGACAGCTCCTGACGATGTGCCCGGATTAAGCATACTGATGATCTAGAGGTCTCCTCGGCATACGCGGCATGTCTCCACGTCTTTGATGTTTTGATGTGAACCGTCTATGAACGATTGGATCCAGAAGTGCCTTAGGCTGGGGGTACATGCGCAAGTAGTGTGTATAGCCGGTCAGAGAGTGGGCACAAGATGTCATCTCCTCGTGCCACATCATCGTTCCCGCACGGAAAGTTATCAGGAATTGGCCTGGATGATTGTGGACGCAGTGGGCACCTACATGAGTTTTGCTCTAGTAGAAGTAGCTCCCTGCACTTTCGCTTACCTCAAGGTTTGTCCAGAGCTGCCAGTGTCACAGAAACACTGTCAGACCACGTCTCTACGGTCACTATGAAAGGTGATAACAGGGACATTAGCACGCGTTGCTCCACCACAAATATAATTGCGGCTAGCACTAATACTTAGAACGTACTATAGCGTGGATATATTACCATCAATACGAGAACCCTATTTTAGAAAAAGCACCTACTTTCGTTTTCTGCTCGTAGAGATGATATTTCACGTGCTTGCTGTATACGTGCTTGCGGCATATGAGATTGTAGTCGACTGTAGTAGATACTGGCAAGTGCATGTACCACGGCACTATAAGCAGGTGACATGCTGTTCTTGGCGCAGTGATCTCCTGGAGAACGCGTAAACACTGATGACGATAATTTCTCCCCTGAATCGCTAGTGACATTCAACGGAATTCGACAAACCTCAAACCCCCCCATATGATGTGGGCTGTATTCGGCGACAAGTGGACTGGGAATATTCGAAAACTCAAAATAACCGAGTTACTGACTGAAATAAGGGAGGCACTAGCTTATAGCATCAAGGCTGCTCTTCCTTCTTATCAGTACCTCGGTTATTCTGGTCAGTAACTCGCTTATTTCAGTTTTTCGAGTATAAGAAAATCCAAATCGATTGCGCTTCATTGCGTTGTTGGTTATTTCGCGATGTAGCTTGCTTGCGGTTCTAGTGCCTCACGTAGTTTGCGATCGCTTGTGATTTCGAAAAGTTCGCTCAAAGGGACTTGGAGAGTAATCTGATTCGTAGTAGAGTAAAACATTATATGGGCTGCAGCTGCGTGAATTCTTGTTTTCAAGAATCGATATTCCCTTTCAGTGGGGCCGGAGATAAGTCGCGCCTTATGACCTTTGAACCAGAGACGAATGTGAACCCCAGAAGATTTTGGTGATTATGACATCAAATTTGCGTCCAATCAAGGTCATGATGTTCTTCTTCTCGACTTGCTATGGTTCCTCTTGGTGGTGTTGTGCGTGATGCTGCTTTTGCTAAAAATAAAGACGTTATGTTTGCGTGTGCCTTTCCATTTAGGTTAATTCATCTTGGTTTTCTTTGCACCTTTGCGTTGCCTTTCGTTGCTAAAAAAAGCTTGTGATGTAATTGTGATTGTAAGTGCTAAAAAAACCTTTGACCTCGTCTTACCAGGTACCTCAATCAAATTCAATGAATAAATCGATTTGTCACTGGATCATGAATCGCGAGAGAGAAATGAAAAACAAAAGAGGAAAACTGATATTCGCTTGTTCGCGATTTTAGATTCAATACAGTATCTTCTTCAGTATACTTTATGAAAATTTTTTACTAATAAATAATATGCGGATAAGCTAAATACTTGATACGATCGTGATATGGTAGCACTCTCCTCGATACCGCTTGTAAGTAGTAGGCATTCATGTGTTGAGTTCTTTGTTTTTAAATAGTGACTATTTCTGAAGACTACGACCACTGACTTTTATTGACGAGACGTTGCTTCATTTATTTTCGAGTTCTACCAGTAGGTAGCCCGACGGTTGTATCTTGATATTCATGGTGTTATAACCACATCAGATGGCACCCCTCCTGGCTGCTCTAGTAGTCTTTCTTCGCTAAAATCGAGAATCTTGGACGAACGACCTGTGACTGTCGTCGGTTTCGGCGATTGAAGCTATGCTTTCACAACTGTTGTCGCTCAGCTACTATATTGACGATCAAATCATCGAGCAGCATTCTCATTGTGACGAGGACGGTCATCGTCATCATCATCATTTACAAACTCTGCAGCAGCTTTTTGTTGCCATGCTTCCGGAGATGTAATTCCGGAGAGCAGTGGAGAAATTGTACCCGACTAAAGAATTTCGAGGATCAGAAATGCTGCTGAGACACGCGGAGATCTTCCCATACTACAACAGCCTGACGCAATTATTCTGTGCTAGGTACTACCAATACGACCAACAACTACAGCCTGTTTTTGGTTTCGGGCTCCGCCTATGACGTCAACGCATTTTTCGTCGAAGTCCGTGCTCTCAGTCTCACTTTTGTCCTCAAACGCAAAGCCGTTAACTTCGTGAAACCTTTGTTTTTCGACCGCAACCAGGACGAGGAGGAATTCGAGCAAGCTTCATAGACGATAAACTGAAAATAATGATGATATTGGGGAACTACAAATAGAGGAAAACTACTACTACAACACTAGCAATATACGAGTTTGCGCGTGGGGAGACGCTCGTTGTATTCTTAACACCGTGCTGACATCATCAAGAATAGATGATGAACTGGAATCGTCGATGTATTAATCAAGTAGAACGAGGAAGTTGAAGCGCTTGCTACAAGTTATTTCTTTAGTGGGGATTTGCGAGGAGCTTTTCAAGAAAAGCACTGCTTGGAATCGATTCTTTTGATTCGCAGAAAATAGAGGACAAGAAGATCATCATAATTCCAGAAAAATATTACTGGAGAAAAAAAATTCCAGACGAGGCTGTAGAAGAACTACCGCAAGGAAGTACAAGTACCACGAGTCCAATAGTAACTAGTAGACCTCGATCAACTCAGAAGTTCAAGATAAGTTCGTCAACTTTCTACAGTCAGTAAAAACAAGCTGGGATCTACGTGCGCAGTATCTGACGAGAACAATTAAGAAGACACATCAACTGCTGAGATGCAGCGACACAACAACAACTACAACCTCCACAAGGGGCACCGTGATGATGCGGGAGCGCCACACGAAGCTGCCAATCCGCACTCGAATAATGGCGGTCGTGGAGGGAGAATCATGACGGGCCACGTCAAATCTCGTGCTCCACACACCAGTATTAGACCACAGCAGGGCGGCGGATTGCACGTAACAACCAAGGGGGCTTCCGCCAAAGACATAGCGGGAAAATCATTTGGGAAAGGGGAGCGGCATCCTGGGCCGATCTTTCATCAGCGAGGCCGGCAGCCACAGGGCTATCAACAAGCGGTGAACGACCCTCTTCCTCGTCCTCCAAGTAATACCATCGGTGACCACGATCAACATCATTCGCGCAAGGATCTTGCTGCAAGATACCAGAATGCGGGGAAGAGCGGTGAATCGCCAGGCTATGACTTCAACACACGCACCACCAGCGGCCGGAACGTGCCCCCACCAGTAGGGGACCAGTTGTTCTCGAACAACGACCACTCACCTGCACATCATGGAGCGAGAGGAGGATACAACGGTTTCGGAGGAGAAGAACAGGAGCAGCACCCTCAGCACGGGAGAAATATTGCCGCATCTTCAGCAGGATTAATTGGAGGTCGGCCTCTGGCTTCGGGAAGAAACGACACTGGAGGTCAACAACGCTGGAGCAGTGGCCATCACGTCGACAATCATCAGAAGGAGGCGTGCCACACTTGTGAGCAAGGTGGCGGAGCTCGCTTGACTGGCTTTGCGGCGGCCCCCACGCAACGCTTTATTACTGATGAGCGAGCACCATCACAAGAACTACTGAGTTCTTTCAATTCTGTAGTGCGGAACCAGATCGCGCCAGGCGATCCGGGGCATGAGCAGAGCAAGGCGGAGCTGTATCAGGCGTTGCGGTCGGTGCGAGAAGAGGACCTCTCCATTTTGTTCCGTTCCTTAGTCGACTTGACCCTAGACCAGGGTGGGATTTTGCCACACCAGGGTTGCCGTGCGATGAGTGAACTACTAAACAATTTGGGCGTTTCTTCCACCACAGCGACTTCCGCTCCAAGTGGACATCAGCAAGCGAATAATCTTTCTCCTAATGCTGCGGGCCATAGTTCTCGCTATAACAACCAGGGAAACACATCTGCGAACACCATAAACAGGGACGGTGCGGGAGTTTCGATGATTCGTGGCGCAGCCGGTCCTAGTGTCTCCTCACGAAAACGGTGTCCCCCCTCACGTGCGCCGCCCCGCGCTGGACAACAGGACACACCACCACAAGCGTGCGACTCATCGCCGACGTCTTCACAGGAACAGCAACGCCATTATCAGGGAGGTGAAAGTCGCTATCAAGATTACCATGAACTTCATCAACAGGGGCAGGGCGATCGCCATGATCCTCGCGGCCCAGTGCGGTCCAATGGAAGCAATCTTCAATCGGCTCATCGCGGCGTTGGCCACACTGAGGGTCGAAGCAACTACAGAAGTAACAACTACGGAAATTTCTATGACCGCTGCGATGAAGAAGAAGAATTTGATCACGGAGAAAAAAGACACAGGACACAGAACAACTATGGTCCGCGCCCTCGCTTGCCGTACGAAATGAACGACTCTGCGCGGAGAGAGGCGCCGGCAGTATCCTCAAACATCACCACGCAAAATCGGCTTGGTGCGGGCAATGAAATGATGCGGTCGCCTCTTCGAGCAGATACGAATTACCCGCATGCCATTATGCAAGGCGACAGTCGCGGCATTGACCGAGGGCCGAAATGTTCTGGTACTATTCTTGCATCTCAAGGATATCCTGATCGGGGAGGGCCGCAGAGGGTAGGTCAGGAGCGATTTCGCTACGGAGGAGGCAGCTACAACAGCTTTCGAGAACAATCTTCGTCGCCGAGTAGTTCGTATGACATGCAACAATTTGCACCGGGACGACGCGATCTTCGTCGAGGAGACTCGCGCAGGCGGTTGCCGAGTAATTCGCCGCCCTCATATTCTAGTATTGACTACCGCGAAAACCTGCGACTTATGGAAGACTCGTACCGAATGCAGCCTCACGGCTACAATGACGATGCTGCACGATATCGTGGTGGACCACAAGATCCGGATGACTTCGGTCCTGATTCTTTGCCGCCGTCTTCCCACGACAGCTACGCTGACCGGGACAGCCGCATGGACAGGTACGGCAAAGGGCAGGAAGCGATGGCGCCGGGACGGGGAGCGCCGCCACCGCACTACGCACCCTCACAGCGACAGCATAGATTGATGCAAACTGGAAAGCCGACAGGCAAGACAGGCGACGGGCGTAGCTATCCCGGAGGCGTCTACGACCATAAGGGAAGAGCTGGGCAGTTCTCGCAAGGCCGCGGCGGCGAGTACGGATCACATCCAAGAAATGAGGGCCGATTCTTCGACAGCGGCAGCAAGAGGACCGACGAGAGAGGCGCAACGGGCAAAGGTGCAAAGCATATGAGCAAAGCTTCCGGTAGTAGAGAGAATCCCGTGGACGCAGGAGTTTCGTTGAGCGGGGAACCCAAGCAAAAGCTTCTGTCTCCCTCGAGCGATCTGCTTGACTGTCGGAAATGCTCGGTGGGCCTCCGTGCGCACGACGTCGCTGTGTGGGGCGATGGATTTCCCTTGAAGTTGCAGGTCGAAACCGTTACGCGTTTGGCACGTCGGCTTGGTGTGGATGCGATTGGATTTGCCCGCCGTCGAAATGGGGAATACCGCGCCACGCTCTTCCAGCAGCCTTTTAGCGTGAAAATCGTGTACCTTGCGACGAGTCAAATTCTCAAGCGTCGAAAGGACCTGTTAACTAAAAAACCCGAAAACGAGGAAGAGACCAAGAACGGCGAAAAGACCACAGTGGACCTCGCGACTGAACCACTGCTAATGCTGGTTGTTTTTCCCGCAGGGCAGTGGCTTTTTTGCTGCACAACATGTTTCTGGCAAGGAGACGAAGAATACCACAGGGTGCCTCTAAACTCTTAGGAGCACCATTCCGTTTTCTTTGCTGCTTGAATCCTAGATCTTGTAGTCGTTCTTTGTTGTCTGCGAGTGCGATCTTTGTCTTTAGCAGTCAGAGTGCCTCACCCTTTTTGTATATGTAGAAGCATGAATAAGTAATATCACAGATGGTCCTGATGATGCAAATGCAAGGGAACACTTTTCAAGAAGTGTCCCCGATAATGGCGAGTAATCTTTAATATATGACTCGAAGCTGCACGGCCCCCCCCTGTGGATGGTCCTGTTGTGGCGCCTGCGCGCTCTTTTCCGCGCTGATTTTCGCGGATTCTAATGCTGGAAGGCGTCAAAACTGGGCGCGGGCGTCTCCTTGCGCCTCTATGCAGGTTCCTAAGGGATCCCCTGGCCTCTGCTGACCCTCGCAGGCTCGAGGCCTCCGGGGGAGAAGGCCGCCGAAGGCGGCCACGGTCTCAAGAGCAAGAAGGCCGACGACCCAGGGCCCGGAGGGTACAGGCCGCACGGCTCAGGGGGTCCACCGTAAGACCTGGCGCGCGTCCTATAGACCGCGGGCCTAAGCCTCCCCCCTCCCCCCTACTATAAGGGGGGAGCGCGTGCTTTCTCCCATGCGTGACGCGTCACGCTTTTGAGCGTGACGCCGCGCGCCTGACGGTCGGGCCATCCTCTGGAGACCTGACCGCCTGAGGAGTATCTATCCGGCTCCGTGGGAGGCCTGACGATCTGAGGAACATCCGCGGGGGGCCTGACGATCGGAGGAACATTCGTGGGAGACCTGACGACCTGGGGCACATCCGTGGGAGACCTGGCGATCTGAGCAGGAACATCAGCGGGAGGCCTGGTGACCTGAGGAACGTCCGCGGGGTCCCTGACGATCTGAGGGGCATCCGAGTGAGACCGGACGATCTGAGGAACATCCGTGGGCGACCTGATGACCTGAGGACCATCTGCGGGACGCTGCTGCTCTCATCTGAGGAACATCCGGGGGAGACCTGACGATCTGAGGAACATCCGGGGGAGGCCTGACGATCGGAGGACCATCCGCGGGAGGCCTGACGATCTGAGGAACATCCGGGGGAAGCCTGACGATCGGGGGGCCATCCGTGGGAGCCCTGACGACCTGAGGAACATCCGGGGGAGCCCTGACGATCTGCGGAGGATGCTTGGGGGGCTTAACGATCTGAGGAACATCCGCGGGAGGCCTGACGAGCTGAGGAACATCCGGGGGAGGCCTGACGATCTGAGGAACATCCGCGGGAGGCCTGCTTATCTGAGGGACATCCGCGGGAGACCTGATGACAAAGGCACGACGCACGACCACGAAGGCGCCAGACAATGAATGGCGGCGGCGTGGGGGTGAGATATAGACCCAACCACGACAACAAAACAAGCCACCCGCAAAGGCAATCCCCGGCGGCCCATCCATGGGATGCGAGGCACATGCCCGCAACACCCTCGCAGACACCTCACCCACCACACCGACAACACACCGCCAGACCTTCCCACCGTCACACGTCGCGCGTCGCGCCGCCGTAAGTCACGCCGTCACATGTGACGACGCCACACCCACGCCACGCCCCCGCCTGTGACGTTGCCACACGGTGCCGCGGCGGCGCGCCACGTCCTAAGTCGCGCACTATTTGACACGCCCCAGCGTCCCACGCCACGCGCCCCGCCGTCACAACCTCACGTGCCTCGCCCGTAATCTTACGTGAGTCACGCTCCCAAGCGCGTCACACCTTCCCGCGCTTCGCTAAGAATCTCGCGCGCGTCACGCTCCTAAGCGCGTCACGCTGTCACGCGTCGCGCTGGTACTCTCTCGCGCGTCACGCTCCGAAGCGTGTCACGCGTCGCGCTGGTATTCCCTCGCGCGTCACGCTCCTCGGGTGGATAGGACGCTCGCAGGGTTCCACGGGGTCCACCCTTGCGCCTTTTGCCGCCTTCGGAGGCCTCTCACACCCGGCGCACTGCTGCGGTGGCGAAGAATAGCGGCAGTCTGTAGGGTACCTGCAAAGGCCCCCCGGGTCTCTCGCGACCCCTCTGGAAGCCTTCCACCCCCGGCAGACGGCTCTCAAAAGGGTCCGGGGCTGGGGTCCCCGGCCGACGGTACTTCCCCTGCGCTGGGGGGGCGCCGTCGCCCTGCGCCTTAGAGCATGCATATGCTCCAGGGTTCAGGGAGCGGCCCCCTCTAGCGTAGTGGGGGGCCGTGGATCCTCGGACCCCTTTTGCAGGCGTCTGCCGGGGGTGGAAGGCTTCCAAAGGGGTCCAAGGGGCCTCCTCCGCGTCTTTCCAGCTGCCTGCGAGTACCCTACAGGCTTCTGACGTGCTTCGCCTCCGCAGCAGTGCGTCGGATGTGGAAGGCCTCCAAAGGCGGCAAAAGGCGCAAGGCTGGACCCCCTGAGCGGTGTGGCTTGGTTGTACCCTCCAGGCCGTTGGTCAACATCGGCCTGCTCGCTCTTGAGACCGTGGCCGCCTTCGGCGGCTTTCTAGCCCGGAGGCCTCCAGCCTGCGAGGGTCAGTAGAGGCCAGGAGGTCGCTTGGGAACATGCAGAGAGGCGCAAGGGGACGCCTGCGCCCAGTTTTGACGCCTTCCACCCTGAGAATCGGCGAAAAGCAGCGCGGAAAAGAGCGCGCAAGCGCCACCCCAGGGCCATCCACAGGGGGGGGGGCCGTGCGTCCCTGTATCCTATATATATAAAAAATAGATTAGCGTCAATTTATTAGCTTTCTTCAATCTTGATTCCCAAAGACAAAACCTCTACCCTTCATATGGCGTTTCGTACATCCCGATTTCTTGGATCTCTCCAAGACCGAGTGCGGCGCGTAGAAGAGCTGTATGAGGATTTATGTCGCTCGATTCCGAGTGGTTCGGGCTCGAGCCAACTTGTGCCACCAGCCGGGTCGCTGGTGCACTTCTTCGCTCGTAATTTTCGCGTCCGAATGAGCTGCGATATGGCGTCGGGGCGAAAAGTTCCAGTGGCCATTCTCTTCTTCTCAAGCAAGGATCCGGCACAAAAAGGAAGCTTAGTGGACGCGCCATCCGAGCAGCAACATCAGCGCTCCCGTGGAACGAGTGAACCGCCCGTGTCTGGTCGTGCAACGCAAGAAAAACCGAGGGCCGTGCAGTTGCTGGTGACGTTAGCAGAATTACTGCTTGCGTGGTTCGGTTGCCTCGCACGCGCCAAACCTGCTGAGGGGATTCCCACTCCCCAGATCCCGGCGGAGCTGGTGACTCCGGAACTAATGCAACTGTTGAGTGTCCCGGCAGACTGCATTTACGTGGGGGCCGTGCCGGCCATTTCTGTCGGGGAAAATGGGCAAGTTGACGCAGCTGCTGTCGTCTCGCTTCCGCGTTTAACCGAGATTTTATGGCAGCTCTTCACAGATGGCGCCACGCACCGCCTCGACCCCGTCGACGACAGAGCAGAAGCGGGAATCGTGATGCAAGACGGTGTCGAGCACCCTTCGCCTAGCAAACAGCAGAGCGGTGACCACGTGAAGACCGAGGAGGACCTAAGGAGCGCCTGTGCTGCCGTTTCTGGTACAACACAGCAGCTCTCATCAGTGTGCGACGAGGATAAATCGATGTTACAACTCGATAGTACAAGAACTCCGGCCAGCGCGGGTGTTGGACAGAGTGACGCAGGCGCCGCAGATGCAGCTGGGCTGAAGTTGTCGGCGACCGATGCGAACGCCTCCGCTCGAGGTGCTGCTGGAGGCGATGCAGCGGGCACGGGAGGAATAAACGGACGAAATCTGCTTGTGGCCGATCGAATGTGCGCAGTCGTAGCGTTGACGCCCGATGAAAAAATGGAAGGTCTCGCGATTTGCCGTAGCATGCTTATGAGCTCTTCCGGTCTGCAAGCTGCATCCACAAGGAACCCTGTCGTTGCTGCAGTGGCTAATGCTTTACGCGCTGAAGCCGCAGATGGACCTGAAGGAGGCCACGGCGATACTACACTGCAACAGCTGCGCAAGTACTATATTATAATATTATAATGATTTTAGTACACGTTTCTTCTAGTCGTTGATCGGTGATGTAAAAATATGCTGGCTTCATCTTCTATGATCGTAGTGTGAAGTTTTGAAATTTTGAACTTTTTTATGATGCGTCCTTTTGTAGAAATGTACTCTCCTCATGCATATTTCATGCATACCGTGATGTATGTGATGAATTGAAAACTCCAACATCAATCGTACTTGTCAACTACAGGGATACAACCGAAACCTGCTTGCAATATTTGCATCACTGGACTACGCTCCAGTCGAAGATTATTCACCGCCGCATTCTTCGATACGTGACTCCTGAGTTGGAACACGGAAGAGAAGGTCTTGGCGCGACAGCCCAGCCATTCGTTTTGGATCGCGGTAGCAAGGCGCAGTGGAAGCTTGACAACATTGTTGTGCGCGATGATGTGGCATCCCACACTCCTCCCAAGGGCAAGACAAAACCTGTTGATGAAGGGATCAAGGAGCAACACAAGGGTGCTTCTTCCGCAGTCGATGCAGGAAGTAGCCAGCGTGCCGTTATCTCAGCATCGTCGTCTTCCAGCCATAACAATGATCAGCACGAAGAGCCCTCAGCGTCAGAAAAAGGGGATGCTGCTGTAATGCCCACGACTTCACCCAGGAGCAGACGCTGTGTGGAGCTCGATTGCTCCGTGTTGCCTGCAGGACTCACGATTGAGGTGAGCCTATTACGTGGTATCGCTCCGGCGAAGCGGCGGCGTAAGTGGCAAGAACCGGGCGTGGGGCTCGGTTCTAGAAGCCATTATGGAGGAGATATTGAACGACCGGCGAGCTCTCAGAACTTCTCTGGCCGTCCGCAGAAGGGGAAGATGGCCTTTGCATTCTTGCCCGAGCCACCGCTCTCTTGGAGCAGTCCGGAGGACGACAGCTCCTCTAACCCCGTGGTTGGCCAGTTGTGAAATACCATCCAAACAATCCACTCTGCAGCGGATGGGGCGAACAGTCGGGCAAACGGTACCCGAGGTAGGCAAATTCTGTCTTCGCGTTCGCCCTTCGATGTCTTCGGTCGGGAGAAGCACACCTTTGTTGAGGTATCTATTTCAGACACACGACGTCGCGACTCAATGTAGGATTCGCCTCTCTATGCAAGATCAAGTGAGTTATGACACGGAATTACAACTCTTCCCAACACTAACATCGGTTATATATTATTCTTCGTTCTGACGAATCAATCGAAAATACGAATGACTATGCATGGCATTCTTGATGATTTGGAATTTTCTCTTCTCCGACAACAAACAGTCGTGGCACCATAATACTACAGATTTTACATTGCTACTAGAAGCGCCGCATTCTTTCGTACTTGCAAGAGAAGGTCAGGGCACTCTTTCGTATGCTAAAAAATCGAAGCAGGTCTTGGCGTATTCCTTATCCCTAGAGGAAGAAGAGCGACGTCTTACCTGTAGCATGACACATAGGATTTTTAGTACTCCTTTTCAAGCATCCATGAGGTGAAAGCATTTGCGGCCTTCATTATGTATTGTCGTCAGCATGAATATGATGATATAGAAAATTTCATTTTGTTAGAACAAGAGGACAGGCGGCTAGGCTTCTGGTCCGGATGCGCTTCTGTGCGAAATTGTAGCGCCGGGCGTAATATGGGTTGACGACACAAAGAAGAAAATAGGCTGCAAAAAGTGCGAGAGATGGCAGAGATCAATGACGCTGCGACAACAATCAAAAAGGGCGGACTTCTATAGATCGCATTTCTCGAAGTGCAAAGGGCGAAAGAATGAGGACTAGAAAGAGGAGGACAACCTGCTGATTAACTTCTTCTATACCCGCCCGCCCATGAATGGGCACACTACTACTACTCCTGCTACTAAAAAGCATTTATCTCGTTGTGTGTGATTTCTCCATTCTCGCGGAGGGCATTGGCGCTCGAGGAAATCCAGAAGATTACGCCAATTCTGCTAAAGGGTCGCTCTTTCAGCCTGCCAGACGTGATGGAGATCCAACGTATCGCGGAAATGGTGCCGCGATTGTGCTTGCCAGACCCTCCTTCCTTCTTCGGGTACTCGTGTCATGATTCGACTTAATAGTTCCCTATTGTCTGGTCTCAAGGTTAATTTGGCAGCTCCAGTGGGAGCGGCAAAATGATAACTATCACATGCACAAGAACAAATAATAAAGATGACCGCATGATCTCGAGTCAATAAATGAACAACAATGATGACGATCCGTCATAGATTGATCGCTCAAAAATCCTTGTCAGGTTCTCACAGAGCTCGGGAATCTGTGCCTGCACGATGTCGCGAAGCGATGACTTGATGAAAATGGCCGTTCACGTGGACGTGCAAGTGACGCAAAAATTGTTTGCGCTCGGAGTGGAACCGAAATGGGAAGCAACTGTGCCAGTTCAGCAATGAAGACCCTGAGACAATCCACGCATCCGTTTCTAAACCGGTAGACTCCAAGTTTTGGTGGCCCGTTGATCGCGCCTTTTGGCACGATAAGGACGCGCGCCTGCTAGATTGTGGCGTGTGCCGTGGCTACCACACAAAGCACAATGCAGACAGATACATTCAAGTCGAAATCTTCACAGGGGCTGAGAACGAAAATCATTGTGCTCGCTCATCTGAAGGTAGTGGAACTATTAGCGTTTATCGGTAGTTAGCGAAGCAGTAGGCGAAGTAGAAGTGTTAATCGTAAGTTAATGTTAAAGTATTACTAGAGCAATCGTGAAATCGAATTCCATTGATAAGATTTGCGCTCGGCATAGGATGCTTCGTCCCCTAGGGAAGACGTTTCATCCGCAAAGATATCAAAATTATTATCGGGCCCTTTTTCGGAAGTGAAGTCTGGTATTAAATAGTCCCGTCGACAGTTTCGGAGTACTGACCTGGGCAACTCGCCATGACTAGAGCAGCTTTGACCATGTCGCGACGCGGCTGATATTAGAAAGTGCGACGATGCTAGGATTGTTTTTATTGATCCAAGAACATGAGTTTGATCATCAAGATTGATCAGTTTCCCCTAACAATTAAAGATGAGAATCGAAATGCTCCAAAAGTGGGCGCGTGCAAGCGCATCAATCAATCACTTTGGTAGTCTTCTTTGTTTTGTTCCTCACGTTGCAGTAAAAAAATTTCTTTCCAGGTCGCGATGGGGGCAACGGATAGGAAATCTTTATGTCGAATGGAGAGAACAGGTCCTGTCAGGAAGGTAATGGGGGAAGTGTAGTGCACGTTCTCCAGCAGTGGGGCGAATTTATTCTGGGAGTCGACCTGGAATGCCTGCCGCGTTCGCAGGAGTCTGAAGCTCCAAAGGGGCCGGCTCGTTGACATTGTTTTCGATGGGCAGTCCGCGGTGGCTGGAAAGAATGATAAACCGAGCTTCTCTGATAGGATTAGCAACCGTTTTTATTCGTCTCCTGATGCACCTACGCAGCTACATCCAGAAGACGAGATCTCCAGGCGCGTCCGCAGGCATTTAGGCACGGGCGATCGGGGGTGGCGAACGAACACCGGGGCCCAGCTTCTGAATGCGGTCGCTGTGCGCCGCAAGCCTGCGGCTCAGCGCCCTGACACGGCGGCCCCGTTGGAAGGCAGCTGCTTTGACGAGGAAGCGATGGACTTGTCAGCGTTGAGTGGCATTATTATGGCCAGTGAGCAGCTTGAACATACATGATGATTAACTATAACTTTTGACTATTGATTAGAGAGAGACAAAGGAGCACTTTTACACGTTGTGGAGGATGCTGAAGATAGATGGTTTAAGTGGTTAGGAAATTGATATTGATAGGGTGTTGCTATAGATAGCGTTTGGACTTGTTACTTCTAAAACTGTCAGCATCTCGGGAAATGACAAGGGGCACGACGATGCAGCGACGATTTCTACATCATGCACATGGGGCTCCCTGCCGACGCCGAGCTCGACCGCAGGCCGCTCTTCGACGTCTTATGTTCGTGGTCTGTCCGGTACGAGCAGAGTCGTGCAACTCAACATGGAGAATTCTGAGGCCACGATGGAGAAGGAGAAGATTTTACGGCAGAAAGAAAGTTCACACGAGCCACTGAAATATATGTCGCGGAGCAATCAGAGTTCGCTATGGAAGCGAACAAGAGGAAGCTGCCGACAACTTGGGTGTACCAAACAGCGTCGTGCGCTGCCAGCTACGAAAAGTGGGAGAAGCACGGACTCAGCTTGGTCTATGCGTCCACTGGGGTCGCATGGAGTCCCCTTTTGCGCTGTTTCTACAAGGACGCGCAGGAGCTCTTCTTCCGACGCTGGCACATGCGAACGGGTGGCAACCGAGGCGGCAACGGTGCTGACGACAAGATGGCTCCCCTAGAGCGGCTCACCTCTCCAGACCAGGTCCCCGTTCGGGTCTACGCCATTAGCGCGGGCCATCCTCCCCTCTTTGTCTACAAACACGAAGGTTTTTGCGCCAGTCTCAATGGTCTGTTTCTTTTTGGAAGGGTGCTTCCTACCTTCCGCGCTGCCCGGCAAACGCACTACGCGTAGGAACTAGGAAGTTGACATCGCGCCACTCAATCATCCTCCACGATATGGTGGAAAAGATGAAATTCAAATATTCCCACGTCCAACTCCAATTTTTACCTTGTCGTTCATGATAATTTTTAGAAAATGTATAGTCATCCTACTTGGTACTGAGGTACAGCTCTCAATTTATATTCATTGACATAAAAAAAACTGACTATAGCTTCTTAGCTTATATCTCTCTGTTTATGGGAAATCATGCTAGTGATGTCTCTTTCCTCGTTGTATCCTGCAGTGTACAACAAGTGTAACGGAGACTGGAAGTGGTAGGGCAGCAGTATTGCCAAGAAGATAGAAGAATACTAGACTTAAGCGCCCGGTAGCACTCCTCCCACTAGAATCCTCCACCCTCTGCACGCACTTCCCCCGCCATAGCGTGCCTCCGCTTCCCCGGCTCCTTCCCCGCGCGACAACCGTCCGGCGAAGTTGATCAGTAGAACAGCACAAGAGTCGGGCGCTTGGCGGCGTGCGGCCATTGAAAAGGCACGCCTGGAAATGGTAGGCCCGGGAGTTTGCTTGTCTTCTGTTAGGTTTGGCATCTTTGCGGAAAGCTGAAGCTTGTAAATTTCAAACTGAAACTTATAAAATTCGTCTACTTTGAATAAAGTCAAAAACAAACTTTGCATCCAGTTTTTTTTCAAAAGTTTAAGTACTTTTCTTCGATAAAGTAAAAAACTTTGTCATTTTCGCACTTTGAAACTTGAAGCTTCAACTTGAAACTTTCAAAATCCCAAAATTTTTAGTTTTATCCTTCAAAGAATATACGTAAATGCCAGGGTGGCGCGTTGTAGGCTTCAAGCTGAAGACTTGAATCCTCGCGGCCTCCTGGTATCTACAAGGATGCCACGCCATGCCCATGGGTTCGTGGTTTCTTGGATATAAAGTCAAGAATTTTGCCATTTTCGCACTTGAAAACTTAAAGTTTCAATTGAAAACTTTCAAAATCCCTGGGTTCCTGGTGGGTTGATGGGCTGATGGGTTGGGTTTGTTTGTTGGTCGCAAAGAGAGCGGAAATTTTTGGTTCAAGTGCGTAGAGGTTCGGGTGTGTGAGGCTGAGAGTTTAGCGGGTTCGCTGTTGCTTTTTTTTGCTCTTAATATTGATTGGCTTCTTCCTTTTTATAAGGTTGAGGTTTAGGTCCAGCGGCGCTCAACGCACTAAATAAAACAACCGGTTCGTTTTTACCTCTAGCGTGTAGCCCTTCCAACAACAAAAAACAAAAGATTCCGTATCGTCAGACGTCAAAGCAGGTATGCAAGATGTTAAATAGTGCTGAAGGCAAGTAAATGGCATGAAAATGATACCGGGCACGTGCTAGTGCTCCTGGAGGTGGCAGCCGTGACCGCACGTCTGAAACGACTAAGTAATTATGATTAGTGGTATTTTCATCTTTGTACACCCCTTGATGACCTTGACTCCGTTCTTTGAATATAGGTTTTGATCTGTTAAGTCTCGCAGATAGATTTTGGTCCGTTGAGTCTCGGACAATCGAATATTTGTCTCCCTTCTGGAAGTGAGATGTGCTTGGTATCTATTTATCATGTAAGTAACCCACGCGGCACGCGTCAGGCGTCGCTGTGGTGGTTGCTCTCTCAACAGGTTTGTACTCCTCGGCTTGCCGTTCTGAGGCGGAAGAGAACCTGATGCAGCTCGTGCGACTATATTTCATTTTGGTTTCTGTTTGATGACCTTCTGGGGGTCTACCATTAAGTGACTTGCTTCTACATAACGGATTTCATGATGTATATTAACGGACAACGTAATACTACATATGCTTAAATGGGGGGAAGTAAGGTCTTCTTGGCAACATGATTTTCCACATGACGCACGCTCAAACTCATCGCGCCCTCGTGCCTCCGGGGTCCCGGTCCGAGTGCGATGCAATATTGTGTATGATAGCCTATAGCAGGAAAGCCTGGGAGGAGCCTCTCGATTGATTAAATTCATCATGTACAACACCTGGCTTTGTCAGGGAACTCATGTTGATACTATCAAAATGAATGAAGGGATGGGCGAAGATGGTGCTGAGCAGGGGTACACCAAACTTTGTCAATATGGTGAAGCATGAGCAGTGACATGACCTGATTACTCATATGTTGATGTAATTTTTACATTTTCTAAGGAGTACGATCGACGACGAGGAATACTAAGATCACTAGTCTAGGCAATATATTACTTTTCTAAACCATTTTTTCTTTGGGTGGGTAGTCTCACGGGGGACGCTTTGGGTGCTGCCAGGGAGAGCTTCTTTGATTAATTTGAATGGTTCCAAAGTTCGCAGTTTCTTCTACCCCGGAGTCATGGGTGTTCACCTTGCCCCGTTTCGTGCGAGCACCCATCATTTTTCTTCCTTTCCTCCTCGATGGGACCTCCGGTGGCTGAAATATGGGCTTACTCTTAGCTAGATATAATTTACTAAGTATTTTTAATATATAACTAATCTCTAATTGCTAACTATGGTTCTTTAACCATACTTTTTTCCTTGTTACCAACCCATCACACACAGCACCAAGGTATCCGATAAACCATCGAACCAGCAGCAGAAAAGGTGGCTGTAATAGTCAATACTCGTACATCAAGGGGAACAACTTCTAACTACTACCCTATACTAAATCCATCTCGTTCTTGGTGCAGTCACAATGATATGATCGAAGTACACCAGCTATGTACACTCACTCTAACAGCTGTATTTCTGATTAAGTATGTGGAAATATTTGAGTATGATATCTTGACAGGTGTTGGCCTGTCGTGTGATGTGCGAGTTCCGCGATCGTGGGACCGCTCTAATTAGCAAGTGTGGGAGGGATGCAAGAATTTTCCCAGCCCTGTAATACAACTAAGAAAAGCTAAAGCTTGTGACTGATGAAATAAAAATACCGTCACATATGCCTCCATTATTTTGACACAGTCATTCAAATATTCACAAAAGAACACTGTTCAGAAGGGCCACGAAGTTCTTCCCTGAACTGGCGGCTCACTAGCAGTTGTCGAAAACCTCTGCTATGAGTGATTATTTGTAGAAAGTGTCACTCAGGGAAATCTCAGGCACATTTCCGGATTTACCGAGAGCATCAAGACTAAAAGGTTTAACAGAAGCTTGGTGCGTAAAAAACGAGCTTCCACCAAAGTTTCTCTCTAATTCTACAAACATCATGCGTTTGTGTCTTTGAGATATCAGATTTTCATCCTCACCACTGTATGTACGAGTAATATTGTTTGAGTTTCGAGGTCAGCGAAGAAACTTTACTATCAAAGCTCTAGACATGTGCAATTGTTGTGCGCACCATGGTTTGGGCCTCCCCCTACGTCAAGTTAGAAGCACGCTTGTGTGTCGTGCGCACCATTTTTTAGGCTCTGGTCAGAGGTGACTGAACGACTGGAGACACCCTCTCAGTCTCGTCATGATTTTGTGGCATCTCAATCAGACGGGTGGAAGCAAGACCATGTGAGTACACGTTGACGACAGGCGCGCAGCTGTGCTTTTTCCAGCTTTATTAGCCGTTGCTTTAGAAATACCCACATTTCTACTCCGGCCGGGAGTGAGTCTATTTGTCATACATTCCCATCGAACTACAAAAGAACTACATCATACAGAATATACAGCTCCTTCCGATCATGTTGATACATGAACATGATCCGGCTATGGGATTCGCACCTCACGAATCCATGGGTATTGCTATACCGATACTTCTGTGGGAGAGGCATCGTGTTGCGGGCATCGTAGTCCAGACACCTTGAACTATGGACGTAGAGTCTCTCAGAAAATAAGTAGAAGCGACTCATTGCTTAACTACTGGGTACAGTATTATTGTAACTTGACCGAGTGGATGTATGACGTGAGGATGTATGACGGAGCTCATTCTAGGTCGTAAAGGTTCACGGGCAAGGTAATCAGTGGGCCTTGTCTCAGCCGCGCCTACGAGATAGTCCGCGTCTTCGAGCGAGGCTATGTTGTCCTTTTCGCCACGCACATGTTGTACTTAGGGCCCTACGCCAGTAGGCATTTATTTTTAGTTGTTCCTTTGTCAGTTGATTGCGCACTAGTCAAGGGTTGGCATCCCCTGCGCTCGTGCCTTGAAGGTAGGCGTATAAGAGCGGGACGGTTGGCAGGCGGTGGCGGTTTATATTATAAGACTCTTAACTCACCTCCTTCACCCCTAGGGTTCATCAGTTTAAAATCGGCAGCTTCGCAGGCAATGGGTGCGCAGTAATATATGGAGGTAATCGGACTCCACCTGCCGCCGGTTTGCGAACTGGATAAAACTAGGATCACCCTTTCGGCGGTCTTGGAATACAAAAGTTCTGGCTGAAGCGAGACCCTCTGAAATGTGAAATGAATACTCATTCATTTTTGAGTCAGCAATGTACTACTCAAAGAAACATCAAAGCCTACATCAATCGCTTATAGATGCTATGCGTATTTGTAGTGGGTAGATTTTTTGTTCTTCTACAAGTACTTCAAGTGCAGTGTAGTTCTTGGTCGATTATACTTCATTTCATTCATCGTTTCTCCGTGTCAGTCTCTCTTTCCCTTCCGTATCGAGGTGGAATCGTAGGCAAGCGTCGTCAGAAACGCTTTCTTGCGTATAGCGTTGGGAGTTAGGTACGAAGTTTTTTTAGGTAAGTACCTACGGATAAAAAAGCGAAATGGCTCTCTTACCTTGTGTTTCGGTAGCCAACTTTAACATTTAGTCGATGCCTGTTTGATTGATTTCCTTTTTCTTTTTCTACTTATGGCTCCACTTGGATTTATTGTTGTTTTTAGAAGACCACTCCCCCCGCTTGAGAATTACCTCCGTTATACGACTTGTCGTTGTTTTTAGAAGAATACCATATTATCATTGCGGCACTAGGATTTGACCGAAATCGAGGGGGGAGGATTCGGAATACTTCTCTTTCGTCGGGCCCGACACTCTTTTCCATAGGTAACTGGTATCAAACTATATTCAGGAGCTACTTCAAATGTGGATGTGGTATTTGGTGGAGGTGTTTTGAAATATTATTATTAAGGTTTTGCATGATTTTTATCAACTAGGGTCCCCCTCGCTGTTGTTGTTGGTTTCTTTTGCGTGGCCACTGGACGATATTCACCGCGATTGCAGTGGTTGGCCTCCAGTAAGAGCGTACGTCTCATTGAAATAGCATACAACGGCGAGCAAATAAGACGAGAGCATCGATATGTGTGACACCTCTGCGGGCAATCGTCGGGGTGTGACGGTGAGGTCGAATCACTCTATCTTAACCTAAGTCATCTTCACAATTTACTTGAGGAAGAAACGCTCTCTATAATGATGATGTGATGTTGTAGTTGTTGGTCTACGAAGCTTATAGTCTTATCTCAGGCGTTCTTCCATGACGTTTATCGCTCATGGTATGTCAGGACGCCGACATGCTACTTCTGGATCTAAGATTTTTTCGCGAGGCGGAGATAGTCGTGTTCGTCCACGACGAGCCGGCCGACGATAATCTCTAGTCACTCAGACCGTCTGTTGCCCGATGTCTTTGCATTTCCCGCATGCTGATGATATGAATTAAATCATTGACGATATGATCCAGCGTCTATGGTGCATTGGGAGCTGCCACGTGTTGATCGGTTGCTACCACGTGTTGATCGGTTTCACGTCGATTAATGGACCCATGTACCACTACAAAGATGCTAAAGTGCTTTGTTCACGCTCATCTGCCCGCAAGGCGGCCTAATCAGTCGAGATGCCAGGATGATGATGATGATGATGATCATGATGATCATGCCCATGCGGCTCCTGACAAAAGACAGCACGCGCCGAAAATTTTTATGTACCTGCATGAACAAGCTCCACTACTTCACCTAAATTGCTCGTAATGATCATGCTAACCTTCCAAAGTTTCAGATCGTCAGCAACTGCAGTTATTGGAAAATGAGCGGACAAAGATGTTGAGGTCAAAGAAAACGGCTCCTTGTGTATTTTCGGCTTAATAATGATTATCATTACATTCTTGACATTGCTGAGTGGGTTGTCAAATAGCATGCTGCTTCTATATGTTGATTAATCTTCTTCATCTCGAGGCGTTTAGTCTTAAACTTCAAGTGCATGCATATTGTTGACTAAGCAAGTGCAAGCGAGCACCAACATGGCGACACTCAAGAATTCGACAAATCACTCTGGGACGACATCCCTGAACAAGAGAGCCTTGCATATTCGAGGCGGGTATGAGGAACCGGGGTCAGTTGAATCAAGCAGCTCCGAGTCTGATGACGGCGTGGATAGCGAAGCAGGTACACTGCATAAGATACGTCGTGTAGATCACGTCGACGGCCACTTCGCCACCTTCATATATTATGTTACCGGTGCTGCTGTGTTAGTACCCTCGCTTCTTGTAATATGTGAGATCTTGTTGTTCCTTCTAGTGTAGTAGTAGCAGGAGTATACAACGTACTCATGGGGCAGATGTCACATTATCAATGCTGCTCACGAATCCTTTCATACTTCTGGGGCAGTTCTCTCTTTCTGAGCTCTCAACCTCTTATTCTTTACTCACTTTGATCTCGGTGGTTTACAACTTTCTACTCTTTTGTGGATCATGTCACATCGATTCATCCTGCGTGTAGGTGCTAGATGCCTATTAGGGATGCACAGAATAGAACCCTTTCATACTTTACGTTTCAATCACTATGGGGCTGCTGCATTCCGATTGTCTAGGACATCATGATCGGTAGATTCTAACCGCTTCTTGACTGCGTGGCCGCGAAGGGGCCTTGGTTGAAGTTGGCGCAAGCGGAAAGCCAACGAAAACTTGCAGCCGCACTTCCTCCGCACGAGTCCGGTATAGCAAGTACAGCGAAAAACCCAGTACAACGTTCTCACACAGGACTATTGGAAAATGACGAGGTGGTACACGCGGTAGACAATGCGCACATAAGCTTATCACCGCTTGTGATGTTGCAGCATCAGTTCCTGGAAACCTTTATACAGCGAATCACGAGCTTGATCACGCGTGGAGAAATGTTGCAGCCTTTTCTGTGTCCCTTCGAGCCTGCGGTTGATGTCTTCTCTAACGTGGAAAAAAATCGATATTTCGCGGGTCTTGCGGTCGGGGGCGCGCGACCTATAGCACAGATTACCAGTATGCAAAAACTTTTGCTCCCCGTTTGCAAGAGCTTCGACTGCTCTAAAAGCAGCGTGCCTAGTCCAAAAAGTCCACATGCGTCTACGTCGGTTGCGCAAGTAGGTCAAGCAGGCGAAAATGCTTCAAATTTGGGAAAAGCGCGGCCGCATGTTTCCCTAGCGTGGACCTTGTATAAGCCTACACTGAAGTACGATCCTAGAAATCCGTACGGCGACTGTTGTTTTCCCCGTGCGCTGGGTTCCCTCGCGTTGGCTCCTGGGAGTGCCAGTACCACTAATAGTAAGTCAACGTGGATGAGCAGTGGAAGTGGCTCTGGTGCCCCCACGTCATCATGGAGTTCCACTTGTGCCTCTGGTGGAGGTATTGCTTTGCCACAAACCTTGCCGTTGATGTTGGAATTTTCAGCCATTACAGCGCAGGTTGGGCAGAGGATACACAGAATCCCACTTCCCAGTAGCAGGGGCAAGTAGTCAGACATACATAAATGTATGTTATAGAACATATGAGTATAGTTGTAGAACACCATTGTGCTTATCCAATAGGTATACAGAAAATTTATCGCTGACTGTATTCGAGCGATGCTGCGTCTACCTCCAACCGAGGTCTTTGTGTTCGGAACAGTACAAGAGATAGATCGAAGATGTATGAAGCACTTCGGTTGAAAAGTGGCAGTACCGCACTCCGAAGAGCGTTCATGTGATGTCTTTGTCAGGCGGGTGAATAATAGATGGGTGAAAAAAGTGTCGATGAAGACAGAATGTTTTCTCATATGCGCGAGAGCTACGCGAGAAGCAAGTGAATGATCTCTAGAAACGTACGGAAGATCCTCTTGATTTTGCTTTACGGATATCTCCGTAATCTGCTTGTGTGAGCTTCCGGAGAAGGCTCATCACCATGAAATATGTTGAAGATTTGTATTTGATTTGTCTATCCTCGCTATCTCTGTAAACCCCTCGAGTGAGTGCTACATTCATTCATATCCACAAAGGTAGTAAATAATACAACGGAGTAGATAGCATTTTTAATACTTCATTTCTGAATGCAATAGCTTGGATCGTGCTCCCCGACGTGCAAGAATGACAGCCTGGCATCTGCGCCGTGGCGGGTTTTGAGATCGCGCGGAGGGGGGCGACTTTGCAGCCTGCACATATCATCTACTCCGGTGTTGGTCCGCAGGTTCGTAATCGTGTCCGGACGAGACGTAAGTATTGGTGTCTGGACGACGACTCGCAGTCGCTCCTCACTTCTGACTTGCAGCTGCTGCAAGAAATTTTTCAACGGAGTCGTGGTGAAGATACAGCAGCACTCTCTGCGGTGTTAACAGAGGCGAGAAATTTGAGGTTCGTGAATTTTTGCAAGCGGCCTTTGTCTCATCACTGCGAAGCTAAGGAAAAATGGCGGTGGCGGCAGATCCTGAGCCGCGAAGGGTCGGCAGTGCGGCATTGAACAAATATAAACTGGTTTTTCTGGGCGAGCAGGCTGTGGGAAAGACGTCAATAATCACGCGGTTTATGTACGACACCTTCGACTACAATTACCAAGGTACAACTTCATATGGTACATGTATTTATTCTATGATGTTGTAGCAACCACCGCGGCGTGTACAGAAGTTGATTCATGGCAGCTCGATCGTAGTTTATCACAATATCGAAGGGCCAGAATGATGATTTCTTTTGGCGAGACCGCCTTTCTGAGCACCTGATGTCAATTTTTGCAGTTACAACTCGACGTTCCCCAAATGTTATTTCAGCAACAATCGGTATAGACTTCTTGTCAAAAACGATGTACTTGGAAGACCGAAGTGTCAGGCTGCAGCTTTGGGACACAGCGGTAATACTGATGTGCTCTCTGATTTATTTTACTCTCAGTTGTTCTATTAAGATTTTGAAAAGTTCTTGGCAGCAAATCTATCCTCGCAAGATTAACCTACGTGTTTTTCATACCGGAACTCAAAGCGTAACCTTCATCTATGAGATCCTAATCTGTTGATTTCGAGAAAGCAAGAAATGAATAGCACATTGACAACGTGAACAGGGCCAAGAGCGGTTTCGGAGTTTGATTCCGAGTTATATCCGAGACAGTAGTGCTGCGGTAGTGGTTTACGACGTGACAAATCGTGCGAGCTTCATGAATACGCAGAAGTGGGTAGAAGACGTGCGGAGTGAGAGAGGGCAGGACGTCGTTATAATCTTGGTACTTATCCAAAGCGCTTGCGTACTATAATCTAATTATGCATTCTTGAATACCTGAGACGATCGAGGACGAAGATAAAGACGAGGATATGGAGTCCGTCGAAATTCCTACTTACAAGAGACAAAAACTATCAGAATGTTTGATCAACAATTATAACTCCTAACTATCAAAATTTTCTAGGTCGGAAATAAAAGCGACATTGCTGACAGGAGACAAGTGTCAACAGAGGAAGGGCAACAACGGGCGGCAGAATTCAACATCATGTTTATCGAGACGTCTGCAAAAGCGGGGTACCAGTTTTTCTTCTTCAAGAAGCAGCATGTTGCTGCTCTATAGGTCTTCTCTCGACGGAAATTTATAGGGAACGCGCTGCAGCAGCAGCTAGTAGCTTTGACACCCGACATGGCATCAATCTCCGTTGATTACAAAATCAGCAAGATCTCGACAACAAAGACTTCTTCTACTATAAAAAATTAACAGGAGCAATGTGAAGCAGCTTTTTCGGCAGCTGGCTTCTGCGTTACCAGGCCAAGATAGCGTCGCAGATAGCGCTCCCAGTGCTGTCGAGAATGTTGTGTTGCATAACACACCGAACGAGGCCGGTACAGTTAGAATTGGTCTTTGAAAGTGTGGTCTTAAAGGAAGCTGTTGGCCAATGAATCAATTGTAATAAGTATTACTCGTCATCATGATTCACCATCATGCGCATACTAACACTATCGATCATTCAGGTAAAGACAGCGAAAGCAAGTGCAACTGCTGAGTTGCAGAGTGGACGACTGGCAGAAAAAGATAGACCGAAGATTTTGTGTCAAAGTGTTACGTAGCAGCTTTTTTTAGAGTTCAGTTCGTTTGTGGACAAAGTTAAGAATCAGACCATGATTAGACCGTTTCGAGAGTATCTATAAGTCCTTTTGTAGCATACTGCATATACAAATAATTTCTGTAGCCCGGGTATGTCGCTATTGCTTGGGAAAGTATGCGATTGGCCTCAAATGGGAAAGGCAGCTATCACGCCGGCAAATTAACATGACGATATCCCAGGCTAGTTGTGAATATATCCCCATCAATTTTGACCTTACGTACACGATCATGATCGGTCTTTACAACAATCAAGAATGGAACAGGGACAATGAGCGTCCTTGATTTCTTAGGTATAGGATTTCCGCAGGGAGCCGAGGGCAGAATTCTTCTTAGTCGAACTGGTTAAGGGTTCAGAGCATTTGTGGCAGGCTGATAAAGTGGAGAGAGAAGACTTCCGTGTGCTGACACCAAAAGCTATCACCGCAAGGTTTCCTACGAATTTTCACAGTATATAGTTCTCTTGCCTCGCACAATCAGTCTCAAACCAGCGACGTCAGTTCTAGTAGGAGTTGTATGATCCTCGAGAAATACGCAACACGACCTATCAATCGTTGCCCAGTGCACGATAGTACAGTAGTACAGGCCTTGCGGAATTCGTACTAAGAATAGATGAATTGATATCGCCTCGTGACTCCAGTAGTATTTCCATTAACTGTGGTGGCGCATTAAAAAAGTTAGGTGAGTAGTTGATGTTGGGTATGTGTGACAACATCCGTACATTATAACAAGCTACTGTAGGGATTCACGATTTCCTGTTCGTTATTTTTTTTTTGCAAAAATGGCGTCCGTAGCAGCGGCCGTCCCAGATTTATCGGACTTCATGTCACTCACTGACGAAGAAATTCATTGGTTGCAATCGTCGCCAGTGATTTCGGCGTGGAGGTATCGGTTACCAATCGAGCGAGCGGAGCGTCGGCGGTTTCGCGAACGCCGCGCGCGGGAAGAGCTTGTTGTTCAAGAAAAAAGAGATTTGGCATTTTGTTCTCTCGACGCGCAAGAAAGTCCGCAGAGCAGAAACCGACCTCGGACATTTGCGACCACACTTGTCGAATGATGGCCTGTCTTCGACAACAACGACCTCGTCTACGAAACACGGCAATGCCAAGAAGGCATCTTCTGGAAAAAATGGATCTCTCGGGATTGACGCTAGTAGAGGACTACTGCAGGAGAACGAAAAGGATGACGACTCGTACGCTGTAAAGCTAGGACCGACTGGGGCCGAAATTTCCGAACTATTGCCTCCAGACGACGGAACTGGGATCCTCTCCGATTGGTATTGGATGCAAAACATGGCTTTCAGTTGCTCGGATCCTGCAAGGTGGATTGCGGAAACAGAAGCATGCGTGAATGAATTTGCAAAAGCGTGATGTAAAGGCTATAAAACTTCTAGTCAGTCAATAGTAACTAATTGACGAACATCATGATCAACACAAGATGATTTTTTGCTTTTACTTCTGCAAAGAAAGGACTCTCACGTCGAGTGACGAAGTACGTCTGGTAATAAAAACACCAGTAATATGCCCATAAGGAATATGATCGGACTTATGAATAAAACAGAATCCAAAGCAAAAAAAGACACACCGCCGAATTAAGGCAAGTATTTGCAGATGCGATCATTGCTTCTGTTCCTCCGGTGAACCCTTTGATTGGCGTGAATCCAATTGATTCTTTTGGGATCAGAATGAAGTGCTGATGCAATCAGAACAGATATCCTCCGTTCATTTTTTCTAGTCAGCTTAATTGGCCAGATTGCTGTCTCTCAAGAATCTTTCTGTCATCGCGTTATATTGAAAATATTTCTGCCAGCTTGCGCTGCGCTGAAGGTAGAGCTAATGAATATGCGCGTGCTGCTAACAAAATACAGCATTGAAACATTGAGCGAACAGGCCCATTGCTTTTTGAGTGCTCAATTGATTTGCGTGTACTTAGCCGTCTTCATCGCTTGCGGATAGTAAGCGTCATTGCTCTCAAAACAAGAAGAAACTAACGCGTCTTGTTGTACTACATGTTGTGTGCCTCTTTAAATAATTGTTGATGGCAGCCTACTTTCATTTGAACGCATGCTTTCAGGATATTCATCAACGGTGTAACTAAGTGACAAGACGTAATCAACTAGTAACTAAGCAAAGGAAGATGATGGCTTCACATGCAGAGGTTTTGCGTCTCCTATCGGATGCTCCCTCTCAGGCCAACTACCAGGTTGGTGGATCTTCCAGCAGCAGCTCGGTAGGACAATCAGTGGAAAACCATACTCGTGGGCCACAGGGTATTGGCGACAACCAGACGGCTTTCACTAGCGGAACGAGTGATCACTGTGCTGTCTCTACGACAGCCTCATTGACGGATCGCGAGACGGCGCACGTTTTAGAGGCAGTTTTGGTAAAACACGCGAGGGACCTGCTACCACCATTTCCCGAGGACGAGATCGACGAAAGCCGGTTTGTGTCGTTCCACCTGGGAGCGGGCAGCGCGGAGCACGTGGCCGCATTGGGCCCTTTCACGCAACAGGAAAACGGTCTTGGTTTGAAGTGGGCGTGGCGCGTGTTCGGTTCGGAGCCATTGGCAGAGTGGAATAATGCTAACTACAGCTTTCGCGACGAAGCGTTGTATGTCCATGTACAGAAGAATCAGCTCCAAGACTGGTTTGCGCGCTATTTCCTAGGCAAAGATCTTAATTCAGCGGTGCGTGCAGTCTTCGGCGCCAACGTGGGCAACGTGGCCGCAAAGCAAGCTGACCTCGTCACGATTCCACCTGCGTCTTACGCGCGCTCGTGCATGGCCGTGCTTTTCGCACTTCACATTATGAAACCTGAAGGCGGCAGTCTTGTTCTCACGTCGGAGACTTCATCAGAATCTCCAGGTGCGTTCTCTCTTCAACCAGGAAACGTTCTAGCCGATCTCGAACCTGTTTTGCGACTGCTTTTTGCAAGGGTGACCGTCTACGCTGGAGCCATGGTGTGCGCGTGTCGGAAAGCAGATCCAAATTCGCAAGAACTCCTGAAAGCGTTTCGCTCGGCAGCGGAGCAAGTGGCTCTTGGAGATCGTCCCTGCTTGCTGTCAAGCAGGCTGGAGGGCAGCGGCACGGCGGCAAAACTTCCTGTGTTGCTAGGGGACGCTTCCAGAGGACCTGGAACAAAGGACGACGCTGAAGCAACCGATGCGCATGAGCCCCCAGCGAAGCGCCGAAAGACTTTGAAGGGAGACGCAGCTGTGCGGTATCGAAGGATATGCTCCGAAACTGAAGGACTCTCTATCCCCGATGTGGGTGGGTTCTTCACGGTGCACTTGCCTCCAACAACCAAAGATGGCCCACCCACGATCCGTGAAATACGTGATAGCGACAGTAGCAACATTCTGTTGCCTCTCCCGGAGCAGCTAGCTGACGAAGAGGATGCATTGGCTGCACCACCATCCGGATCTTCACAGGTCACAGCATTGCCAGCCCTGCATCCGCTATTCGACATGGAGAGACACAAACAGGAATACGAGTCGCTTCATGTGGCTGTTGCGGCTGGAAATCCGGTCACCAGTGGAGAAAGCAAGCGAGACAACGTCAAAAAGTGGCTCAAGAATACAATGTCCACACAGCAGTTGATGCGTGGTTCACCGTCAGGCTCTGCTAATGATGCAGAGTATAAAAAGACGGCGATCCAAGCAAAAAAGAGCGAAGTTCTGCTCTGCGGGTATTCGTCTTTCGCGTCTCCTACGACTTTGCGATCTATCGCACAAAAACTTCAAGGTCTCGGATCAGAAGTATATTTGAAATATGATCGGGACTTGCATTGGGTTAGCAGCCAAAAATTTGCAGCGGAAGGTCCATGGAGAGAATTGCTGGGTGTCTTTCCTGATATAGTAACCTCTTCTTGGCTTACAAAGATTCCTTGGCTCCTGGCATTGAGGCAGCACCTCGATGGAGAAAGGGAAGCATTGAGTCAAAATGGTGCAAAGCCAATTACAACCGCCACTTTTGCATTTGTTGACACTTGTTTCACATCAACCGTTGGCAGCAGCATAGGCCTGACGAGCACAAGCCTCCGCTTCCGGCGGGATACGCCTTTTGTGCTGGCTTCGAATGGTGACAAGGACTTTGGCGTCATTGATACTCTTGCCTCTGGGATTGTCGAGGGGCTCGATCTTTTCTGTTCTTCTGCAACGGAATCAGCAACGATGACTTCCTCTCGTGCTGCTACTTCGGAGAGAAATTCAACAGCTGAGACGAGCACCACTGCGAGAAACCTGATTATACGAGTGCGCAGTGCGTTGCTTTCACGCGCAGAAGCAGCCCTTTTGGTGCTAGCGTGTACGGGTTTTCGCAAGTTCGCTGTCTACTTGTCACGCTCGAGCGGGCCTTTGTATTTGCGTGGCGGTGACCGCTTTCTCGTCTTTCTTGGTGGTGATACGAAGCGGTTGCGGCAGCTGAAGGAGGTGTTTCAGAAGCAGTCAGTGGCGATTCGGGATCTCAGAGGCCCTTGTATTCACCCGAGCTACGTGTCGACGCAGAGCGCGTTCCGCAAATTTCTCTTGCAGCGAAACGAAGAATTTCTCGCGAAGGAACTCGTTGCGCTTACGAGACTCGAGACTTGTTCGGCATTACCAACAACACTACGCGGGAGTGAATGCAATGGCCGATTCCCGGCTGCCGATAATGGCCAGCTTGTGGAGTTCTTGGTTCGCAACGCTGGCATAGACTTACGCTTTTTCTTACCCACCGACACAGTAAGAACTTCTACTGCTTTGTCCTCGGAAAATGAGAAAGGTACAGAAAATACCGCGCGCCCGCTCATTTTTCGCCTCTATTTTGGCACGTTTAATCCGTTCCACGAGAACCACGTCGCCATGGTCCGCCACACCCTAGACCAGGGAGAAGGCGTGGTTCTGTTTCCAAACGACGACGGCAATACGGTAAAACGGACGACAATGGTTCCCCTCGAGAGACGAACAGAGATGCTTCGTCTGCGATGCGCAGCGTTGCTGCAAGAGCATCCGCAATGGCGCGGTCGGCTGCGCGTCGTTTTACAGCGGCAGATGAAGAGACTGACGAATAATTCATCTACTTCGCAAGACGCCGCTTCGGTACCAACTGAAGTAGGATCCTGTGCAGTAGCGGCAGCAGCTAGTACAACCCTAGCGGAGCCGATTAAAACCAACTGGCCGGGTCGACTACACTGGCGTGCCATGCTGGAGCGGCAACTGAGTCTCGAGCTCGGCCGCCGCGTGTGCGTTGGTTTCATGCTGGGTGAGGACAGCTGGCGGTCAAGTCTCCTTCGCGGAGACGGCCACAAACAATCAGGCATCTTTGCCCTGCTCAAGGACCCGCGGCTCGAACAAGCGCAGAAGGAGAATCTAAGGAAGCTAGTGCTGATCTTTCCACGGTCGATAGCATGTGCGCAGTTGGCGGAGAAAGCAAGCAGCCGCGAAAATGTAGATCGATTCTGGGTCGGCCCCAATGCGGCACACATGGTCGAATATGCGCGCGAATACAGTGATCCCGCTCAGAATCTCTCGTCAACGGCGTTGCGCAATCTCCTAGGAAAAGGCAGTCAAGAGTGCGATTCAAAGGCAGCAGATACTGACATTTCAATCGATGCGGCACACTTGCACCCGGTGCTGGTTCACTATGCGCTTCAACACAAGCTTTACGCCGGGAACCATGAAATGGCACTGACTCCTCGAAATAGAGAGGAACAGGCGGAGACTGAAGTTGCGGGAGCTTTTCGCGAGCAAATGCGGGCACACGCCGTGTTGGAGCAGGAAAGGGAAAACGGAGGAAATCAAGTCTTGAATGGTGTTGCTCAGGTACGCGAACACTACAATGCGACTGTTGCCGCGGCGGCTGCGCATCAACGCGCCGAGTCCCAATCGGTAACGTCACGAAACACGCACAATTTTCTAAAGAGTGTCTTAATTCTTCGCGCGCTGGAGCATGTGAGGCGGCGCATCCCGGAGGAAAAAAAGTATTTGACCTTGTTGGATCTGGGCATGGGCAAAGGTGGAGACCTGGCAAAGTACCGCAACGCCGGTGTGTGCCAGGTTCTCGGCATCGACGTGTCTGGCGCGAGCCTCCGTGAGGCACTGCGTCGCTTACGTGAGGACAAAACCGTTGCCCGCCACGGCGAACTCCGGAAAATGCGCGACGCAGGCCTCGAGGCGTTGTTTCTGGAGGGAAATGCCTTTTCGGCCTCCGGAGCAGCCGCTTTTTTGGCTGATAGCTTTGACGCACGTAAGTTTGGGACTGCGCGGATTGCGACTACAGGATCGAGAACGCTCTTCCACGCTGTCAGTTCGATGTTCGCGTGTCATTACGCTTTTTCGACCGAAGAAAACGCGCGAGCGCTTGTTCAAACTGCCGCCGGACGTCTGTGTGAGGGGGGAGTGTTTTTCGGAGTCATACCTGATGCTGCGGCCATTCTACAAAATTGCCGTGACGACAGCGCAGGCACTGCCCGCGCCAATTCAGCTTCCTGCGCTTCATGGCGCACAGATTTTTTCACAGTGGAATTCACAGATCCAGTGTCGTGGCGGCGGGCCCAAGCCCTTGACCATGCAGGGACACAAACAGCACCATCATCGGCATCGGAAGCTTTCGGAATCGAGTACACTTTCTCCTTCGTAGACGCAGTGGAAAAGTTGGCTGAGCCGCTCGTGCACTGGGGAACGTTCCTACGTCTTGCACGTGAGAACGACCTCGAATTACTGCAGAGTGCACCGCTCAGCGAGCTGGTACCATTGGAGCGAACTGAGGATGGCAGGTTTGAAACCCCTAAGTCGGCAGGTGGAGACGTTGAGCGCCTCGCGCGACAATACTTTTACAAGGGCGGCCTAAATCCTGTGGTCGCCGAGTTGTATCGTAGTTTCATCTTCGTCAAGCGAACCTCATCCGTGGATATCACACCACCCATTTTACACGAAGCCGTGCGCGCCATGGCGAAAACCCACATCATTCATCCTGAAGTAGGCACCCTTTAAAAAGACTTAGCCGTTCATGCTGTCGCTCCGGTGCGCATAGCACGAAAATAAGATCATCGCGCTGTCAGCATCGCAGAATCTCGCACGTTATCCATCTTGGCTTTGCTATGATTTCGAACTTCTACAAAGAGCACAATAAATTTTAGAAGGGACGAAGAGGCTACCCGTATCAGGATATGTTCTTCCGTGTTCCACTCATCACGGAATCATTTTCACGACTATGAATCAAGAATGTGTCGGTCTCTAGAAAGATCCTGGTTGCGCGCCGCAGCAGATAGCGAAAGGGAAATCGTCTGTGAATGTCGGCGTCATCAAAGGTTTCCTCTTGAGAAGAGTCGAGAAATGGACAATTTATTCTGAAGGGGCCTGCCCCTCGGTTCTAATCATTTAGATTTGATCACCAAGGCATAGTTGCAATTTATTAGAAAAATGAAAATGACTGCTTCGCAATGATGGCACTTTGAACACAGGCTTTACTTGAGATGTATTTTTTATCACAAGCTGGTACGAGGTTCCTTGTTTCGTTTACATTAATTATCTTTTAAGTTGAGTGAGTTTGTTCTGGTTAGAAGCTGACAAAGGCTTCATCAGATTATCGTACCCAGAAAACGAATCAATCAATTTCCTATTGATCTTCAGCGACGAAGAAAGATGAGTTCTGGTGCTGCAGGCGCGCCTGCTGTCGATGTCTTTGGTGAGCCTCTGGGCCAACAGCTTTACGCAGTAAGTTGTGAGTGTAGCCATGGCGTTCGTGTGGACGTTCAGTGCCAGCGCGGAGATGATGTCACCGCTTCCCTGTACTTGGATCATTTACTCCATTCGCGGTGTAAGAATCCATTTTTCTCGTCTGGTGGCAGCAGTTCTAGCACATCAACGAAAGCCCGAGCAGCGGCGCAGCGCCCCACGGTGGATCCGCGATCCATGAGAAGGCTTCGGTGTGGCAATTATCGCAGTAATCATGCCGGACGAGGAAATTCACAGCCGGTCTATCAGCCGGGGTCAACGTGGCTGTGCTTCCCAGTGCGAGTGAAGGACTTGCCGCTTACAGCGCGCGTTCATTTTGACGTCGTGCGCGAGGACGGGAGTCGCTATCAAGCCATGCTTCACTTGTTTCAGCGGTCTGGCGTGCTTAAGCAGGGCCGACAACTGCTTATCCTACGTGACGCGGCAGAACAGGCCGAAGACGACGCCGGCTCGTGGAACGACGTGGAGGACACACTTGCCTCAACAGCGTCTCCCGGTCGGTCACAGAAGTTACGCTGGGACGAGCCACGGAATTCGGTAGAAGGGGAACTTATGAACTGGGATAAACTCCTCGACCTGGCTGATCGCACAATTTTAGCGGAAGGAGGCGGTTTCTCGCGTGAGCACGTCCAACAGCTCGAAGACGATGCCTTGGACCGTCTGGGAAAAGAGGTTCTTTGCTCTACATAGAGTGGATTAATTCTAATGCAGGAGTATCAAGATCAAGAATGGAAATGGATGCACGACATGGTTATTTTTGAGTGTGATCCATTGGGAATTGTATTCTTGATATCGTCACGCACTATCGATTTAGGTACTAAGCGTCCATCTTCCGTGTTTCACGTATCCGGTCGTCTGGTCTGAGGTCGCGTATCAAGATAGCGTGGCAATGAAGCATGTGTTTCCGCCTGGAGCGGGCGATGTTCCTGTCGTGCTTGCTAGCGCCGAGAACGCGAGTTATGGTTGCTTTTTAGACGAGAGTGAGAGCGAATCCGACAGCTCATCGGACGAAGAAGCGAGCGTCTCAGACGGGAAAGGAGATGGAAGGACTCGGAGAAAAGGCGTGACGCGCATAATAGACGTTCTCGACGACACATGGTGCGTGGATGTGCGGGAAGTCGACTCTCATTCGGGTCTCGGCGGTGGAGCTTTTGTGTGCCTCGTAGACCACGAACTCGAAGGCAATTTCGAACACCCCGCGCATTTGAAGTACCTAAAGCTGCAGAAGGCCCAAGCGGGCGAAAAGGAGGGACATCAGGTATGATTTGTAGAAGATTACTATATTTGGCATTAGGGCCAAGAATGATGATGTCGGTAAGTAGAAAACTTTGAGTGTTTCTATTTTTTTTTCGTCAAAACGAGGCTTGTCAAAACCACACATCAAAGGGCGTTCTGCGTCCCAATGCTGAGGAGCTAACGAAGCTGAACGACATTTTGCGACGGCCGGTGACGCGTCAGTACTCGATGGATGAGAAGCTCCTCCTGTACAAGTTCCGGCACTCGCTGGTCGATCGCAAGGAAGCGCTGATAAAGTTTTTACACGTCGTAGATTGGCAGGACGGTGCGGAAAAGCGGCACGCGCTAGAGCTCATGCGGCAGTGGTCGCAGGTCGGAACTGACGACGCTCTCGCATTTCTGTCCAAGGACTTCCGGGGCGTGGCCGAAGTACGTCGTTACGCGGTTGACCGTCTTGCGACAGCCACAGACGACGAGCTCCTGGGCTATTTATTACAGTTAGTGCAAGCGCTTCGTTACGCGCCAGACTCGGCCGACGACAAGGACGACAAAGATGCGGGTGAGCAAGGGGAAGAGGCGGGCGCAAATAAATCCGGACGAGGCAAGGAGCCGTCAAGTGGGGGAAGCACTGCGGCATCAGCGCTTTCGTCGGGCGCCAGAAGTCCGTCCAAAGACGGGGGAGCTTTGAGCTTAAGCGAGGCCGATCCGCTTTTGTCGTTTTTGATCGGTCGTGCGCAATCGAACGTGGTGTTGGCGACCTACTTTCACTGGTTTTTGATCGCCGAAATCGAGGCATCGGATTCAGGGCAGTACGAGCGTGGAAGCGGTGGCGGCACCGAAGGTGGTGGCCTCTTCAACGCCTACATATTCGTGAAGGCGCGGCAGCAGTTGCTGGACACGCTGGAGGAACATCAGCCCTCGTTTGCGCGCACCATCAGCGACCAAATCACGTTTCGCCGCAAACTTCTGTGGGCTATGCGTGTTGCGAAAGCGCCGAAGCGGCAGTCTATCGAACTGAAGATAACGAAGTTTCAGGACGCACTGAGCGGCAAGCAGGTGGCTGATCCGGAAGCCGGCGACCGGATGGTTTCAAAGCAATTCAATGTGCTGGATCTGCCGATGATCGTTGATCCACACAAAAGGTTGTTGCGGATCATTCCCGCAAAATGTTTCCTCATCAAGAGCGCGATGTACCCAGCGGTTCTGCACTGCGAGGTGCGGGAAGGCGCGGTCGGCGAGGACGGCAAAACTGGTATGGTCGACTCGCGCAAGTACATGTTCAAAGAAGGTGATGACTTGCGGCAAGATCAACTCGTTGTGCAAATGATCATTCTGATGGACTCTATTTTCAAGAAATATGGTCTGGATCTGCGCCTCACTCCCTACAAAGTGATTGCGTGCAGCACAATCGACGGCTTGATCGAGTTTGTGCCAGACGCGCGCAATCTGTCGGCGGTGTTGGCGGAGAACAACAACGACCTTCTCGCGTACTTCCGCTCCATAAGTCGCGGGCAGCAGAAGATGGCGCACAGCAAAGCAGGATATAGTCCCACCAATGCGGACAACCCGATGAACACCGCTAGCAGTGTACAACAGCACGAGCAGATGTCGCGGTTGCACGAAGTGGACAGCGAAATTTTGGACAATTTTGTGCGCTCCTGTGCGGGCTACTGCGTGATCACCTACATTCTAGGTATTGGCGACCGACATCTGGACAATCTGATGGTTACCTCGCGCGGCCAGATGTTTCATATTGACTTTGGCTTTATCTTGGGCAAGGACCCGAAGCCCTTCCCGCCACCGATGAAGCTGTGCAGGGAAATGGTAGACGGTATGGGCGGCAAAGATAGTCCTTACTATCGCTCCTTTCTCTCGAACGCGTGCGAAGCGTTTAAGATTCTACGACGACATCAGAATTTGTTGCTGAATTTGCTCTACCTCATGTCGGATGCCGGGATCAAGGATATTTCCCATTTCGCACTCAGCAAGCTCCAAGAGAAGTTCTTGCCGGAAATGAACGACGAGGCGGCGGAAAGTCAGTTCATCACGCTCATAAACGAGTCAGTCAATGCGCTGTTCCCACAAATGATGGAGAAACTTCACAAATGGGCAGTGTACTGGAGATAACTAAGTACCCCACAGCACACGTTTGTTGTTTCCATTGCAGCCGGGGATCTTCTACAGGCGCTTTGTGCGAGTTTGGGAGCATTCTTTCTTCACACGGATTACGAACAAGGATGACCACTTGATTTCTCTATTATCACCCGATACTACAGTTACATTTGCTACGTAGATTCAATGAACAATAGACGTTTTCGGTAACGTCGATGGAACTGCCGGACCAGCACGAGGAGTGATTGCCGCGCTCGATTTTGAATGGACATCCAGGGCGAGCCGACAGAGTTTTAGATTTGCAATGCAGAGAGCAGTGATTCTCATAGTTCCATTCTCATATTGCGGTTTGTCAGCGGGTGGAATGATCTCTCATTGCGTCAGTTCTCCATTGCATAATCTCGTCAACGATTACCCCTTCAGTTGAGATAAAAATCATAAGCATAATGATGGACACATGACTCGCGAGAATGAGTAATTGCAGTAGTTCGTCTCTGACTTTTGTTCGCCTTGACCTTGGATCTTCTTTTTTACAACTAAGACTACATCTTACTGACTACACTTTATTTCTCTTTGTTTCTCGTTGCAAGAACTACAGGTCGCGGTCCATTTGACTAGAAATTGTGTTGTCTAGCTTAGCAGTCCATTTTGAATAATATTAATAGCTAGTTATGAAGAGTATCTGTGCAGTATTGTGTCCGTGACTGTGGGTGGAGAATAATATTTTGAGTAAGTAGTTGTCGTTGTGAAGATGGATCCCAATCAGTTTGCGGAGGCTGCCAGAGCGCAGCAGATGATGATGCAGCAATGGCAGCAAGAATGGGCCGGCATGATGCAAATGAATCCTGACATGGCTACGCACATGCAGGGGATGATGCAAAATATGATGAGCATGGGCACTGCAACAGGTAACATGATGGCCAGCCATAGTGCTGCGAATAGTGCTGCAGTCATGAACACTGGCGCTCTAAATACTGTTCCAAGCACATCATCTGCGAACAATCGGTCACTGCCAACTGGTTCGAATCGTAACATGACTGGTGGAGGGGCGGTTGCGAGCTCGAGCTCGACAACCGGTCAATATTCATCGCCGTATGGAGGAAAAGAGTCTGGCGGAAAAAGTGGCCATGCATCAGCTGGACGCCGTGATCAGACCGTCCCGGTAAGCTTTTTTTAACGATAGTTAAGACAATACTACATTCAAAGCAATTTCAATTCTTCGATGTTCCTCTGAAAGCAGAGGTCCAGCGCAAGAAATCACCCATTAATCAAGTTCTTTGAACGCGATGCGCATCGCTTGAACTCATACGACACTAGCATTTCTCTGCCTCGTCATCTTAAAGACAGCTATCTCGCTTGAGATGACAGGGTAAAAATACATCCACACTTACAAAGTCGATTGATCCTTGTTATTTCGTAGCATAGGTATGCAGACTGACCTAGTAAACACTTTTCGTACATTTTTCAGGATGAACTGCCTGCGACACTACGGAAGTTTTTTTTGGGTGGATTGTGCTTCCAAACAACTAGTGCTGATGTCAAAAGGTAAGTATTCTTCACTAGCTCCAAAAGACTGTGCTACAGTATTGTCAGATCATCCTCAATTTTGCGATTTACCCGAAAGCTCGACGTTTATTTTCTTGATTTTTTTTTGAGCGTGGATTAAATCATAGCGATAAACACCACTGACGGCATCATGGGAGAGTAGTCAGTGTCCCGATCAAATCGACCTCATAAATACAGGCACTTCCAGAGCTGGGGAGAAGTAAAAGAGGGCACCGTAATGTTCGATGCGGCAGGAAATTCGAGACATTTCGGCTTCGTGAACTTCAAACGGCATGAAGACGCTTGCAGAGCGTACGCAGCGCGGCCGCACACCATCCAGGGTCGGACAATCGATGTAAAACCCTGTTTTCGAAAGGCGCATGAGGTCGACAGCGAAGACGATGCCGGTGGCAGGCGACGGCGAGGCGGTGGGCGACACCGCGCGCGGTCTACCTCACGGAGTCGGAGTCGCAGCCGCTCAGCTGACCGTTTATTTGAGGAGCGGAGGCGCGCGATGCAGGCACGGGACGGCGGAGGTCAGGGAAGTAGGGCCAACGGTGGTTCCAGAAGTAGATCATCCTCGCGTAGCCGACGAAGTCGAAGCTCGCGAAGTCGAAGTTCGCGTAGTCGTAGCTCACGCAGTCGGTCAGGCTCTTCAAGAAGGAGAGACCGACCTGATGATATGCGTGTGCAACTGCGGAAAAAGCATGCTGAGAAAGTAGAGGCTTTGAACAATCTGCCAGTCCTCTGTACGTTTCAGGAGCCGATGCGGGATGAAGAAGATGAAGACGACATTGATGGCACGGACATTTCAGATGGACTCCATCAAGGCCTTGACAACGAAGCAAGTCTTTCTAGTGTAGTGAAGGAGGAAGAACCGCCTACAGCGCTCTCTACCTGGAGAGAGATGGTCGATGCTGGCATTCTACCTGCGAAAATGGAAACTGCGTTGACGCGGCAAGGTCTTCGAGCACCCAGCCTCGTTCAGAAGTTCTGCTTGCCCATCCTGGCGGCGGGACATGATCTCATTTGCAGTGCGCAAACCGGCTCCGGCAAGACGTTTGCGTTTCTGATTCCCGTCGTATCAAAACTTTTGGATCTGCAGAGCCGAGACGCATTGCCCCACCGGATCTGGTTCGACAACTTGCAACAAGCGAGTCCGCTAGTTCTGATCCTTTCGCCAACACGAGAACTTGCTGTGCAGACGCACAAAGAAATCAAGTCCATCCTTCCTCTTGCAGCGGCTTCGGAAACCTCCACCAGGCGGAGCAATCACGGCCACCGAGGTGCACAAGTAAAAGACGACAAGAATCGCGAATTACATGCAGTTGTATGCTACGGCGGAGAGCGATCGAAAGTACAGCTTGACGAAATTTACAAGCAGGTACTTGTACAGTTTTTTTCTGCGAGAAACGCTTAGCGTTCACTACTTTGAGCTTCATCGAACTCAAGTTCCCGTCCGTGAGCATAGCTGACTGATCTTTTTGTTCCACCAGTTGTGGCTACAACTTAATCCGTATTTTATAGACAAGATGATGAAGACAGGTCTCCAACAATCTTGCTTCGTCTTTGTTCCGAATAACCTTTGTGACGACAGTAAAGCTCTTATGTCGTCGCAGTAAACTCGGAACTAGAACAAAATTTGACTTGCATTCACGGGCCGTAGGAGAAAAGCTAATACTCCTAATGCGGTACTCACGCTTGTCAGACACTACACACGATGAGGGCTTCAATCGTTCAAAACTGAATTATGAAACGAGTTTTTTCATCGTTCCTCCACCGATCTCGATCCATGAAGAATCTCGTGTGCCCCTCTCCGGTGGCTTGCACATGATTTTCTTTATTCACGATACCCGTCTATTGCGTTCCCTTCTTTTGTAAGTTATTCATCTCTGCGCATGACCTCAGCCTCTGGCTTGTGCAGTTGTGATGGGAACTAGAGTAATGAAATGCGCAGGAGCTCACTCCCGCGTCGGGTGGATCCAGGGTTGGCGGGAGTTTAGCTCCAGTCTCGCTGGCAGTCAACAGGCACCCCACAATCACTCACTTTGGAACGACGTTGTGAATATACCGAGAATCAAAATTTTTGAGAGTTCTCAACTGTGACCATGAATTATCAGGTCGACATTCTGAGCGGCACGCCTGGCCGTATTCTGGATTTTATCGACTGCGGGCGGATATCGTTGAATTTCGTGGACCGTTTAGTGCTTGATGAAGCCGACATGATGTTAGACCTGGGTCTCCAGAGCATGGTGCAGGATATCGTGCTAAAACGCGATTGTCAAAGCCCGGCCCATCGCCAGACGCTTCTCTTTTCCGCCACTTTTCCACCAGGCATCCGCGAGATGTGCCGACAGTACCTGAATCCGCGGAAGAAGCATGTTTTTTTGCGGATTGGCACCTACGACCATGGTACAGGAGGTTCTTGCGCCCATATTGAGCAGCAAGTGAAACTCGCATCATCTGACGAAGAAAAATTCTCTATGCTTGAGCAGGATTTGCGCACTTATGTCCGTCACAACGGTCACGGGGCTCAGGGAGTGCAGCCACGGGTTCCGCAGCCTGGTGTGGAGATAACGAGCGGAAGTCTACCAGGCGCGTCTGGAAATCCTTTCATCCTAGCCTCTGGTGCGGGAACGGTAAGCGATCCTGGGAACACAGTAGAGGGGAGTGCTGGAAGCGCAGTCCACATAGAACGGGCCATAGTGTTTTCGAACCGACGAGTGGAGGCGACGCGACTTGCCCATTCGCTCAGTGAGAGAGGCTTCAGGGTATACGGCATTTACCCGCAGGCTGTTGTAGTAGCCTAATCGGCACATCATCTCGATCAATAGCCAATTCAAATACTTTTATTTGTAGCCATCTGGTAGCAGTCAAGCTCACGTTGTGCGCGGCCTAAGGAGGATGACTGAACTTTCTTCTTCGTCCTCCTCTCTGAGATGAGAGTGAAGGATTCCTGCAAACATTTTCTTCGAAATTTCGTTCGTCTGATGCGATATCGTGTGTGCGTGGTTTGCTGCTTCGAACAAGTAGTAACTCCAAAGCGCTTAACTGTCTTCATTAAGAACACTAAGATCCTTCTCAAATCTACTTCGAAAAATTTGTAAACTAGGTGGCGCATATACACTCGAAGCTGGACCAGGCATCGCGAGAGGCGGCCGTCGACTCTTTCGCGCGCGGGGAGTGCAACGTGCTTGTGGCGACGAACATCGCCTCTCGTGGTTTGGATTTCGACGTAAAGGCAGTGTTTCAGATCGATCTACCGAATGACATAACGAGTTATACGCATCGCATTGGTCGGACCGGCAGACTCGGTGAGCGGGGTGGGGTCGCAATCAGCTACGTGAATCGGCGAGACCAAAAACTCTTCCGACCTCTACGCGATTTCCTTCGCCTCAATGGGCAGCAGGTGCCGCAGTTCCTTGAGCGCTGGACCCGGTGAGTCTCTGATGTTGAACCGTTGTCGTGATGATAAAGAACCCTGCAGAAGTCATGAACAACACTCGCCATAATTATCCTAATGAAGAAGCCAAGACGCTTCTCCTCATCGCTGCCGTGACTTGGAATTTTCCTTTCCCTATGATTTTTTGCTTCCCAACAGCAGATATGCCAGCGTCTCTGGATGCTGATGAATCTAACATCAACACGCACACCGTGGTCCGTGACTACTTTTCTGGTCGTCTTGTGAATCCCGCACGACAGCCGGTTTTAGATTTGCGTCTGTAGGTAGAAGACTACTGTTTCTGACCGCGTGAGAGTAACTGTTCTAAGTTAGAAGGATATGTTGAAAAGAAACCTGAAAAATTTAAAGAATGTGGAAAATGTGCCGGGTGCCTGTATTACAATGTGGAAAATGTGCCGGGTGCCTGTATTACATTTATTCTAAATAGCACACGCTGCAGCGACGTCCACATCAAAACAGGAGCGAGCAAAAGCGCTTGATTGTCTTGTCGTAAGAGTTTTGACTTTTGATTAGGTCCTGGAATCCGCGTCGGTGCGTGTTTACTAATTTTTCTCCAAAAGAAGTGAATCGTCCGAGCGAAAGCACACTCTCTATGCGTTCTTTATGCAGAAGTAGTGTATGAATGATCTTTTAGTTGATAAGTTTGGTAAAATTGCGAAAGCTTTTGCTGCTGCTGTGGAGGTGTTGTTGTGACTGATAAAAGTTCATGATTAGCTGCCCGAGCCAACGCAGCGAGAAACAGGACAGTAGCGGCGCATTTGTTGCGAAGATAGGTACAACTCAGCAAGGACTCCGGAGCTCGGCAGTCTCTTATTGCCTCTCTGCGTGTCGTAGCGTGGCAGCGAAAGTCGACGAGGGTGCGTCAAAACCGGCGCGAGAAATTTGTCCCGAAAATCCAGACTCTCTGTGTGGGCGAGTACCTTTTTCTCGAGAAAGATCGGGGAATTGGACCAAGATATTCTCGTCGCATTCTCAGTAAGCGCGACGAGGCGTGCGCTGCAGACTCGAAATCTTTAACATCCTTCTGTCTTCTCGAAACAGTTATATATCTTCTTCTTACTCAAGATGCAGTTTGCTGGTGCAGTTCCCGCTATGAAGAAGGCGGGGATCAAAGCTGATGGCTTTGATTCCCAGTTCTCCGGTTGTCGCGCTGTTGAGGTTCGAATCGAGAACGAAACCTTCGTCCGCAAGTGGAGGGAACCCGCCAGTCAGTCCATAGCGGCTGTCTTTGACAAGATACGTCAAAGTGTCAAGTCAGATCCTGGACCAAGGTTTTTCCTCATCGCGCATCCAGACGGCGCCAATGTCTGTCTCATATGGATGCCAGAGGAGACGCCGACGAAAATGAAGTTCGTGTACCAATAAACACGTTTGTTTTTCGTGCATGGCGAGAGATGAAGCTATGTATCTAGAGTTTTTTTCGTCGCAGTTTGATAATTTTTGTATCTATGGATGCGAACAAGTCGTGCAAGTACATGACGACTTTTCAGCCTGAAAAACAGGTACACGCAGAGTGTTAGTCAGCTTAAGACTCTACCGGTGCATAAAGTGGATGGATCACTTTGGAAGGATTTTCGAACAGACGAAGTTGCGGAATTAACGTACCTGCCCAAATTCTAGCAAAGCACTTTTGCATTTTTGGTCCGACTCATACTAGTGTCCTGATTTTGGTTCAAGATGATTGTAATCAATCGACATTTTCGGAAGTAGTCGTTGCCACACATGAGGATCATGTCTTATCCTCTTAGGTACTGAAATACAATGTTGTAACCGACGAGGCCTTGTTTTTTCTATCTTCCCCACTAGCTACAGCGGACGTCTCAGATTCAATTCTCTTTCCGTATGATAGATTTTTCACCACAAGCAACATGATAGTACAGATCCATTTGGTCCATGCATGATCATCAGGGAAGCAGCACTTGCGTCACAGCTTGTCGGCGTGGAGGGAGCCCAAAGGCGGAGCTTGATGTCGGTTTATGAGAGGAATGAGGAAGACATCAAAAGTGGGATTGAAGCGACAAAGAAAGAGATATCTGGTGGCATCAGACTTCCCGGAATGGCACCTGTCGAGGCAACGGTTTCGTCAGCGCTTGAAACCGCTTTGAAGGGGTAATTTGTACTTAGCGTTTTAGCATACAATATCTATATCATATATTTTTCAACGTCGAGTCGTAATGATAATTACTGGCAGTTCTTTTGTGAAGTCTCAAGTTTAGGACCTGGCTGAGTCTCTCACGAGTTGTCCGTAGATGAACTAGAGGTTGCTATGATTTTTTGTCTCCGGATCTCGACGAGAATATATATTGGAGGAGAGACAATCCTCTGACTATGATATCAGCCTCCAAAACGGTGGAATAGTCGTTGCACGAGTCGAGGATGCTGGAGGGAAAACGTCGGTCTGCGGAAAAGTTGAGAAGAGTGGAACTCTGCCGACTACAGTAGCGCTTGCGCCTGCAGACTGCTGCTTCATGGTATGGCGACGAGCTGCGGACCTCGTCCAGATAATCTCCTACAGCTCCGACAATGCGGCGAGTACTTTGCAACATATTTATCTCGTTAGCTACATGTTGCATGTGCTGAGTACCAACGTGCCATGTCGACGTAGAAGATATTCGTTATGAGAAAAAGTATAATAATAGACGGCTCTCATTTTTGTTCAGTTTTTTAAACATGTGAGAGTGAGTATTGATTGACACGCTTATTACAATCTATCACATATCTTTCTCTATGTACTTCCACGTCAACTTCCTAGTGAGTTGTAAAGCCAGGCGGTGTCACCAACATGTTTTCAGGTCGAGCCAAAATGAAGCATTCTAGCTGTGCGGGAACGTTGAGGGAGAAGGTGAAAGCTACATTCGCGGACAGCGTTGTCGTGTGGGGGGAGGCGCATGATGCGGAGGAGGTGAAAGAAATCGAAGTGCAACCAGAAGCAGATGCTCGCGCGGTTGCCCAGAGAACCTCGGCTGCTCCAGATTTATGATCATCTCCGTCTTGATGTCCTGCGTCTTTCATCCTCACGTCGTCCTCGATCACGTCGATCTCGATCCTTAGCTGTCAATGAATAATTAGAACTTGCTGCTTGATGAACGAAAGGTCCTTGGCGATTTTTTTCAAAAGTCTGATGAATCATTTTTGAATAGCACGATTCTTGAACAAGCCGTAGTTCAGATGATATAGATGTCGTTCATCGCGCATTATTTGAGCCGAGTCTAATGGTTGACGAAGCAACGAAATCAGCAGTTAAGCAGAGCATCATGCTAGGAGGGGGAAAGAAGGTGCCGGTGGGTTCATTTCGGTTGCCAGGCATGGAGTAGCTGCCAGGATCATGGGGGTGTAATAGGACAAAACAAAGCCGCTTCTCCGGGAACGAAGGTCATGCCCACGAGAAGCTCATCGATGTGTTGGTGTTTGTAACGGGAAAGAAAATGATTTGGTACAACTTCGAAGAAGTCGTAACGCACAGGAGGAGTCATCACAAGTTGATTCACGAAGTCACGGCATTAGTAGATCACAGCCAGACCTGATCATGAGACATCACCTACAACGACCTCAACATGATGAAGCTAACATCGTGTAATTTTGATCATCTTCGACGCGCGTCTGGGTGAAAAAAATCCAACTTGAATGTCACAAGGCCAGAATGAAATAACAAATAGCTGATTCATTGTATGTCTTGTCGCATGTTGTAGATGTGCTACAGATAAGATTCAATGTTAATAAATACGCATAAGACCACATCATGCACATAGGGTTGGACTTCGTTCATGTGCATTCATATGAGACCAGTATCGCAGCATCAAACAGGAAAGCCTCAATCAAAAGCATTTTATGTCATCGTGGTCTGACCGGAGGGTCCCCCCCGTTTTTACAGGGGAAAAAAGAAAGGCATGATCTTGAAGCGCACCGCGGCTGCGTTGTTGCAAACGCATCGGACAAGGACTCTCGAGCAAACTTTCAACGTGCGTGTCCTTCAAGAATTACTTGTTTCTGGGTTAGGAATGCAGCGTGGTGAGTGAGGTAGCGGTCAGAAATGCAGATGAGTGTGGAGACGACACGGAAGAACTGAATTGACATGGAAGAACAAGGACCTGCATTTCATCTGAGTTGTTGTTTTCGTGACTTGCGATTGTGTCTACATCAGATAATATTAAGTTGCACTTTATTGTCTGAAATCAACAAAATGTGGTAGTGGGCGGCGGAGCCAAATGTCAGCTACGGCTAGTGGGAGTTCGTCGGTAGTAGCTTGACAGAGAGAGTCAACATGGTGTTCTCAAGTGTGTTGAGGACGCTCGGTGCCGCGTGCGTAGCGCTGAGCTTTGCTCCGAGCGCGCGCAGTGCCAATGCAGGACGCGCAGTGGCCGCCCAGCAGCTTCGTGCGGCGAAAGCGAAGCGACGCACCAACACGATATCGACGTCATTGACTTCCAGCACAACGCGTCGAAACAAGAACCATGTTCGCGCAAGCTCGAACGAGGCCTACAACACGGTTGATGGTGTGGGCAGTGACAACACGAGCGACGCTTCTGTGGACGCAGAAGGGTTCTCGACTCTCACCGCAACCTACCCGTTTTATCATACGACAAATCAGATCCACTCCGAACTCCTACGATTGCAAGCTGGATGCAACGGCTGGCTCTCTGTCGATACACAGGGCAGCGAAGCTGGACCGTCCGTCGATGTCGTGTCCGTCCGAAAACCGGTGCTAACTACAAATTGAATTTTCTCTCAACATCGCGAAAAGTTGTTAACTTGCCAATTCAAAGATACCTACTTTGGATCAGAACTTATCCTTGTCGATTTCATTTTTTCAGCAATCTGCTGGACAGCTTCACACAAAAATACAGAATGTGACGCCAACTAGTCGTTTTTTCCTCCTATTCGGGGAGCATGCGCGGGAGCTGATCTCGGCAGAATCGGGTTTTCACTTCTTGAAAACTTTGTGTGGTGAAACGAATCTCGGTGCTTCGTCGGGAATGAGCAGTAGCGTCTCATTGTTGCAGAAGTTTCATAGTCGTTTTGGCGCCGCAGATGCCTCTGCTGCGGCCATCAGCTCTCTTCTGGATACCACCGAGTTTAGACTGGTGGTTAACGGAAATCCCGATAGTCGCAAGAGGGTAGAACGAGGAGAATTTTGTTTGCGTGTGAATGGCCAAAGTGTAGATTTGAACCGGAATTGGGACTTAAAGTGGGAGCCGAGCTCGGCGTCCCTATCAGCAGACACAAACCCTGGCCCACATCCTTTCTCGGAAACTGAAACCAAGATTTTCCGCGACGCAGTGAAAGAGTTTCAACCGACGGGTACTATGCATGCAAATGTGAAGTCTTATTCATGAACATGAAGATCTAGTAGATCTACATCGAAATACATAGAGCTAGCATGTCTAGAAGAAGTTTTGGACTTGAAGACGAAGGTGCATTGTCACTCAACATAGGGAAAAGTTCCCTTAGACTCTCTTCAATTGGCCACGCTCGCGTCTTCCGATAGATTTCATTAAAACACATATCAATTCATCAACTTCTGCCAGCTTTTCTGACGATCCACTCCGGCACACGCGGAATGTATATGCCGTGGGCCTACAATATGGTTGACGAAGCAACGCGAAATGGTCCGACAATGCTTCGTATGATCAAGGAGTTGGATCAGAACTATTGCAAGTGTCCCTTCGGCGCGGCCGGCAAGGAAGTGGGATACAGCTGCCCTGGCACTTGCCTGGACTACGTGTACGATAAGCTTGGAGTCGACTACAGCTTTGCGTACTTATCACCTCAGCTGCTATCTGATTAACTATGTCTAGTTTTTGTTGGTAAAAGCAAGTATCATTATCATGCTGCTTAGAAGTGTTGTGATAGCATTATGATAGCCAGTGACAGCACTAACAAATTACTTTGTGGTCCAGTCACGGATTCCATTTCTATCTCCTTAGATGTATCACGTCTCTTTTCCTCCCTCCTGTCATTCAGATTCGAGATTTACAGCAACCCTGCGGATGACGCGGCTCTAAAATCACGATATGACGAGCTTGCAAGCTCGAGTACTTCGTTCATCCAAGTGAATAGAGACGATGCTAGCAATGCCTTGGGGGCCGACGCGGGATGCTTCATGCAGTTCAACCCACAAACGCAGGACAATTTCGCCCAGACAGTGGAGAATTGGACTCGAGTGTACTTGAGACTAGCACAATTGGTCGAAGAGGACGTTACGAAGAAACACAGTGCTACTGGCGAAGCTTCGCATGATATGGCTGATTTGAATATCCCCTGCTATATTTATCTTTTGTTCTTGTTAGAACCTTTTCTTCCACCTAATCTTGTTCCTTTTCTTTCTCTAGCATTATCTATGCCTGTGAGAAGAGCGGAAAGAACTACGGGTGTCCTTACGAATGTCGTGAAGACCTTGAGTGAACTGAAATGGCAAGACACTCTAAGCATAAAACCGGGGGAACACCGTCGCTGGTCGAGTCGGAACGGAATTCGATTGTGGGGGATGAAGACTTCCAGGCGCTGGTGGAGTCGCTCCGCAACAAAGATACAGCGCCAATGTGGCGACCGTAATATTTTTATGGAAAAAATATAGAACTTCAACTTACTTGTAATGTCTGTTGCAAACATGTTGTTTCCATGCATGATCCATGATAAGTAGTGGTCAACAGAGTCATTTTCGAAAAACGGATGAACGTTTTTCATTTGTTTGCACACTTGCACAGTTCAGGCAGGTCTAGGTTGATACGAGGATATCTTGTGTTGTAGCCATATTGCACAGAACTCCCATATACAATGGGCGTTGTTGTACTATTTTTTCTTAGAAAACAGATATCTTGATGTGAGATTTTTAGAAGTTGAAGACGAGGCTCCTGATGTGTTTACTTGAGACGTCGTCGAAAGTTTTTGATGTGTCGTGTTCATTCTCAATGAGAGGCAAATGAGAGAGTAGTGAGAGAGCGTGGGTTGTGAACTCTTCGAGATTTGAATGGTATTAGTCAATGGTAGTTGTCATGCGTGTGATTTCTTATCGGAGACAATCGGTATGTTCGCACTGTTCCCTGTGTTTCTTTCTCAGTTGATTCGGGTTTTGTGAAGAAGACAACCTCTCAACCATTGAATACCAACACTCACCTTCGGACGACAGGTATTGCGTTGTGCCCCCGTTTCCCGACATTCCCCAAGTCCCATTGCCCACCTCAGTCCCATCGCATCCCATACTTTTTTTGTTTCCTTGGATGTCCTTAAGGTTGAGCTCTATTTCCTAGCATGCTCGTATTCGAAGACGAGGAGAAGTAAATATGCTCCTCTTCTTATGCAATTGAGAACTAGGAATAGCAAGAGAGGCATGATTGACTTCCTCACTTTACTTTCAGTATGCATGTCTAGTCTGCAGTTTTTCGCTACATAGACTAGGAACTACTTACGCACAAAAGGTTCCGTCGTAGCTTATTCGCATCAAACTTACGATCTACGTACGACAGTGTCCATTGTGTAGTACGACCACCTGTTGCTTCAGACCTCCAGAGAACAACCACAAAAATGACGCGGTCGACGCACACGTTAGTGCAGAGACTCCAGAGGGAGGATTTCTGCTATCGTGAGTTCCCGATCTCAGTCGCTCTACATGTCTTTCAACTCCGAATTTTGTTGACAGGACTTTTCATCTGGCTGCTGATGACCAGCTTGTTGGGTAATACAGTTGTGAATACAGCCATGAAATGAAAGAGATACTTCAGGCTAGTGTAGTTAGTCTTACAGGATGACTCGCACTTACACCCCCGTTATAATGCTACAGTGACTTCCGAACAGTGAAAGTTTTCCCCTTCGTTCACCTGCCTCTTGGTCAAATAGACCACAGACATCAACATTCAATCACCAAGACTATCACCTCTCAGGTATCATCTTCGTCGTGTCGCAGTTCCTTGCGGATCAACGATTGAGTTTGATTGTCGGGGAGATGGAACATGCAAGAGTGCATAAGATATTCAAGCAAATGCTGTTTCTGCCGTCCAAAGTCGTCGGGGCACAGATTGATATGGGCATACGTGCCGAGCGCATGTTTGAGGAATCAGATCAGCAAGGGCTCAAGGCGCTTTTAGAAGACGTACTGAAGTAGATTTAATAGTTCCCTTGAATATATGATCCAGGGCGCAGGGCTACGGGACGCCCCCTAGCGCAGGGGGGCACCGTGCAGCTTCGGACCCCTTATGAAGGCGTCTGCCGGGGGTGGAAGGCCTCAAAAGGGGTCCAAGGGACCGTCTCCGCCCCCTTCCAGCTGCCTGGCTGTACCCTACAGACCTCCGATGTAGGTGGAAGGCTTCAAAAGGGGCCCAAGGGACAGCCTCGCCCCCTTGCAGCTGGCTGCCTGTGCCCTATCTGCCTCCGATATGCTTCGCCGCCGCAGCAGTGCGCCGGGTGTGAAAGGCCTCCGAAGGCGGCAAAAGGCGAGGGGCTGGACCTCCTGAGTCGTGCGGCCTGTACCCTCCGGGCCCTTGGTCATCGGCTTGCTTGCTCTTGAGACCGTGGCCGCCTTTGGCGGCCTTTTACCCCGGAGACCTCCAGCCTGCGAGGGTCAGCAGAGGCCAGGAGGTCCCTGAGGAACAAGCAGAGAGGCGCAAGGGGACGCCCGCGCCCAGTTTTGACGCCTTCCACCGCTAGAATCCGTGAAAATCAGCGCGGAAAAGAGCGCGCGAGCGCCACCACAGACCACACCACAGGGGGGGAACCGTGCAGCCCTAAGACGTATTTTATATCTATCAAACGTAGACGAATGATGGCAAATTAGTTTCGAGGAGGACCGCGGAAATAAAATGGAATTGGAAGATAGTTGTGTGCCCGTTTACGTGTGAATGGACTTTCATAATTTTCGCCTTGCTATCTGAATATTTATGGACACTGACCGGCTTTTACAAACAGGTCTACGATGCCTTCCCGACGGTGTATGATGTTCGTGTGCTGTTTAACCAAGAGGACTTCGGTTACTACTCTTCCCGGCAGGAGGGTTTTCAGGCTGACACCGAACAGTGTGCGGATCTAGGTGATTACTCGTGTCTCGCCATTCGCTTAAAGCGACCTCGGCTTTCTTGGTACGATCAGGGCATGCTGCTTTTCGATCCAAGCGTGCTGAAGGCTATTTCCTATTGCGATTTCCTGTCGCCGCAGTTCATCCCTGTGTCGGAGCGCAGCGGGTCGCCACTACTAGCACAGCCGCCAGAAGCCACTTTCAACTGGCATTTCGGCTGGGCGCGCATATGCAAACACGAATTCGCACATCTGCAAGGCGAAAGCGGTCGTCTATTCTCGATATCGAAAACCACCGTCAACATGGAGACATTTATGAACGCTCTCCAGCTACGGGAAGAGTTCACAGGGGGCAAGATTTATATCGTCCGCTGGGAGCTCGAAGTGGCCACCAGTACTATTGAATCTTCATTTTGGATACATAGTGCATAATCCATTTTTTTATTGTCCTGAAATTGATTCTATCTCGTCTAAAGATGATTTTCTATATGTTCCAGGGGTCAGGGGCCAAGGCCCTCTCCGATCTAAATTTTTGAGGAGGGGGGCCTTTCGCCCCGGACCCTTTTTCCCGAGGGACTGCCGGGCGGGAATGCCTCCAAGCGCCCACCTCCGACCCCTCCCCGCTTCTTGCCTGGACCCTACAGCGCCCCCATCCCTGAGGCCGTTGAAGCACCGAGGGCCGGGGGTGGAAGGCTTCCGAAGGTGGCAAGGCTGGGCCCCCTTTGGCTTGTTGCGGCTTGTTGCGTGTACCCTACAGGCCTTCAGGGTGCGGGTTCCCCACTGAGTGGCAAGGCTTGACACCTTTCGCCGTGCTGCATGGATCCGACAGAACCCAGGCGGGCACGCCTTGCCCCCCCTCCTCCTCGCCTTTGGTCCTTAACCCCCCGGGCGTTTGGTGGCGGCGGACGCTGCCACCAATGTTGGGGATGAGGGCCAAAGGGGCCAGGCTTCGCGCCCGTGGCCGCCTTCGGCGGCCTTATTCCCCCTGAGGGGGTCCCCCTGATAGGGTCGCCCAAGAGTCGGGACGCCTGTGGGGTACACGCGGAGAGCCGCTAGGGGCCTCCGGCTCCGCGTTTTGAGGCCTTCGGTCACGGAGGTCCTGACATGTCACCACCGCGGAAAAAAGGGCGCGCGGACGACACCGCCGCTCCCTCCATTCACAGGGGGGGGGCTCCCCCCTGGAACATGTAGCGTTTTTCTTAGCATTTTTCTCATCAATATTGGCATTTTGTTTTTCGATATGTCTTCGGCACTTAATATCTCCCCATCAGTCGCTGCCATGACCGATCGCATTCTGGGAGTGCAATTGAGTGGCGCCACACTGGGTCCACCTGGAGAGCTATATGCCGTGGATAGCTCCTTTGATAGCGAGAAAATGCTTCTGGTGCTTCCAGGGGAATACTCCACTTCCGGAAGTAGCCACGTCATCGTCAGGTACCTTTGTTTTGAACAAGCTTAAAGATACAAGACAAACAATTACGAAGGATAAGAAAGATTAGCATCATTGTTCTAGTCCCTTTCAGCATGACTTGATATTCTTCTGACACCTGACCGTTGTCGCGTTGATTGTAAAAAGTAAAAGTAGAGTCTCTGCATTTTTGATTTTCCATCTTTATCCAGGGACATCCGCGAGACGGGTGGCAACTATTTGATCGCCATGACGTGTCCGTTCTACACGTATTCCGACGGAGTGATGCTGGGTTTGCAGATTACGTTGCTCATACTGTTCTCGCTGCCTTTCGCGGGCATAGGTCTCGTCTTCCTCGTGCGCTTCTACATATCCAAGTACCGAAGTGGGGTGAAGTATCAGAGTGTGGATGAGGTGATTCGCAAGAACGTCGCTTTGGCCCAGTCCTACGTGCCTGCGAATGCGAAGGATCGCACAAAACAAGCCACCCTTCGATCAGCTAATGCGACAGTAACAACGGAAGGCAACGGCTAATCGCAGTGCTCATCATGATAATCATGCTAAGAACGCATCACTAGGGATATTTTTGTGTGCGCGATGCGTCTTTTGCCTGATCTTCATTCGTAATTACCCGATTACAGCCTGGCCCTGTTTTTCGGAATCGGCGTCGCAGGCCTGCGCGCTGGTATGAGATCGCGCACGTGGTGGCTGGTTGTCATGCTGCAACCGGGCGCACACCCGCGGCGAAACCGAGACTCGCGTGCCAGTTACGGAAGATCGAGGATCCCAAGCGGTCGAAAATCTTCGGCAAGCGATGCGGAACACTGTATTGTCAGGGTGGCGGCGAACCGAGGACTTGTTTTAGCCGAGCGATATTCCAAAATGTTTTGCTTACAGTGTGTGTCGCTGCGGTGATCAGGCAGATGAACTTTTTTTGCGAATTATTATTCTGTCGTTGGAGAATCACTCCGTAATTTCGTAAACTAAAAGCAACCAAAAACCAGTGTTATGTGTTATTCCCGAGCTATGACCACTGTGCCAGATACAAATGAGTCTTACTACGAAGTCTGAGAAATTCGAATGACGTAAAGAATTACAGCCAGTGCAATGTGATCGAGAGCTTTTGAGTACTGGAGTATTCCTATAGCTGGCTCTGGCAGAGTAGACACCAGGAGTACGATCATTTTAACGCCACGACTTACTACCGCTCTAAAATTCCGAGAGTATCCCTTCACTATATTTCTACTGTAGTGCCTGCGCGTAAGCGGCGTAAGCGAAGTACCCAATTCAAGTTCAACGTAATTATGGTCGTCCAAACGTATGCTAAGAGAAGGAACTTTTGTAGACTCCCACCAATTTCCCACGGGAGGGTTCAATAATTGTCGTCCGCCTTCTTGCGACACGCTGCAACGTGATACAATTTGTGATTGATTCTTCCTATGGACAGGACAATTCCTGTTAGACGCGTGTTCGGCACACTTCTCAAGGTAGGTGGCTCAGAGGTAGATCCCGGAAGAACACGAAGTCGACACGTTGGTTTGCGAAGTCGCAAAATGAAAACTAGAGGTTCGCTTTTATGCCTTCCATGAAAAGTAAGATGACATTCATATCAGAAGAAAACAAGGAGCAAGATGGAAATAGATGATACACTTCCCGGGATCAAAGAACTGGGGCAGTCGGCGAAGTTTGTTGAGCAAGAAAACTAACGTAAGCGGCTTCTGTAGTACATAGATCAGAAATAAATGCCGCAATTCAACTCTGCAATGAACGGACAGAATGGCTGCCTCCTCGTCGAGGCAGTGGCTGCCGCCTCTGATCCATTGCAAGTTTATCAGCGAAGCGCCCTGCAGATGTCAGTGCCTCTTATGGTCGGCATCCTGCGCAAGTTGAGTCAGCGCAAGGACGGCGTTAAACCATCGAACCAAAATGCAGATGATGGACAGGAGTTTATGAGATCTTGCGAAAATAAACAGGAAACTAGCGTGCCACGAGATTTCGCAGCTTTTTCCGCCGGACTTCCTAAAAGACAAGTTGTAAGACAGGAAAAACTCGGCAAGGGAGGCTCTAGGGGAAAAAATAACTCGTTCACGGACGAAATTGAACTTGATGATACAGATCGCATGCCGTCCAGTTCGATATTTCCTGGAGAAAGTAGGGGAGCTGATTATTCTGATTCTATCCACACTACTAGAATGGACGACCTCGCCCGTGCGGGCGCGTTGGCGCACATGCTGAAGCGCCTGCGGCAGGCCGGATCCGAATTGCGCGGAGAGCAGGTTTCGCGCGTGATTTACGCCCTTAACGAGCTTTTTGGCCCTGGACTGCTGAAGGCTGGAACCAAAAGTGCACCAAAAATGCAAAGGCACATCTCCCTTGCGTGGACCTCCTATTATACGCACAGGAAGATGGGAAAGAGGAGAAGAAACACGACGAAGTATAGCGCTTCTGAAGACACAGAGACACGAGAAGCAGAAACTGCCACGGATGGGTTCGATGGAATTAGGGTGTTGGCACAACAGCATCCGATGTTGCTGTCAGAAGTAAGAGAGACTTTTGCGTCCTCGCTGCGGCTGGCGGCAGCCCGAGTAGATCTGTTGAGCGCGCAATCTCTTGCGAAGATAGCGCGTGCTGCGGCTCGAGTCGATGCGGTGGCACATGCAGAAACGTTGGGTGCTATTCTCGCTCGTGCTGCAGCAGCGGTCGCGGATGGGGTGAATTTTACTCGCATAGAAGACGATAAAGAAAATGTGGTTTTTGGAGACGGAAATCAAGCGAATAAAGATGGAAGACAACTTCTTCCGACACAAATTTGCGAGATTGACGCGGCATGCCTGGTTTACGCAGCGGGCAAGGTACTTCAGGCAGTGGAACGTGCAAGAGTTCAGCAGAATCTTAGGAGAAAGCAGGATTCTGCATCTAGACGCAAGAACGGAATTCAGGAAGCCACTTCAGGGGAACTTGGCTACAAAGATCATAGGAAAGCGCTGCTGCGAGAGAGCGCCGATCATGCCCGGGCGTTTCTCACGTCAGTGTCCTGCGATTTACACTGCGGCGCGTGGGCATTGCTTAGACACAAAGTACAACTTCTGGATGCTGTAAGCTCCGCAGAGGCTGAGCCACAGGGCAGCGGGATGCGAAAAGGTGCGCGGTTTGTGCTTGGCCAGCTCCTCGCCGACGTGGAGCGACTCTCTGGTCGCGATGCTCTATCATCGCTATGGCTTCTCCTCACAAGACCATTGCTGGCAAGAATTGAGAGCAAAGATGTGCCAAGGGTAATCTCCGCGGCTTCGTCGAATACGAATACGAACAACGTCGACGACATGAAGGAAGCAGAAGTAAAAAACGACGTTGAGTACGCGAAAGGGCAGTTAATCGAGCGACTGAAAAAGTTGATGACGACTGAGTTGCCTCAGAGAAAACTAATTAATGGCTCTTCGCCGACGCAGCCTTTTTGTGACAGGATCCCGAAAGATTGCCTAGACCATACGGCGAAGCAACGTCCTCTAGACCATCGTGGGCTTGTCTTGTTGGCCGTGTGCGCAGGCAAAATGGAATCAATAGAGACCCTTCGCCTTGTACAGAAAAGCTTTGTGGAACAATCGGCCACGAATTGTAATGGATACAATTTATCACTAGGAGAAAGGTCGTGGAGCACGGCAGATCTCTCGAATGTTTGCGAAGCTTACGCAGGAGCTGACGCGCACTTGCTATCAAAAAGTAATGCAGCTCTTCAACTAAACAGTGAGACAACCCTGAAAGAGTCTGAGCCGATGGTGCCAACACCAGGAATACCTTCGACACAAAATGAACTTGAGTCTCAAGAAGCTACATCTCCTAAAAGAGGTGACCATGGGTCTGCGAAGATATTTCTGTTTACCTTTTCCGACGAGGAAAAAATCACAGAAAGAAAGTTTGTTGGAATATTGCGGCGCGCTGCTCTGGGGTCCCGATCAGCGAAGGCGCATGAACTCTGCAACATTATATGGTATTTGGCGCAACAGCCGAGCTCACTTGTTTCAGATGAAGACGTGCTGGCTCTTTCGGCACGGCTGCGATCGGTGCTGGATCACAAGCCACTCAATGCAGACTTTGTTAGAGAAGCAATCGCAGTGAAAGAAGACGATGTTGACGAGGCAGACTTTGAAGGTGAGAACAGCATGTTGGCGACAAATAAAATACGAAAGGAACAAGTGGAATATGCTGCTGGCGCAAATAAGATAAAAGAACGCGGTGAGCAACGCAGAAGCGATCGGTGCCAACTTGAAAAACGGCCTAATGGTTTGGCGCAGAACGTCAGAAATCCCGCTTGTGAGAACTCTTGCTCTGGTGCTGTAGTAGCATCAGAGGACGAGTCAAACAAGCGTGATTTGAGGCTTCCAGAGTTCTACATGGATCGCGTTCATTCGGTGTTGGCGCGTCGAGGCATGAAACCCTTGTTCTAGTACTAGACAAAGGTTCTACTTCTGTGCGCCATCATCCTGCTTTACATGTTGCCTATGCTTAAAACCTATTAAGAGTGTGAACGAGGTGTCATTAAGCATCAGGTAGTATTTGCCACGACGTTTCGTTCTTAATCCAGTTCATCATATTTCGGTTTGTTTCAATCCAGGTCATTGATTCATGCTCAGTCTCAGGAAACACCAGATCCCTGTTCTCGAAATCTTGATCTTCTAGATTGAAAATATCTATACTGTGTTCGTGGAATGCAAAAAGTACAATGCGAAAATCGGCCATAGGTATATCCTGAAGGAACAAAAATCGCTGTGTTGGAGTGTCAAGTAAAAATCTGATCAGTATTAGATGAGCATTCGGTTCCACGAGTAAGGATTTCAATTTTCCTCGGTTGTGATATTGAGCATTCAACCCTTTGGAAAAATGAAATCAATTGCAAGAATTTTGAACGCGTCAAATTTTCTGTCACCTGAGGTGTGATCCATCTGTACCTTCTTGAGAGGGATTGAAAATGTTGTCTTGAGAGTTCGTGACAGAGTTCCCTTAGAATATTGTAATTCTTTTTGTTGTGTGAAATCAGATTCAGAGTCGTTGGTTAACATGATCCCCGATTTTCAGTTTTCCGGAAAATGTCTTTCCGATGAGTATCTATAAGCATGCAGTTTTCAATTGCAACACATTGCTTTTATGAATCAATGCCCAACAGGAAAGATGAGGTGTTTTTAGCATTTGGTTGTTTCCTTGAAAGCTCTGTATAAATCAGGGGAAATGGCTACGACTTCAACCTGGTCTCAATAGTGATATCGATATTGCATCTTGCTGACGTGATCTGTTAGTTAGTTATATGTCCTGTGGGCGATGTGCATTGTAGGTTGAGCCTGAAGTAGTTGAACAATTAACAATATCGACGTACTTAACTGGTGAAATATGTCCTTTTGTTTTTTTGTGGTAAATAATCATTCACATTCTAGCTTGATAGCTAAATAGTTCTTTTTATCATAGAAACGTGTGTTGTCACGCGCTACTATGCTTATCCAGCAATGGTATGGCACTTCTGTCTGGGAACAAATCGAAATCTTCTTCTATCTTAAACAAGGTCTGTTTTGTTCTCAGTTTTCTTCAAAAATGTGACCTACTACTACTTCTACTAGTATGCAAGTGTCGGATCCTGCTTCATTGATGATGTTCCAAGACCTTGATGTAATTTCGACAATAATATGAGTATCATCGATTCAGGTCTAAAAAATATGTTGTTCATCTTCAGACAAGATGCTGGCTTCTCGTCTGTGTAGAGTGCTGCTGCTTCGTGTCCTGAAGATACTCAGGTAGAAACACGAGCTAGTGGAAGAGCCGCCGGAAGTGCTAGAAAAGTGAGGACAACCTCGAGAACCAGAAGTAGGAGGTTCTTTGCATAAGTTAGGTGTGGATATCATGGTGTTGATGGCACCAGGAGGATCGCCGCAGATTCAAAAGCCAGGAGGTGGGGCCACGGATCTGCGCGCGGCAGATTCCATGAACGGTATCAGGTGGAAAATCCGTTTTTATGCACCTGGCTGGATATTTTTCTACGTGTTGTCCGCGGTTTTGATGGTGTGTACTATCTTGTACGTGCGGCATCATCGAAAGTTAAGGCGGAGACTGCGCAATCACCGCCAGGTGGTTGACCGCAGTGAGGTGGACTTGGGTGACAAACCAGGCACAGTACGCGTGGAAGTGCTGATGCAAAGTGGGTACCGGGACTGGGGTCTGGGTCTGGCCTTGTACTTAGCGTGGTGGCTGGCGCTTGCGCTGGTCACTCTCATAGTCCTCGTCTCGTGGATTCTAAGAACGAAGCCCGTAGCAGGCTTATGGATGACCAACGACATTTTCTGGCTCGGTTTTTGCGAACAGGAGGCTGCACGAGAGAATTGCGCGTTGCCACGCGTTGACTTGCTGAACCTCAAGGTGTTTTTCATTTTCTGGTTCCAACTTGCTTTCGTGGGATGGGTTATCATGAGCCAGAAAAGCGTCGACTTCAAAAACCTCTTTCGGGAACCCGTCGCCCTGAAAATCGCGGATCATGTCTGCGTGGAAGAATACACGGTAGACGTCGACGTCTTGCACGGACCCAAAACCTGGGATACCAAGGACCTTGATGCGGATGACCTAGACTTTATCGGCAGCAACTCTGCGGCACAGGATAAAAAGGAAACTCCAGAGGCGGCACCTTCAGGAGCAAGAACAAGTGGTGGAGTGAATATAGGCGGGTTCATAGGGTCGCCGACGTCGGGAGCATCGTCAAGCGCTTTTGGAACTTCAGAAGAAGAAAAAGAGCATTTGCTCCACAACCGCGAGTATTTACGGCAGCCTAGGAGCAGTACACAATATTGGCGCGGACACGAATCCGCGGTCTTGATAGACCGCCGGGTACGCGGCACCTGTTCCGTTCGCACAGAAGACGCATCTGTGAATGCTAGCAAGCCAGCTGCCGCAGGAGCAGGAGTCTCAGGTAGTCCTCTTACAGGAGATTCAAATGCATTATCTTCTTCGGGCGACCAGGAAGGGGAACAAGGATTTCAAGATGATAGAAGAGACCGAGCAATCGAGTTTGAGTCCATGACTCTGTTTTATCGACATGGCGCTTTTCGGCCACCGGCGAACCCGTTGATGGAGATGACCTTGGCGCAGTTGAAGACTCGCGCGCCGCGCGTTCTGGATGCCGTGAGCGGAAAGATTTTGCCGCAGCCGGAGTTAGGGCACCTAGAGGAGGTGCGCAATGAGCTGCAGATGCCGGCTCCCAATTTTTGGTACATCATGTTCTGCGAGATCTGCTTGATCGTGAATATCTGGCAGATTGGGCGGGCAGTCCAATCGGGCATGGACGGGAACGTGGTCTTGAGTGTCATGCCGTTGGGCCTTGTGGTCCTGCAACTAATCTACGTGTCTGTGAACAAGCGGAGAGCGGCGCTGCGAATGCGAGAAACAGCGCGACCCCCGCAGACTTGCGTGCGTGTGTGGCGCCGACTCGTGCACACTGGACCAGCCACCTCTAGTACTTTGTTGGAGCCGGGGCAACAGCGGGAGGTGCAACAACGGGGAGTGCCGCTTTTTGCACAAGCAGAGGAGCAGGAAGCCAGCATCCGTGCTGAAGAGGTGATATCTACGGACCTCGTTCCAGGCGACATCTTCGAGTTGCCAGAAGGTGCGGTGGTGCCCTGTGATTGTGTGCTCATCGACGGCTACGCTCTACTAGACGAATCCGATTTGACCGGTGAGCCTCTGCCTATCGCAAAAATCCCGGTGGAACAAAAGAACGAGGTTTTCGACGTCAAGTTCCACGCAAAGCGCTACTTCTTGCAGTGTGGTACGACCGTCTTGCAATCCGAAGGGCCACCGGCACCGCCGTTGCTCGACTCAGGGATCGATAGCGAGCAAATTCCGAAGACTTCTTTAATCCGTTCAGAGTCCACCCGACGGTTCAAGCGGCTCGCTTCCAAGGAAATAAGACTGCGCAAGGGCAGCATGGCCAGCGGTCCCGTAGAAGAAACGGACGACGATACCTCAACAATTGCTGAGGAGAGTGAGGACGAGATCAAAATCGGTAAGGGCCATTTGTCTGCGAACGGCGGCGCGATTGCACTAGTCATGTCGGTGGGTCCGTTCACCAAGAAGATGGGCATGATTCGGAAGATCCTGTATCCTAGTGCCGTTCGATACCGATTCGAGGACAACTTTTACGCTCTGCTGTTTTTCTGGGTGCTCGCGCTAGTCTTTTTGACCATTACTCCAATGCTAATATCGGCTTTCAGATACCCAAATCTCATTTTTCCTGCTGTCGTGCAAGCTATCTATTCCGGTTTTTTGATTGCTTTCGTGGTTGTAAATCCGGTGATGTTGAGCGGATTGATGCTGGCGCAGGAGAATGCGAGCACCCGCTTGCGCGCCGGTCAAAGTCGAACTCGGTCGCTGGAGTTGCGCAGACTGCTGATGGCAGGCGAGATCAACGTGCAGTGCTTGGATAAGACCGGCACCATTACCGAGGAAGGCCTCGGCTTGTCTCAGGTCCGCGGCGTTTCGTCGATCGCGGGCGACAAGCCAGCAGCGCTGGTTGATGGCGCTCGGAAAAGCCGACTGGAGAATGTGTTCCAGCCAGGCCTCTTACGCAGTGACGACGCAGACCGCTTGCTTGAAGTTGCCTTGTGCACGTGTCACACTGTGCAGCGAAACGAGGACGGTGAGTTTTTCGGTAACAGCGTGGAGGTGGAGATGCTGAGCTTCGCATTAGGTGAAGAACTGACGTTCCGATACGACACCGAGGCGAAGGCAGTCGGGTATTTCCGCAAGTCAGATCTTCTCTCGGGCACTGGAGAAACAAACGCCGAGGACGAACTCGTCTTGCGATCACTAGACCGCACCCAGCTAGAATCTCGGAGGGGAGCGGCTTTGGCGCGGCGCTCCGCACGGAGCTCGCAGGTGCCGCGGGACTCTCAGCCATCAAATTCGAACGGGGCATCTGTGCTCTTCCGCACGATTCGGCAATGCGAATTCGACGCGTCGGTGCAATTGCAGTCCGTGGTGGTGGAGAGTACAAACGCCCCGCTCGGTGAGTCGCTGCGCGTGTTTGTTAAGGGCTCTTTCGAGGCGATTGCGCGGCGCTGCAGGCGGGACACCATTCCGCCCGACGCGGAACGAGTCAGCCGAGAATTCGCACTGCAGGGCTACTACATGCTCGCGGTGGCGACACGCGAGACGCCAGCCGTGAACAGTAACGCCGAACGCCTGTACTGGAAGGAAATGGCGCCGCGCGCGGAACTCGAAAATGACCTGACGTTTCTTGGCTTCCTTTACTTCCTCAACGATCTCAAGGTCGATTCGGCGGCAGCGTTGGCGGAGCTGCGCCACGGTGATATTCGCCTCGTTATGATCACGGGTGACAATCTGTGGAACGGCGTTCAGGTGGGAATCAAATCCGGTCTATTGCCAAAAGACGCGATCGTTTTGGCGGGAGAGTTGGTCTCCTCAGACGAGGCAGCATCTTCATCGGTGCGTGACTCCTCCGTGGACGCAGCGACATTGCAGTCGGGCATAGACGAGAAGGCGCACTTATCAACGGAACTACGGAGAAGCAACTCCCGAGGAGATTCACCGAGGGCGTCATCCGCTGCACCATCAAGACAGGGCGCTAGCTCCGGCGCGGATCAAGATTCTTCGCTTCCCGTGCTGCATTGGAGCTATGTCGACGAGGGCCACGCGTCCCTGCGGCACGAGTTCGCGGCGCGCGTGCAGCCTACTGCGGGTTTAGACTACCCAGTTCGGATCGGGTATTTCGGTGACCATCCATCGACGCACATGCCCTTGTATGATTGCATAGACCAACCGCCTGGTCGCGCCTCGGCTGTAGCGTCTGGTAGAAGTGGCAGACGCGGGCGGGGAATGCAGGAAGCAGGGGGACGAGATCAAGCAGGTCTTCTAGGAGATAGACGAGGCAGTTCATCTGGCAGTTCTGGAGCAGGAGACGAAGGCGGTTCCCAGCGTCCCATCTGCCTCGCCGTGTCGGAAGGCGCTCTGCTTTATCTGCAGAGCAACGACGTGAAACTTGCAGAGCAGATTTATCGGGAGTGCAACGTTTTTGCGCGCATGACACCAACAGGCAAGGTGGCAGTGATTCGGGCTCTGCAGGCGGACGGTGCTATCGTGGGCATGTGTGGTGACGGCGGAAACGACGTGGGAGCGCTCCAAGCAGCGCACGCGGGTGTGGCCCTTAGCGGCGGCGAAAAATCTATGGTGGGCGCCTTTGCCACACCAAAGCAGTCCCTTTTCGCGCTGCCGGAGTTGATCCGCGAAGGGCGCTGTTGCCTCCTCACATCTTTGGCAGTGCTGCAAGGCTCCCTTATCGCTGGCATGGTCAGCGCCGTTTCTCGCGCAGCAGCTTCCATTTTCTACACATTCACCTCTTTCGCGGACGTGATGATTGAGGTAACCGTTATCACGACCCTGGCTATGTTTGTTTGCTGCTCACTCCCTCCGCGCTCGTGTCACCCAGACTTGAAGCAAATAACGCGTGAAGACTACCTCGCGCAAGCGGAAGAAACGGCTAAATCGAGGAAACAATGGCGAGACATGTGGAGAAGAGCGTGGTCGTTTTTCGGTTGCAGACGAGACAAAGAGCAGCGTGCTGCAGGACCAGAAACATGGGGGACCATTTCAGCGCCCAACGCGGCAGTGTCCTCGCAAGGAGCAGCAGCCGGGGACGGCCGGCCGACTAGAGGGGGTCAATCCGTCGAGAGCGAAGAAAAGCAGGACCGAGAAAAGGCACGCAAGGCGGCGCAAGAGTTGGAAGTGTACAAAAGCCTGAAGACCGATGAAGAAATGGCGCATTTACGGCACAATCTAAAACCTGGCTCACTTCTGGCGCCGTTCGTGCCAAACGGTGACATCAAGTCGTGTGCGAATTCGATGCGGCTCATTGGCGTGGCTTTGCTCTTCATTCCCTATGCGTTTGCGTTGGAGTTCCTGCGCCAGGGGCAGGAGTGGGTAGAAACTCGCGGTCTCTTCGAGCTCCAACTGGAAAACGAAGAGGCCAACTGGCGGCGTGACAGGGAAAGCGGACAGCCGTTCTTTTTTGCTATGATAACCGGAGCGTTTCTCGGGTTGAGCTGCTTCCTGTGGGACGGCGGCCGTTTTCGTCGCGCCATGTGTTTCAGCGTAATGTGGATCGCGTACTTTCTGGTTATGTGTCTGCTCGTGTTGACGTTTTTCTTCGGCAATACGGCTTGGAACGGGGTCACTCGACGCGGAACGGATAATATCTCCATGTGGGAAAATCTCAACTGGGGACCTGCGGGTTTCCTTCAGTACCTCGATCAGGTGGATTTTGACGTTCGGGGCGAACGCCACTGGTTCTCCCGCGCTACCCCCGAGTCTACGGGGCGAAAGGAAAATAGCGGGCGCTACTTCGTTAATTTCGACGCCGGAAGCGGAGGAATTTCATCAAGCTCTTCTTGGAATGTCGATGATTTGGGCTCGGTCCGCGTCTCATTGCAAGAGGACGGGGAACGATCGCAACCGCAAGTCCAGCTGCCACAGAGTCCTCAGGCAGCTGCAATACAACAACAACAAGAACAATTAGTGTTTTTTGAAATAGACAGCAGTGGAGCGGTGATCCCAGCTGCTGCTATCGACGCCACATCCAAAATCATGCAAAAGCAAGCAGGAGTAACGTCAACATTGTCCTCGTCTTCGTCAACTTTTGTGTCTTTCGGAAGAGAAGCTGGAGTGACGACGCAGCAGCAACACCTAAAGACGTCTGCCAGTTCTCAGGCGAGAGCCCAGGCCCAGCAACCACCCCAGGAAGGGCAAGACCAAAAGGACATTGTGGCTGCTGCTAGGAGCTTCGTTGAGAAGGGCCTTGTTCCACGGGCTAAGGCTGTCCTGCGTAACGCTTTTGAGCATTGGAAGCAGACAGGAGCCGAATCATCTGGGTCACTCAAGAAACCTGCCCTTGAGAATATCAGCGCACGGTTGCACTGGGATTCGCAGGCGCATGGTGCGGTAGTGGTGGCGCTCGAAGGTGCCGGCGCAGCGTTGCACCAGGCCTTCCCGAATGGCTGGTTGAAAAAGGAGAAGGACGTGGTAGCCCATTTGTGCCAAGAATTGTGCGAAGCAACCTGGCTCTCTTATGGCTAAAAAAGTTGAATCAAGACTTTATAGGTCCAGGTATCATTTCAGAAAATTCTGTCGGTAACATCTCAAAGGTTTTTCGATGTACCATTCTACGTTGCTACCTGTATAGGAACCAGAGGGTTGTTGACGATGGAAAACACTGAGTACGTACGTTCTTACCTCAGGCTTCTTATACATAGATACACTACCACTGAGTTCTTTTGCGCAGTATGCATCGTAATCAAATAAGAGAAGTGCTAGTTGCAATGTCACCGACTCGTTTCTAATATTCAGGAGAAACGGAGTACAAAAACGGAGCTTCGCGAAGCCGTTTTTATTGCTGGTACGTGGCAGTTGGAGTGGCACAGGACGTGTGCTACCTCGTACCCCGTGTCTCGCGACGCCGCCCGCTGGGTCCGGAGCATGCGAACTACGTAGCAGAAGTTTTAGATCCGAACGGTCGGGCAGGGCGAACTAAAAATGCTTCATCCGGGAAAAAGGCACCAGATAGCTTTAGCCCCTTGGTCATCCAGTCTCTCGCGAAGAACGCACCAAAGTCGCCACAAGAAGTGGTACGACCATAGAATAAACTTGCTTGTTGGGATTTTTGAATGATTTTTTCTGAGTTTTGCCTTAAACTTTTTTATTTTACTACATACAACAAAACTACATACGAGTTAGTGTTCGCTTTTGCTCGAAGCCGCACGTATAGCATCCTAATCGCCTTTCAATCTTTCTTCTTTCAGGTCGTCTTCATGACTAACCGGCACACTGTCCTCGGTTGGCGCAGTGTCCGGGACTCGCGCCGGGCAAGTGGAGGCGCCCTTCGCATGCGCAAGGAGTATTTTCCGCGTGACGATTTCTCTGTGAATGATGTGGACTGGTTTCCGGAAGTGTACTCGAATTACCCTGCAGCTTGGTATCCGAAATTTGCGTGTAACGTTTTCGTGTCCGGTTTCTTCATCTACGCAGCAGCCTTGGCTGTGGGGATGATCATCTTGCAATGGATGTCCGGCTGAGCCAGAAAACGCAACCTAGTAAGATAACTACTGACGAAGAACTTAGTGAATACTGACAATATAACCTTTGTTTTTTAGCTATTATACTTTTGTCTTTGGTACTGTGTCTAGCTAGAAATCATGTTGCCATATGCATAGTATACAAGAACAAATGAACGATCCCTCGATCGAGTCATCCCAACATTGAACTCACAAATCCCTCGGTCTAAGCAGTCCTTTCATTGGGCTTATGCAGATGGCAGCACTGATAGTGCGTATGATTTTCCGTTGAAAATAACTCCAGCAGAATTCTGATTGATGAGTCGAATTTCATGCAGCGAACGATCGATGCCAGACGATGTATCTTAATTTCCTCCGTTTCTTTCGTATTCTTCGTTTAGTTCTTCCTTGTCCTTGTTCAGGAAGGTGGTGCTTCTCGTCATTAAAATTATCTTATCCAACTGACTGGTGATGGTTTAGATTATCCAACTCACGGGTGATGGTTTAGAAGCAATGACATTTCTTGCGCGATCTTCTCGTATGTACAAGTACTTGCATAGAGTGGAACTATCCTAGATTGGAACTGTTATCCGCAGCAAAGACAAATGAAATATAGTTTCTGTAGGTCTTGTTCTTCGTGGTGTTGATTGCAGAGCTACTCTTCGTTTTCTTCTTTCTTCTAGATAGATGAAGAAGATTATCCTCTCAGGTGACGTTTTTCGTCACATCAATGTCGGTTCGAATTTGAGGCAGCTCTCAGCCTCTGATGACTTTGACCCCACCTCGTGCTCCCAAGCGAAATCGAACACCCCATGTTGGACCACCTTTCCTTAAACAATAACAATCAATGTACGTCGGACGTTTAGCGTTGCACAAATTGCTAGGCAGCAAGCAGTGATTACCCCAAGAGCATTGAATTCGAGTGGGACGCAATCTCAAATTCTATAGGTAATAGTCGTAGATGCTGGTCACTGTTCTAGAGAGTGTGGTGTTCGCTATCAGTTATGACCGACGAGACGAATGTCAAGAGGTTCATCACGCAAGATTCTGAAGTGGTGGTTCTATCCAGATGCTGATTGACTTATGGAGTGTTGCCTCCATGGAAAAGCTTAACAAATCGAGTGTGCAGTTCCGGTTGTTCTTGTTCCACCCAGTATAAAAAAATGAAATTTTCAGGTTTTAAAAGTGCGGAGCTTTTTAAGCCCTAAGCATTTGAGACTCGCAGAAAGCCTACATGAATGGCACTCCTCTCGTCTCTCGTCCTTCTCTCGTCGCTCGCGGCCTGTCACAGAAGGAACAAGCAGGGAGACCGAGGCGCATAATGAAAAGAAACCGACAAGAAAGGCCGCCCAGCATCGAAGAGAACAAGGAAACCGACAAGAACAGCCATCAGGCAACAAAGGGGGACCAGCTGTCGCTTTCGACATGCTGGACGCATCTCGTCGCTCGTGCCTTCTTCTCTCGTCCCTCGTTCTTCTCTCGTCGCTCGTTGCCGGTCACAGAAGGAACAAGAAGGCCGAGGTGCATAATGAAAAGAAACCGACAAGAAACGCCACCCGGCAACGAAGAGAAGGGGGCGGCGTCTGACTTGGGCGACCGATTTAACGTGTGTGCTATACAGATCGGGGCAGGCGGGTGCCTCCCTTCTTTCGGCTCTTTTTGCCGTTATCTTCCCCCTGTGGATGGGTATGCCAGAGGCCACCCGTCAAACGGGTGGGCGCTTCTCGTCGCTCGTTCTGCTCTCGTCCCTCGTTCTTCTCTCGTTCCTCGTTCTTCTCTCGTTCCTCGTTCTGCTCTCGTCGCTCTTCCACCACTGTGCTGCCCACAGATCCATCCACAGGGGGGGCCTCCCTCCCTGGTACATATATACGGAGAAAGCCGAACCAAAGCCTATTCAATCATTACGCACCTCGGCGACCGTGAGTTGTTGGTGTGGATATTGACGTAGAATGCTGCCTCTTCACCCGATACCAGGCAGATTTTACTTGTCCCCTTCCCTTTTGACGTTTTCCTCTTTGTACGTAACACATTTTTTGGTATTGAATCTAACTGAGGTTGACTGGTTGAGCTGCATTTGTCTCCGCAGGTTCCATCACTAGTACGCGCATTCGTAGCTTTTTTTTTGTGGCAATATTTATATTGGCGTTAAGTCAACTAAGAACTGCACAAAAACGGTCATTATTGTCGCCTCCTCGTCCTGGAAGTGCTCCGCTTAGCGGCTTTTGCAACTTGCTTCCTCTTGGTTTTTCTGTCTTTTGGTTTCGTTTCATGTGATTCCCCGCGCCCCTCCAGAGTCCACCGCACCAGCCTGCAAGTGTGTGCCCGGGGATTCTGGAGGGGCGCGGGGAATTGGAGGGCGCCCGAGGTTCTTGGCTCGCAATTGGGGGAAGGTTTTCCCGAAGCGAGCGCAGTAGGCGGCGAGTTTTCTGCGGATTCGTATCATGCCCGGCAGGATTGAATTTTGTCCGGATTTTTGCAGTCCTTCGTTGAATTTTCTCCATTCAAACTCCACTTGTCTGTGGTCAGATTTTTCGCTATAATCGGAGAGGTTTGAGGCAATCCGCCAGAGGTTCTTCGTTCTTGGGCCTTTTGGTCTTGTTCAGTGTTGGACTTTTGACCACCCGGCGCCCCGAGGCTCTCGCGCTGGGTGGGATTAGTTACAAAGAGGAGCGACGCGCTGCCGCCTTTAAATGCTGGCCAGACCACTCACGCGCGCCGCCGTGTGTGCGCAGATTGTCGGGGGGGTTTGCTGGCGTTGTTCGCACTCTTTTGAAGTATTTCAGCGGGGAAGTTTGCGGGGGTTTCGCCGGAATTGAATAAACCTCTCTATTGTTTGCCGGGTTCCTGATCGCTAGGCCATTTTTGAAGAAAAAACTGAAAAGATGTCTTCAGATTTTTTTCCAAAAATGGCCTTGCAGTCAGGAAAGCGGCAAACAATAGAGAGGTTTATTCAATTTCGTGGCATTTCTCAAGAAGGGCTGGACCGGTTGCCGCTTGAGTTCCAAAGGGCTCGCGCCTCCTCTTTTTGTTAGGTTTCGATGGTGTGGCGTGCTCGCTGTGCCTCTGGTGCTTCCGCAGGTGGCTGATTAGATTTCAAACTCCACTTGTCTGTGGTCAGATTTTTCGCTATAATCGGAGAGGTTTGAGGCAATCCGCCCGAGGTTCTTCGTTCTTGGGCCTTTTGGTCTTGTTCAGTGTTGGACTTTTGACCACCCGGCGCCCCGAGGCTCTCGCGCTGGGTGGGATTAGTTACAAAGAGGAGCGACGCGCTGCCGCCTTTAAATGCTGGCCAGACCACTCACGCGCGCCGCCGTGTGTGCGCAGATTGTCGGGGGGGTTTGCTGGCGTTGTTCGCACTCTTTTGAAGTATTTCAGCGGGGAAGTTTGCGGGGGTTTCGCCGGAATTGAATAAACCTCTCTATTGTTTGCCGGGTTCCTGATCGCTAGGCCATTTTTGAAGAAAAAACTGAAAAGATGTCTTCAGATTTTTTTCCAAAAATGGCCTTGCAGTCAGGAAAGCGGCAAACAATAGAGAGGTTTATTCAATTTCGTGGCATTTCTCAAGAAGGGCTGGACCGGTTGCCGCTTGAGTTCCAAAGGGCTCGCGCCTCCTCTTTTTGTTAGGTTTCGATGGTGTGGCGTGCTCGCTGTGCCTCTGGTGCTTCCGCAGGTGGCTGATTAGAATGGCGTTAAGTCAACTAAGAACTGCACAAAAACGGTCATTATTGTCGCCTCCTCGTCCTGGAAGTGCTCCGCTTAGCGGCTTTTGCAACTTGCTTCCTCTTGGTTTTTCTGTCTTTTGGTTTCGTTTCATGTGATTCCCCGCGCCCCTCCAGAGTCCACCGCACCAGCCTGCAAGTGTGTGCCCGGGGATTCTGGAGGGGCGCGGGGATTTGGAGGGCGCCCGAGGTTCTTGGCTCGCAATTGGGGGAAGGTTTTCCCGAAGCGAGCGCAGTAGGCGGCGAGTGTTCTGCGGATTCGTATCATGCCCGGCAGGATTGAATTTTGTCCGGATTTTTGCAGTCCTTCGTTGAATTTTCTCCATTATAGATTTTGAAATCTGAGTTGCATCTTATGAAAAGAGATTTACCACGATGAACCCGAGCCCATTCGTCGTGAAGAGCGCTTCCTTTCCGGTACCACCCGCAACGGAAGATGTTTCGCAGATGAATGAAAATGTAGATGACGTTCGGAGCTTTCAAGATGAAATAAACGTAGAGGTAGAAGTTGAAGAAGATGTGGAAGATTTTGGGGGCGAGGAGCATACTTCTGCCGCCCTCGTTGGAACGCGGTTTGCGGGTGATTTTATGGCTCAGACGCTCTTTCCCGGAGATAATGCTCGTTTCCAGAATATTGCAGCGCGTGGTTTCCAGGAACTGCAAAGACGTGCCGCGGAATTTGCACACACGTGGCGACTTGAGGAGTTGGGTAGCCAGGGGCAAGGCCTTTTAGCTTCGCGTAATATTGCCTGCGATGAAACCGTGTTGCAGGAAAATGCTTTGGTGCTTCACGTGACAAAGGTTAATGCGGAACTTGATTCAGCTGTCGCGGAGGTGTTGAACCACCAGAACGGTTGCCAGATTACCCAAGGCAGTCCCAAAAAGAGACGCAGGAGTGAGAATGGAACTGGCTTCGATGAGCAGTCAGACCAATTCACTAGCGCAGTCGCCGTGATTCCTGGCACACCTGTACGAAGCAAAAACGCAGATAAACTTTATGACGTGCTCGAAAATCGGAAGCACCAGCATCTGTTTGAAACTCTGTCGCCCGAAGAGCAGGGACTGTTTCTAAATCTTCATGCCTTTGCCTCGCGGGGACGCTGGGTAGAACGGAGCGAGAACAGAGCAACCACACAGAGGACGGTCCTTGCATGTGATGATATCTGGTACACAAATAGTGCATACGGGTACTTCCAGGAGCGTCGTTCCGGTGTATCCGCTGTTTATCCGCTTTTTTCCAAGTTGAATCATCAGGGCAATCCAAACTGTGGCTACGGCGTCAATGTGAGTGTGACAAGTACTGCAGGAGATCCTGGTAGAGGTAATTCTACTACTTATGATGTGAAAGCGACAATCACAGTGGAAGCGATACAGCCGATTCAAGCTGGCGAGGAATTGACGGTTTGCTATCGCGATGGGGCGCCGAGGCACGTAAGTAGACAAAACGTTGTTGAGACATTACGGCTTCGTATGCGGTTGTGGCCGATGTCGTGCCTGCCTATCACGACATGCAGAAGCTGGAGATAGCCGTGGCACGCACCGGAATCCCGATAGAGGGTGGAGCAAAAAACAAAACCAAGTGAACCTTGCGTCACGTCGTGCCTGCGGAGGTGGGGGAGGTCGATAGCACAAAGCGGATGGTGCCCGTTTTGCAGTTCCTGACCTGTAGTGAGGTAAGAGTATGTAGCCGAATATTACATATATGATCTTTTAGATGAAGGCCCAGCGGCGCTTAGACCCAGCGGCGCTCAAAGCACTAAAATATAACAACCGGTGACTTTTTACCTCTATAGGCTTAGCCCTTCAAACAATAGATATGACCCAGGGCTCAGGGCTACGTTGCCCCCCCAGCGCAGGGGGGGCGCCGGTAGCCCTAGAACCTTCCGGGAGCCGTCTGCCGGGGATAGAAGGCCTCAAAAGGGGCCCAGGGGGCCCTCTTCGCTGCCTTCCAGCTGCCTGGCTGTACCCTACAGCCCTCCGATGTAGGTGGAAGACTTCAAAAGGGGCCCAAGGGGCCGCCTCCGCTCTCTCCCCGCTGCCTGCCTGTGCCCCAAATGTCTCCGATATGCTTCGCCGCCGCAGCCGTGCGCCGGGTGTGGAAGGCCTCCGAAGGCGAGGGGCTGGACCCTCCAAGCCGTGCGGCTTGTACCCTCCGGGCCCTTGGTCATCGGCTTGCTTGTTCTTGAGACCGTGGCCGTCTTCGGCGGCCTTTTACCCCGGAGACCTCCATCCTGCGAGCGTCTGGGTCAGCAGGGGCCAGGAGGTTCCGGAGGAACAGGCAGAGAGGCGCAAGGGGACGCCCGCGCCCAGTTTTGACGCCTTCCACTACTAGAATCCGCGAGATTCAGCGCGGAAAAGCGCGCGCGCGCCACCACAGACCACGCCGCAGGGGGGGAGGGGGGGACCGTGCAGCCCTAAAACATATATCGAGAGAGTTGATAGCCTGCAAAGTACAGAACACGCAGCTTCCTGAGGAAGAAAGTCACGTTTCCACGCACCTTGATTAGTAAAAAGAATCTTCGCCAGTTCATGCTTCTAGCGTCGTTCTTTTTCACGCCAGCAATGAAAGAGCAGTACGCAATCACTTCTATCAACCAGCACTGCATCGTACTTTGCGACCACGCACTGATGAAAGACCCATGCGCAACGATGGAAACCTTGTCCACATGATTTCTAGACTGACCTTATCAAGTGAACTAGACTTGTTATGTCGCAATTCCTCTCGTCGTGGCGAAATTCTCATGCCATGTGCATAGGAATGTTTCTGTTCGGAGGAATTTTCAACTGCTTGCTGAACTTCACAGTATTTTGGAGAAGTGCGTAAGCAGCTTAAATGTGATGTCAGGAACAAACGTAAAGAAACGATCCAGATGGAATAGAAGATGTGGTGGAAGAGTCAACGATTAAAAGATCCTCATTGATGTGGTTGATCAAAGAATCGCGTTGTGTGGCAATCTTGCGATGTCTGGGTGCGTGGCGTGTGGTGGCTGGATCCTGGCGGGAGATGGCAGCATCTTGTTGCTCTGTCCAAAATAATGTTGACGATGCACTCGTCCCCGTTGTACATCATGGTAACGTGGTCTTCCGGTTCTAAAATCTACTCGCTACCCAACGCATTGTCCTTACTTCTTACCTATTCTGTGTGACGCCACTGGTTCTTTCGTTCATCGCTGTCTTTGGTTTGTACTCAGACTTTCTCCACGGGCTTTCACCCTTCCATCATAACGTCTCGTTGATATTGGCGTTCTGCGTCGTTGCATACTCACAACTTTTTCTTGTATTCTTGTTATCGCTTGAAATTTATTACATCGTCTGCCACATTTTTCGCCATTGATCTGATCTTGATCCTCTCACCAATTTTCATCCCTCTTTCTATTCAAAAATTGCTCTTAGACCCAATATTCGAAAAAAAGTACATGCCTGCCAACGTGCTTTTTTGGTTCTTGACGCACCACCACACGAGGTCTCCCTCAGACCTTTCACTCGACTAGCTCGAAACCGTCTGCGCGAATCCGTGCAGCTTAATTTTGCCCGTACGGCGGCTGCTGCCTAAAATCGGCAAAATTCGGAACCAAATGATGATGTCAGGAGGGTATTTTTTACTACTGACTTTGTTCTCCAAATGTTTGTATTACACTGTACATTGAGTCTATTTTTGTCTTTCGGCGTCGTCCCACTTCCGTTTCGCTGAAAGTAGAAGAATCCTAGAATATGAAGAAGTAGAGAAAGAAATTGACCTTGAAGAATCAATGGGTTTGTACCAACCACCATCTTGTTCACAGAATGCAGGGGCGCTTGCCGCCCAAAGAGATACTGTCGCCTAAGTGGAAAGCGGCGATACGCGGCGCGTTTTTTGCCTCATCTGTCGCTTTTATCTATTTTTGTGGCGAAGTTGCTGATCAAGCCTTCCCGGAGAACATGAAGTTTGCCTAGACTACCTCCTCGCAAAATGAAGTACCTGGTACAAGAGCGGCGCTGCGGGAGTCGATTCATGCTTCAGACCTTTTTCATGTTTGTTCTTCAGGACGGGGATTTCATAACGACGCACATGATCATGATTTCTTCTGGTGTACAAAAAACCTGATGATCTTGACCTTGAGGATGGATAACATCAAAGACTACAACATGATGTAACCGAGGCATTTCCATTGCTCCTTTTCTTCAAAAATCATTTTTCTTTGACAGTGTGGGAAGCACCTAAAACTCGTCATACGATCTCCATTATCGTGGTATTTTCTTCGCCTGGTGAACAACCAACTTGCTGGTGCTAAGCACTTGTTCCATGGTGAAGATGACATGCGTTCGACAATCATCTAGGTAGGATCCTTCAGGTAGGATCCATCTAAAAGATCCAAACAATGTGAAATTATGTCAAGATCAAACAAGAAAAAAAAATTTCTCAGATGCGGCAATGGGCAACCGATCAAGTATGATTCTTAACAAAATAGGAAACTGGAGTCATTGCTCGGTTCTGGACGTTAATGATGTGAAGATCCTTCAATAAAAGTGATGGGCGAGAAGATTATTAGATTTTTACACATGTTCAGTTCCTTGTAGCGAGAATGTACTTCTACGACGTACTCATTGAGCCTAAAAAGTAGCTTGCTTCAATTTGATTTTCGACTGATACCTTTTACTTCGATGTTGATATGACCCCCGGTGTTGTGTTGAGTTCATGAAAAACTCTACTGATCCGGAACATCGCGAATATACTCTAGTTCTAGTATCCTCATGTTCTTATTCAACTTTCTCCTAGTGGACCTGGTAGTTGCTTCAGGATAGGGAGTGATAGGTCAGAAGATAGAGCGACGAATTCTCTAGTTCCAGATCAGAATTCAATATGGACGTATCTGGGATGACGATGCGGCCAAGCCCGTGGGCCAACTGGGCTGAGTGGACGCAGGTCTGCGAGCAGTTTTTTCCCTCTGCTGAGGTCGGCACCTTGACATGGCGGGAGAATGTCGAGAATGCACTTGTACAAACAGAGCAATGGCGGGCACGCAGCAGCATTCCGGTCGCAGTTTGTGGGACGGCGGCACTTCTAGAGGCAGCGCTAGCGGACAAAACCTGCTTCAAGCAACGCACTGCGGCAGGAACACCTCCTGAGGATGACGCTCCACATAGTACGCACGTTTCTGAGTATTCCGTGCGCAGCCTCTATAGTTTGGCTATAGTGCGTTTCGTGAATGGGCTGGCAGATGCGCGTCAGGGAGGAAAGTATGCGATGCCTGTGCACACTTTATGGCACGAGATGGGTTGGCCGACGTGGATCGTCGATTTGCGACACCAAGCGACGCATGGCGCTCTGCCACGGCTACCGATTCTGCGTCTGGCAGCACAACAGTTGCTGGGACTGCTGCAAGAGCGATACTGGGATGCGCAGCGTCGCAAAATCCCACGGAACGAACGCTTTCTCGTGTCTGGAAATACGGACAGCATTTCTGTGGCAGGAGCAGGAGCATCTAGAGAAGAAGGCGCTGAAGAATTCGCGAATGGCTTGGAAAGCTTCTTGTCGAACGAGTTGCAAATCTTGTCTTGCGCGAAGTCAGCGGACGCGGAAGAAAATCAGATGGACAACATTAATCCTGGAGGATCGCCGACTGGTAAAAAGAGGAAAAACGATAACAAGAACAAGGGGCAGGGCAAGCGACCACCTTCAGCAAGCGACACGACACAGAAAAAATTGTCTTCAGACAGGAAGAAAAAGTCGTCCGACGGCAATGAGTCCTCTGCCAGAAAGAATCGACTTGAGAAGCTACTATCTGCGGATGCTGTTGCCACCAGCGCTCTCTTTGATGCGAGCAAACCCGAACAGTTGGTGCACGTGATCGGAAACCTTTTTTTGAGTGCTGCTGTTAGCGAGACGACGCCTCGGGATCACAAACAGGAGATGAGAGCGTCTACATTCAGAAACAAGAGGCAACCCTCGAAAATGCTTCCATATCTTACGACGCTACTTTCCGAAATGATAGAAGTTGTCGACGACCGATCATGCGGAGCGGCCGCAACGGCCCTGTTGCATTGGATCACAGAGCAAAATCCGTCGGCTGCTGGCGTTTCTCCTTCTACTTGCGTGGATTCCTTCAGTCAGATGGTTCGCAATTTGATGACTCAGTCGGACCGGTTCTCTGCTTGTTGGACTGAGGCGGTGGGCATGTCGCTCTTCACCACGCTTTCTTCTGATTGCATTCTTTACCTCAGTAAACAAAAGTTGCTCGTCGGTGACAGAAAAGCGCGTGAAAATCATCGCGAGCTTTGCGCGTCCGATTTGCAGAGCCGCATGGCGACAGCGATAGAAGAATCTTCGAATCATGTTGCGGATGATGTTGCTGAGGAGAATAATACTGTTAAAGACTCATCTCCTTGTGGTACAACATCTACTGCTATGCCACACATAGGTGGTGCACCCTCTCTAGAGGAGCTCGAGGCTGGGATTTTTTCTGAACCATCGTTAAAGCGGTGTCGTGTGGACCTCGAGTTCGTGTGGACACCGCCGAGGCCCGGACCTCTACTCTCGAGGACCGGTGTAAACGCAGAGAAAACTACGAAAAGGAGGTCGACTGACAGCGACAGAGGCAGACTTTGTTCCGACAACTCTATAATAGTCGATGAGGAAGCAAGCGATTCTGAGAAAAACGAGGTCGCAATGGAACAAGTGGAGGAGACGTCGGCTCAGCATGCAGCTACTTCTCCTGCCCCGGAAGAAGATCTGTCGCCTTCTAGTGTGTGCACGACGTTTTTTGATGCAAAGCCTGAAGTAGAAGAAAAAAGTGATTCGAAGCCGATTGATATTGGCATTTTTGAGAAGCTCACGCCGTTCATCTGAGACAGGAATACGTGTTTTGTGTGGCCGCAATCGACGGTAATCGCACTCGCGACCACCTCTACCTGGTGTGTGCACTCAGGGTCTTCTAACGTAATGCCTCCCCATTAAGATATGAAGTACGACTTTCAAATCAACTCCTGAATTTACGAATCGTCTGACAAGCTTTCAAATTATAACCAAATGGATCATGAACATGATTCTTTCTTGATTAATGGTAAAGTTTGTGACGTGGAATTGTCATGTTACCACTCGCACTTACCAGGATAAAGTGTGTTCGTCTTCGACAAGTGTGAACTCTCTAGACTTGAACTTCGGTTTTGACGCATCCAGAATGAAAAATTGAGACATCAATTCATCTGTCTTTGAGAGCTTACTCCAAATTTCGGCTGTTCATTGGCTTCGGTGCCATTGATTTTGTGCTAGCAGAGATAGAGATACAGATTTGAGACGCAAAATGGTCAAAAAAAAGAAATTAGCTTACCTCTGTCCTGAGCGAGCAAGAAGCGTCTGTCCAATGAGTGTCGCGTGCCTGCCAAAACTTTAATTGACTGAGTGAAGCGGCCGGTGCGGGCGCAAGCGGTGATCTGTCAAAAAATATTGTGCTCTCTCCCCACACCATCACAGGTTTTCCTTGATTTTTTGCCCCTAGTGGCATCATTTCTGACTATATCTCCATACATCATCTGGTTTGGAGTTTTTGTTATCGCAAATCAGCATTTTTTGCTTACAGTCTGCTCATTGTATCTTTATCCAAAAAACGTAGTTGTTGAAACGCAGTCTTCTTTTGCACAAAATATCGAAAAAGTAGTTGGTGGCAAAAGGGCATCTTCAAGTGAAAACATATTTCTGAAGGTCGATTCATCTTTTTTTTTTTTAGCAAGAAGAAAAAATGGATAAGATATTGCCTTTCACCGAGGCGAAGGAGTGTACTCCGGCTCAGTTGGTGGTTGTTACTGGGATTTACGGTGCTGTCCTCTTTCAGGCCGCAGGCCTCATCGGAGATGGGTATTTCAATCTTGCGGGTTGTGTCTCGTTACGATCGTTGGTGTATTTCTAGCTATGTTGTATGTCTGCAATTTATCCGCAGATATGCACCATGCATAAGGGCTACGGTTATTTCTCAAATAAAGCCCACTGACTTTACAATCTACTTAGGCTATCCTTCTCAGCCTTTTCTTCAATTTTTATTGTTGTCGCACTCAGGTCTGAGTTGTTGCTCTTGGTTCCGGCATACGCTGATTTGGTCGGCAGCGTCGTCTTGCCGGTTCTCGGTGCGGTCCCAGATGGTATGATGGTGCTCTTCAGTGGTCTCGGTCCTCGAGACGTCGCACAGGACCAGCTCTCAGTCGGCGTCGGCGCCTTGGCTGGTAATTACAATCATAGACGAATCAATCGACTTGCAACCTGTCGTGCTGATTACGTCGTAGTTACATTATGTTGTTCTGGGAGCTTGTCTTTCTGTTTTCATTGTCTGCTTCCCTCTGAAGGCTTTGCATTATGCCTATCTGATTTTTCGAATCAATAATGCCACCTTCGTTCCAATGCTACCTTCATTTTTTCATGTACCTTCGTTCCTCGTCAAACGTCACTAGGTTCCACGATCATGCTTCTGACGATTGCGTGGTACGCTGGTGCCATGGGTGGTCGCGTGAGTATCGTGAAGGGACAACCGAAGTACACATCACCCAAGTTGGACCCACCGGAGGATATGGATCTCATGAAAACCGGTTTCAAAGTCGGACCCAAAATCAAAAAGAACTCAGTGGTAAAAAATTAGTATTTGGAAATGTTTTTGGTTATTATGTTGATGATATCCAGTCGTGTTAATTTTGAAATGAAGCGAAATGGATCTGCTGCGTGGTTTCATGAGGAGTTTTCTTTTGTTTTCGCCGAGAAGGATAACCAAGTTGAAAACATAATAATCCACTTACTCCACTTCTCAGATTATGATGATCACGTGCCTTTTGTACTTCTTCGTGCAAATTCCGGCGATGATGGTGCCAAGCGACGAGGAGCTCGAGAAGGAAGCAAAGAAGACCGGCAAGTCCGTGTTTGATCTGAAAGCTGAGGCGGTGAATGGTCCGGCTGCCTTGGGACTCATCGGCTGCGTCATCTGCTTTTTCGCGTATCTGTGGCTCCAAACTCAGAAGGATGAAGCCAACGAGCAAGTTGCACAGAAACAACTGGTACTGTTTTATACACGAATTCTGATACAGATAGATTATATTTACAACAATACCTCCCTTGGCGTTGCATCTGTAGCTTATGGCTTATCCGAATCCTATTCTAACAACCAACGCACGCGCCATGGTGCTGACATATTCCCAGTGCAAATGACACTAAAAACGATCTGCAATACGACTTCATGACCAGGCCGACTGCCGCTACGAGTCTATTAAGAGTGGCGTGGTGACCTTGCGAGGTGCGATGGAGGCAGCGCTATTGCCGAAGGCCGACGCATCTTCGAAGGGTGTCAACGAGTCTTCTCTCCTTGACATCTCGGAGAAAGACAAGTCAGATATGAAAGCGGTTTTGAAGCCGTTTTTCCAGTACTACGACGTGGACAAGTCTGGCACCATCAACAGGAACGAATTCGGTACTTTCATATATACATGTTGAATTATGTACATCTACCTCGATGAAAGCAGACCTCCTCACAATGGCATCTTTTTCATGAGAACGAGCTCGTCCAAGTTTTTATAAGATCAGGACACCGCTTCTAATCTTCCAACACCACTGATCATTCTTCTTTTGTTATCGATTTGCAGGCAAAGTGTTGACGGATCTGCGCGAGTACATGGACGAGGAGAGCGAAGCGCGGCTCTTCCGAGCAGCTGATGTGGATGACAGTGGACAAATTGACTTCTCAGAATTCGTTGTGCTGATGATCAAATATATTAGAGCCGGGGAATTGCAAGGATCCTCCTCGCAGACCATCAAGCGAATCGGAACACCACAGGAAACAGGCAGCGAAGGAGAGTCCGAAGACGAGGAAGAAGAAGTGCCGGAAGATCTTCGAACACTCTCGCCAGAAGAACAGTAATATTTTTTTTGAACTGCGCCGCACGTCTATGGTTCACTGAGGCTTTCTTTCGATTAAGCTTGCTCACTTTTTGTCTCTCTTTAGATAGGTGCTATTCTAAGAACCTGCTAGCTTCTACTACGTACTTGATGTTTTATTCCAACAATTATATATAATCATTCACTCCTCGCCCCTCGCTCCAGGCAACGCGCCTTGCAGGTCCGCGCAGCATGGATGATGGGCGTGGGGACGATCTTGGTTCTTATTTTCTCGGATCCGGCTGTCGATGTCTTGAACGAGATCGGGAAGCGAACGGGGATTCCTTCTTTTTACATTTCTTTCATCCTCGCACCACTTGCATCGAATGCGTCAGAACTTGTCGCAACTTACAAGTACGGATCCAAGAAGACGGTCAGTAGCATGACGATCTCTTTGGCGACACTGCTCGGAGCGGCATGTACTACACCTTACAATTTCCTATTTCTACCTAGAGAAGCGAGTCATTATGATAGAGATAGATAATGAATTTGATGCTGGGGATGGAATGACATGGTCATGAAAAAGTATGGCTCTCTTACCTTAATATGTTTATGATCTCTCCATGAAAAAGATACCACAGGTATGAACAATACGTTTTGCCTTGCGATTTTCTATGCGCTCATCTGGGGTCAGAGTTTGGTCTGGACTTTCACCGCCGAGGTTGCCGTGATCATCCTGGTGCAGTTGATTGTTGGTGTCATAGCGCTGAAGTCGATTCAACGCATGTACGAAGCTACCGTTATCGTTTCGCTGTTCCCGCTCAGTCTCGTCTTCGTGTGGGTCGCCAATAACATCTTCAACATCCCGTAATTCTTTCACAGGTTAGACAGAGCATGAGAAACAATCTGTGACTGTTGAACGATGTGGAGGTAAAAGAAGAGGCCTGCCTAGGTTCTATGAGGAGGAGAACGGGAACGGAAAAAAACGTGTCTTTCCGGTTTGCTTAAGGGGGAGAAGCAGATCAGACGAGAGCGGGAGAGCAAATTATGGAGTATCGGTCCCCGCAGGCGCTTAAACTAAAGAGTACTACCTTTTTTCGCGGATAGGGGGTAGCAACCACTCAGCTAAGGAGGGTAGGTCACTGACTACAGGGAAGCGAACAGTGAATGTTGGTGCTAAGTCTTGTCGAATTAGCACAAATAACATTTAGGGAAGCGAACAGTGAATGTTGGTGCTAAATCTTGTCGAATTAGCACAAATAACATTTTGTAGAAGGCTGTACTCTTTTTCCATGGAGAGAAACATAGAAGTGGTCCGTCTTCTTGCTAGAAGGTGTTTTTTTCACAAACCAGCAATGGGCTAATGATTGTGCTTCATCTACCCAGGACTGAAGCTTGTTTTTTTGATTTATTTTTCTTCGCGGACTTTCTTGACATAGATATGAGTTTGTACACTACGTTTTTTGGTTGAGAATAAAGACTGATCGTCAAAAATAGTATGGTGTTGGTTACGGATTATGATTTTCTTTATGTTTATGGATTATGTCTGTGCCGAATTGCGTCTGGATTTGACGAGGCTTCGCGCTGATCCGGCCATTCGGATCTGGGTGACCGCAGAAAAAAATCCTTTACGCAGTATAATACGATGAAATTAAATCTGCACTGCTTGATATTTTGTGTTGTGATTGACTTTTCTCCGATTGACAACCATGGTATAAGTATGTATGTATCTTCTCCGCCAGAGTTTGCATATTTTGTTATCATTTTGCGCGTACTGGTCAAAAAATGTATGTAAGTAGTTTAGCTTTTTAAAGTGACGAAAGACACCAGAAAGAAAAAGAATTGTGAACAAGATAAACCGCTGGAGCGCAAATAGTACTATTGGTCAACCATTTGTTACACCAGTGAGTCTTTATTGAACAAATACGCAGCCTGCCTAGAAGACAAGAATGCAGGATAAAGAAACACAAGTAGAAGGTTCTTACGGAGGACCGACAGAGGGTAGTCCTCACTCTCCTTCCAATACCAAGAGTAGCAGGTGTTCGTTGAGGAGCGTGGCTTAGAAGTTACACAATTCTCTCATACACTCATAAAAAAACGCTGGGCAAGGGGCATTTACCAAAAGCAGATCAACACGATGATTGGCTGGTCTCACCTATTGATCGTCTATGTTACATCTCACAGCTAGAATCTTTGATGGATTCACAAAAAAATGGCAGTTCCAGCTCCTGCTTTCGAGGACCTGGTGGAAGGGGCCTGCAGTGCCGACGAAGGAGCGATTTCCGTGCCGCGGACCCTCAAGGAGTTCGACACTTTCTTTGCCAGACACGTGCCTACTGGTTTTACTGGTGAAAGTGCGGAACACGGTTCAATAATGACTTACGGGGAAGTTCTATCCGAGGCCCTAGGTACAATGCTCGAGCGGGCAGCAGCGGAGGATGCACGACAGGAGACTCCTGAAGATGGAAATAGCGTGGACGTTGGAGGTGATCTCTTACCATGTTGGCCTTCAGCTTCGTCTAAAGTATTCTTAGACCTTGGCAGCGGCGTTGGCAAGGGACCGATCGTGGCCTCGTTGTGGGCCAACGTTTTGCAGAAGGTCCGTTACCGCCTGCAGAAATCCATTGGGGTGGAATTGAGTCCCCATCGGCATCAGAGTGGATTGAGAGCCCAGCAACTTCTCTCCGAGTTGGATCCGGAGTATTCTGCCGACCTCGCCGAAACCCTGCTTCTCGTGGAGGGAGACGTCCTAGAGTGCGCACTAGCCTACATCGCCGCCGCCGATGTGATTTGGGTCTCCAATTTGCTTTTCCCGAAAGAGACCACAGCCAGACTGGCGCGACTCGTTTTAAGGCTCTCGAGGAGATGAATTGGTTTTGATTATTGTCATTCCCCTCATTTTCAGCTGAGAAAACCTAGGAGACTGCTACTTACTACTACACTAGAAGATGCTAGAAGTAGAAGTGGTATTTAATGCATGATCATGTCCATTTTCGTCGTAGTGTGCTCTAATGTTTGACGCCTTCTGCAAACCTGGTTGCTTACTGCTCGCCAGTCGCGAATTACATTTGGTGCGGGAACATGAACACTGCGGTGGCGAAATTCTGCCCCAAAGTTGGCATGCGGCGCACAAGGTTTTCGTCTACAAACTCGGAAATACCTCGCGACCTTGCTATTAAGGGACACCCCGCACTAATCATACGTGTCATCTCCTCACGTAACCTCTGCAAGTGTGACTCAACATAATGAAAAATGATCGTCAGCAAGGTCACTATCTAATGCTATGGCCGGCAATTGCTGTGGCCGGGATGGCGGTGCGCCAGCGCGTATTACCACACAGAGAAGGCGTTCGAAGCACGGAAGCGAGAGGATCGAGAAAAGAGGGCGGAAGTGGCGTCTACCAGCGCAGGTTCATCGGCGTCTTCTTCCGTGGATGAAGAGGAGTATGGGTTTCGTGCTCACCCTAGAAGTATAAGTACTAAGAATACTGACCCCGAAGAAGACTTTGCTGCAAAGAAGTACTCAGGTCGCCTAGGGTCGCATGCGTCGGGGGGAGAAAAAGAAGCGGATGTTGAAATACGGTTCGGTCCTTCATTCCTCTTGTCTCTGGCATCGGTCATGTGGTCTCCGTTAGCAATGTGCAGCGGCACTGGGTCCACATCATCGCTTGGTAAAAAACGCTTTATTTCCACTTCGTTAAGAATGGCAGCGAGCGATTGCGACCGTTCTTCTTTCGTGGAAGACCAGCAAGTGCAAGAAGATGGTGTTGAAACTAAAAGTGATGCTCCTGGATCAACCCCGTACTTGGATCAGTTGACGTTGTTGCTAGACGAAAAGAGGCGGCAGATTGGTGGGGGCCCGTACACTATCTCGCTTTACACCTGGGTCCCATTGGAGGACGATCGCAGAAGACAGACTTTTTGGCGGGAAAATAATCAAAATTTTCAGACTTGGTCTAGCGCAGATGCGAAAGACGAAAGAGCAACTGTTGAAGAAGGAGGAGGAACAACACCAGAGCTTGGCAAAGAATTGCTCAGCGTGGACGAGCACTTGGGTCGTTGTTTCAGCTACTGGAGTCTCGTAGACAGCATTCCGAGAGCAGGGGCGGACTCAATTCTCAGTTCTGTGCAGGACTATGCGGAGATAGAGCCGGAAGAAACCACAAACTCAAACGACTATAATGAGGCCGATGCCGCAAATGACACAGCAACTCCATACAGGGACCCTTCAGAGAAGTATGGTCTCTACCCATGGGGCCTACCATGTGTGCCGGAGTTATTCTCAGCTGAATGGTACGCGGAGCTGAAATTGCCGCGACAGCACCTTCGCTGCGCGGTCACTGACGCATTGCTTTTCTTCCGGTCTGCAGAAACACTCTTATTAAGCTTTGGCTTTCAATACTAGACTTGCTTCTTAAGAAGTGCAACTGAAAGTGAATCAACCTCAAAGCGAAATTAATAAAGTAGTCGGAGGACACTACAAGAACTACTTACTATGATGATTCTGGGCTTCTTATGCTGAAAACCCTAGCATTACATCCTCTAATCTTAGTGCCGCCGGCGTTTGGAAGTGGAGTCGATCAAAATTCTGGGGGTAATGTGCCAGGCGCAGAAAAGTACAGAGCAACAGAAGCAGATGATCTGTCATTCTCGCAGTTTCGACGTCTTGTTACTCAGCGGCTCACTTGGAGAGAATGGGCGTTTGGTTAAGTGTCTAGATTCCATTTTTCGCGTTTGCCATGCGCAACAATCCCCTATGGCGATATCAAAGGCAATCTGAACCTATTGCAGGCAAAGGGAGGAGATCAAAGAATTTACGTAGCGGGTGATGTTCTGATCATATCTTCGTCACTACTAACTCAGTCCTGATCACAAGCCAAAGCCGTTCAGTTCTGTGTTGATTCCGATCCTGTCGGTTGAGCTCGATGGTAGCGTACTGCTAACTCTCAGTGAGTGTCAGTCCCGCAAACTGAGCCCCATTTTAAGGGAGCATGTCGAAAATTGCATCTGTCTGGGTGTGATGGTCTGACTTCAACATCTGTCTGGGTGTGATGGTCTGACTTTAAGAGAGTGCTACTTCTGTTGCTGTTGAGTTCTCCTCTACTATGCAAGTGAGATCGCCTTGTTGAGCATGAGTGAAAGTGGTGCATTACGGTGATCAAGAACTGTCGCATCAGAAGCATACAGATAGAGAGAAGAAGCTGATTTTGGTAACTCTGTCGATGAGCATTCTGTCGATTGCGAGAGGAGAGATGATGCTCTGAAGTAGAAGTTTCACATAATCCGCGGTGGCTATGCGTAATTATGTAGCTTCAAAACAATGGTACTCAGTGCCCAGAGTTTATGCAGAAATTTGACAGCCCACTAAGACTCCCAAACTCCCCTAATCTTATTGCTTTTCCGAACACTTTTAGTTCGAGACACTTGTAGTTCAGAAGAGCAAGTTATAATCTTTCTCCTTCAACCTGAATCGGCTTCGGATAAAAACGAGAATTATTTTGCCGAAATCAATGATGATCATGAACATGGATGAATGTTGAATGACAACTGATTATGCGGATACTGAGCTTTTCTGGCTTCGGCTGGTTAGGTGGTATGAGTGTCTGATCAATTCCTAACCGACATGGTTCGACCTGTAGTGCCGCTAGCGTCTTGGCTTCGGTCATGTTCACTATCAGAACGTAACGCAAAAAAAAAAACGCTACGGGTGCTAGGAACAGCATCGTCAGGGATACACGCATGACATGACACTGAGCGAGAACGTCCTCCCGTCGTTTGAAAGTGAGTAAAGAGAAACAGGCTGCCGCCTACAAATTTCTCTCTGTCCGTGTCGAATTTGTGTGTTACCTTCTAATCGCGCGTCGCTTTTGTTGAGGCTTGTGGCTTTGGTTTGAGTGAGTGAAAAAGTTAACATCTGTACTGAAGCATCTGGGAGTGTAAAGCCTAAACTTTGAATTTTTACAAAAAGCATGACGAGGTGAGTTGAGTTAGTGGTTTAATTGTATTAAGCAGCTAAAAAACAAAAAATCCATCTGACGAATATTTAAGTAACCTCCTCCTATAGCAGGAACTTGGTAACTTTCCCCTTTGCCTTAGAGGTCAGGTGTGCTGCAAATCTTGGTTGGCTTCTTCCCTTGTTATAAGTAGGATGAGGTTGAGGCCCAGCGACGCTTAGAGCACATAAGTAAAGCAAACGGCTCGCTTTCCCTCTGAGTCTTAAGCTTGTCCCTTCATGCAAAGTATGGGGGTGGCTGACAATACGTTACACAGAAGCAGTCAAGAAGAGGCTGGCCGAACAACGAGGGTGGTTGATTCGGAAAATACATTTGATGAAACCGAAGTCGAGGACAGAGGAAGGCTTGGGGTTCACGCTGAGACAGCGGCACGGGAACGCATGCTCACGTCGATTTTCATGAGCGTGTCACTGGTGATCGCCGTCGTATTTGGTGGATACTTGAATGGAAAAGGCCTCGTCGGCGTACTGACACTGTTTTTCCTGCAGTTCAGTTGCCTCGGCGCCGTCTGCTCTCTGACCATCAGCTCCGAGGAAGGCATTGGAGGGGAATGGGCCAAAGGGATCAACGTGATTCCGGATATCTTCGCTGCGGTTGGAGGTATGATCGCGGCGTTGCCCTTAGTGGTGCCCTTTTTCGAGAATTGTTTTGATTGGTTCTACGCCATCTACAGCACGCCCGCGCATGCAGCGTGCTCCTTTCTGGATCCCACCATGCAGGCAGGGACCGTTGCTAACATCGCGGTGCGCGGCGATATGAATGTGGCCTATCCTGCGAGCGCCATGGCGTACTTTCTGGGGGACTTCGTCGCCTTCAGCTTGCCCATCGGCCTCCTCATTGTCGCGGATGCGGAGTCGCAACGCTACCTCATGTTGGGCGTCATTCCTGGCGTCTTCTGCATTCCCGTGGCACTCTTCATTACCTATCTCTTTTTGTACATTCAAGAACCTATGGTGAACTCCAAGATTGAAGCGAACCCGGTGCTCGACTTCCATCTGAAGATCGATCTCGTGGCGAGCACACTGGCGGTGACTACGCCTTGCTGGATAGTGGCAGCGCTGATGGCGGTCTGCTTGAAGCTGAGTCCTGCCCTCCTGACCACCCTGTTCGTGGGCTTCGGCACCGGCTTGAACTACTTCTTGCGCACGGCTTTGATGCTCTCCATTCTTCAGCACATCGGCGGCCTCATTTGGCTCTTCAAAGACATTCCACTATTACAAATGCAACCCCTGATCAAGGACAGCACCAACGAACAGTACTTCGTCTACACGCAGACAACGGGGCTGGAGGTGGCCGCGTCCATCGGAATTGCTCTGAGTGGGACCCTGCCGTTCATGCACTTGCTGCGGGAGAAATACCTATCGACCGTAACTTCGGTGGGCCGCGCCGTGGCTTTCAAGGACCCGCAAGGTTTTGGTATTCTCGGACTGGCTGGCTCACTCTCCTCTATGATGGTGTTGTTCAACATGATGCCGCGGATTTCCCCCAAGGAGTGTGTTGCGGCGGTCGCGTTCAGCATTCCCGCTGCTTATCTGATTGGCGGCCATCTGGCGTTTTCCAGCATCTACCAGCCGCCCCTGTGCGCGCCACTGTTGACAGGGAAGGTGATCGGCGGCTTCGTGGCAATGTGGGTCGCACGCTTGACGACGTGCCGTCTGGTCGAGGACGAGCACGAGAATCACGGGGAGGAAACAATTGAAAGACGCATTACCGAGGCTCGCAAGAGCAGGGTTCCTGGCAGTGGGCCAATGTTCCTGGTCGGTGGTGACGCTCAAGAAAGGCGTCGGGTGTCTACTCAAGAAGGGCGTAGGATGCTGCCCGAAGGAGAGGATGACGGGGGACTGCGGGAACGGAAGATGGCGCATCGGGATGTCGTGTTGCTCGGCGAGTACTGCGAGCACAGGGAGTCCATCGGGGGTCAGCACTGTGCGCCTCGAGTTATCAACTTGCGCAACACTCTCGCACAGCAGCAGCAGGTCACGCGCGATTTGGTTCAGAACATCCAGGACCACATTCAGGCGCACATCGAGAGCAACCTTGAGGGTGAGAAAGGCGCAGCTACATGCGGGGACCTGAAAAGAATCGAGGATCATCTGAAGGCCCCCTTATTATAGCTTCTTGCCCCGCGATTCTATAAGAAGATAAGAGCTACTTGCAAGAAATTGCAGAGTCTTTTACTAGGCCTTTATCGAGGGATGTGGTTTCGGATGCCACCGCGATATGCGAGAATAAGTGAGAATTCCCTGCTCTAGTTGGATGTTCATTTGATACGACATGATTTGACAGTAGCAGGCGCGTCTGTAATTTTTCAAGTTAACCAACAACTGATCTATCTGAGAACGAAAACTGATAGTACTCGCTTGGCGATTTCTCGCGACCTATTGAGATAGTGAGAGAATGCATATTTAGTTATTTTTCTTGAAAGACCCTGCAGTTGTTCATAGTTATTTTTCTTGGAAGACGCTGCAGTTGTTCAACTCAATGCGTTCAATAACATCATTTCAAGATCAAACTTTTTGTTATTTGGATATCAAGTACAGTGGTTTTAATTCTCCACTTTTCTGGAATGGAAATGCAACCCCCCACCCTTTCCTTTTGCAACTAGTCCTCCCGAGAAACTACCTCGTGCTAGGTAGATGAATGAATGGAGGGGAAGACTGATATACAAGAGCTCCTCAGTGATCCATCACGGTTTAAGTGCGCATAGATAGGTGGCTCTGCGAGCCCGCGCTAGTTTTTCTACAAGGCAGGCCACGCCCCTGTCTTCTCTTTGAATTCGTAAGTCCGGGCCACGACCCCGATTCAAGTCACGTCAGTGAACGTTTGTGCACTTGTAGACAAGTAGGCAACAAAAAAAATGAGCTCTCTCCAGTGTGTGAGTTAGGTGATCCATCATGCGGATGAAACTATCATGCATTGACTTCTATTTCGCGCTACCCGTCTGCAAATATATCGGGTTATACGCTAAAGCCGAATAACGACCACGAGCGGTCTTAAGTAATGTCCACCGCTGAGGACATGACATCTCTGGGATCCTTTTCAATTTAAAATCGCATTTCTTAACACGTTTACGTCCTTATTTTTTGTTGTAGTTTTCCAAGTTTGCAGATTGATGATGCTCGCACGAGGGTTGTCAGCATTATGAACGGTGTTTCTCGGACCGATGAAGTTTCTCTGACTTATGAAAAAACACGAGAAGTCACGCCAACAAAGTGAAGTGAGGAAGGGAGGGATAGAGAGTGAGGTCTCCGGGCAGAGACACTTGAGAGCACTAGAAGAGCAGAAGGAGTCGAATGATCGTCTTATTGCTTCTAAGAATCTTGCTGCGTAGTTGTTCAAACTTCGAATGTTGTTGCTGTTTCGAAAGCTCGAGCTCGGGGGAAGAGAGACGCACTGTTTTGCAAAAGGTATCCTCGAACAAGAATGCCTATGATCTCTACTTGCCCGAATAAGTAGGTGTCGATAAAAGTCGTGTCGAGAGGCAGAGCAGACTCATTCAACATTTTGGAAAAAAATAGCCTTTGATTGAGTGTTTCCTGAAAGTGTCTCTAACTATGATATAGATAAAGATAATGATTTTATGTAAGAATTGACCAAAAGGACAATAGTTAATCATTGCTACACACGAAATAAGAAGATGCCGCTCCTAGCATTTCTTACGCTAGAAGCTGTATTCTGGTCGTTAGTATCGGGGCGAAAGAGTGGCCGTCTCTTGCGGACAGAAGTTGTCGATGGGGAAGGAGAAGTGCGGGAAGTCAGCGTCTGGCCTGAGGACGACGAAGACCCAGAGGGTGCGCTGCTCGAGGCTGAGCGAGCGGCTTTCGCGGCCGCAAACGGCATCGAGCTACAATCCACCTGGAGTAGTACATCGCCACCTTCAAGCACGCAACGGGACAGTGTAGTCAAGGAGAATAATGGTGAAAGTGCTGATCATTTTTCAGGAGGAAATGTAGGTGGTCCTGAAGGAGGGCAAGAAGATGATTCTGGCGCAATCCAGGATAAGCTGCAGGAGAGAATGAGCAGAGGCATGACTGATCAGCGCCGTGTTGAGGCTGTTTCACGCCCAGAAGTGGCACGAGATGATCGTTCGGCAGAGGAGCGAGACGCGGTCGTGCGACTAGAGCAGTCCACTGACCCTCAGGTGGTCGTTCCGAAAGATGACAATGAACATCGTTACATCGAAGAGGCAATAGGGATAGAGAAAAGTGTTGACGTGGTGTCTGGTAAGCACGACAAGGAGCATCGAAAAGCGGGTTCTCAAGTTGTGACCGACGATAGGATAGACGACATTTTTGATGGTGCTGCTGTTGCACGACAAGAAGCGGGACGAGTGATTTCTTCATCGTCGTACAAATCTCAAGAACGACAACAAGATTATCTAGTTCGTGAACAGAGTATCCGGCCAGTTGTCACGCCTTCGTCTCCTACTACTAGCGAAAGTAGTAGCATACCGACGTCGACGAATTTATACGATGATCACATTCACATCGTATCTGAGACTGTTGAGAGCGAATCATTTTTGCTATCACAATCTACGTGGCTGCAGTGGGTCGGATTCGGGTTTTCAGCGACGGGCGGTGCTTTTGGATTCGCAGCTGCGTTGCTACTTGCCGTGGCCGTTGGTGGAATGTACTGTCTTCGAGTACTATTTCCCCATGTCCGGAGTGCGGCAGGGAACAAGATTAAGGCTATAATGTGCACATTCATTTGTTTTCAGACATGTTTAAACAGCTTCTTGTAATTTCTGTTGGTGATTGAGCTATGTTTCATCTATGATCAAAAGGCTTAAAAGGCGTTATTTAGGTAGAAAAACTCTCATCAAAGCAAGAGCTAAGGCACGTTGCAGACTTGAGTACTCAGATTAGATCAAGTAGTAGAGCACTGAAAGTGAGGACAATTATTGAGTAGAAGAACTACCTACAACCCATGTCTAAGAATAGCAGCAAAGGCGCAGCGGCTTCGGAGTGTGACGAGAAGAAGCATGCGAGATCGGGGGAAGGAAAAATGTCGTCGTTTTCGTCTGGGTCGAAGGACATGGCGTCGAAGAGCGGCGTCAAAGCTGAGCGTGCAAGCGGGGGAAGCAACGACCATTGTTCTGATCGCAGTGGCGCGGGACTAATCACCGCCGACACGAGTACTTCAACGGCAGACATCTCGAGCATTCTAGCTACATCGACATCTTGCATAGAAGAGCCCTATGACATGGCCTTCAGCGGTCTGAACAGTCACCTGCTTTCGCTCGATGATATAGAAGACACAGAGGAAGATATTTCGAAGGAGCTCGATTGCATGGCAGAGAAAAAATAAAATTATTATCTTGAGCTTTATGTTGAAGTAAATCAATGACGGTCAACACGATCCTCGATCCTTCAATATTTTTAGAAAATGTATGCTGAGTTGCATTCTATTCCCCTGGACATTCACCCATTCCTAGAAGAAGAACAAGAAGAAGAAGACAAGAATTCCTAGATGTCCTTGCAGTTGAAAATGCTTCGTAGGAGGAGATAGTGAAGCTTGGAGTTGGAACCGACGAGTGGGAGTGTCGTGAGAGCTATCCGCTGGAGACGCAACGACCCTTTGAGGACGTGACATTGGAAGTGTTTCTTTTCTGACATGTGCCGAGGTGACTAGATGTTTTCTGTTCGACTCTGCTATCGTGTAGTGTATGTCGATTCATCATTAAGAACGCTGTTTGCAGGCTGCAACGCGTCTCTGTGTAAGTACTTCTTGTCGGTCTCGCACCTCCATGGCGCAGGCGACGTCGGTTGAGCAAAGAAAATCGGTAAGTTGTAGTAGATGATTGGTCACGGGATTATGCAATATGAGGATCGGTGGACGAGACAATACAAGTACAGGATATGTTGATGATGCTCTTCTGTTTTCCTAGTCCTTCCGCGCAAATCTTTCACACCCTGTGGCTTCAATCTCGATTCACTGGCACTTTGATTCCAACGGCCCTCTCGAAACAAGTGAAGTAACAAGAAACTTGAATAAGGATGCAACTGCATGACAGAAATTCTACTTTGGATTTAATAGAACTTGTGACCACGCACTACATGTAGCAGTAGAATGAATTTCGGATGTTCATCATAAGTAGCACGAAATTGATTCATATGGTCGACATATGATCATTTCTGAATAGTTAAAGTACGAGTTTGCGTATTAGTATCGTTCGTATCATCTACTTAGAGACAACTATTCCACGTCGACCGTTGTCGTAAGCGTGCAGCACACTTCATTACACTGCCTGGCCCTGTCCGCATTCTGAGTCGTGTAATCCGATTCGACGAAAAGCATTTCGACGGCGACAAGAATCCAAGAACGAAGATGGAAATGCAAGGAGGAATCGGTGAGAGCGTTGCCTTCTGGGCTTTTCTATTCAGCTTCCAGTTAAGTGCAAATATATTCTTTGCGGGGCCATCCTTGGTGGACATGGACTTTTATTTCTACGGACATCAGCGTTAGAGGGAACAACATGTAGATGTATGGTCGTTTTTTTCTAGCAGTCAAAGAAAGAGCCAAGGATACTAGTGCAAAGAATGCAACGACGGTAGCTCTAAGCATGATTGTAATGGTACTTTCGCTCATGTGGTTCTTCGCAAGTCGAAGCTGCGACGACGAGGAGAAAAGGTACGATTTTTTCTTGAGAATAGTCAATATCGGATATCCATCCGTAGTACAACAGCGGCGTTTTCGCTGTATCTATACGAAATTGGATTGTTGAAGTCTACCTCTCAATTCCTTCCTCCTAATTAGATTAAATCTTTATCCTCTCTGTACCAGGTTTGTGAAAAGCATCTTCAACCGGAAGGAGCTTGCGAGTCGACGCCGCGATGAACTCTACACGGACGCAGTGCTCAATACGTACCATTTGGATATTCGCGAAAGTCTCGCGAAAATCTAACATCTGAAGATTGATCCTCTTCAGTAGTGATACATGAAATACGGGGTGGTAAACGTTGTTGCATTGTAAAGGCATTCAATAGTACGTATTTGACATTCGGTTTATACTCCATAGTATCAATTCTCCATAGTATCATATTCAGAGTGGCATTCAGCGCACAACATCAACCAGCTCGCACGACATAGAAAGATCACTTAACATTCGCACTTGTGCTCCCCCGTTAATTATCTACCCTCTCACATCGACTTCGACAAGACATCATAGCATACCGTTTGCATAGGTCGCCCTCGTCGCGTCAGCCTAAAAGCTCCATAGGAATTTACATACTGAACACCCGGCTGCATTCATAGTTCTCTAATACATTGTTCCACCAGATGAAAGCTAAACTGTATACATGATAGGAGGATGAATTTTTGCCCAAACAGACTCTTACAGCTACGCACATGCAACAGTCGAACGCGGTGCATCAGCTGATGTCGAACTGTGACTGCTAAGCAAATTTCGTGAGCTACTTCATTGGTTCATTGTAAGTATGCGAAAAAATAATGTTCATCTTGACTGATTAAAAATGCAGGCAAGATGAAACATGATGCGGACCGAAATACAAGTCTTCTAGGATGTCGTGAGAACACCGGAGATGTAGATGATGCGTCCAGCATTCAACATCCTTGTGCCCTGCAGAAAAGGCGAATGCATGACAGCGAGCTGAGTGATGAAGCAATCGTGAAAGGACCAGAACGCACAGGGAGTTTTGGATGAGAGCCCAAAGGAAAAGACGAAGAAGTCGCCACTGACTACCATGCAACGGTGACGTTATTTCATCTACTCAACAGACCAAAAACGTTTCATCTGTAACTAAAATTACGTCAAGAAAAGAAAAAGTAATAGTAGGTGTACTGTTCAGCGTGTTGTAATCCATTGTGAAATAAGATACTACATACAGATACAGGACACTAGTAGATTCACGTCATAGAGGAAGCAACAAGTAGTAGAATATAGTTATGTCGTCTGTGCGCGGAACAGAAGTGCCAGAATGGGGGCCCGCGGAGGTGGAGGCGTGGCTACGAAGCGTGGACTTGGCGTCTTTTGGTCTTGTTTTTAGAGAGGCGGGAATAGACGGACCTACACTGTTGCAGCTTACTTTCGACGATTTATTGCAAAACTTTCGGAATGCAGCGTACGTTTTATCTTGACATGTTCCTTTTGCTATTTATTTTCGTGTTACTGAGAGTGAGAACCGTGGTAGAAAGTGTTTTCTCGTCTCGCGGGCGTCAGGTAGCAAGTGGGTTTGATTGTTAGAGCTAGAGGTGCGATAGATAGTGTTATTGATGATGATAAGAATATGCACAACCCATTTCCATTTTCTTTCAGGGATCCGACGCTGAAGGGGTGGATAGGATGCAAGAAGATAATAGGGCATACGAACCTCTTCAAGTTACATCTCGGGCAGGAATCGGTATCAATTCTGTGATACTATAGGCGATGCTACAGGTATATTATCATATGAATATAACTCGCTCCTGTTGTTGAAGCCAAAAGTATTTGATCGTGGTGGATTTCTCTGGTGGAGCAAGGAGAAACACGAGGGTTCCTATTCCTTTCATTCGTGATTTCTCAGACGCTGTTGGCAGCGGATAGGTCATTTGTAGACGGCAACCGGTCTTTCGCCTCTTCGTCACGGCCTCCTCCGTCGCCGGGACCCAGGGCCTACACGCGCGCCGAGCCTCTGTCAGCGAGAAAAGTGAACTCGCACGGTAGTGCAACCGGTAGTAGCTATGGGAATTCCTCAGCGCGCGGATCCTCAAGAGGCAGGGTGGCACAAATGAAGAGCTCCTATGGTGGTATACAACATATTTTGGAAGTTATTTTAAAGGAGTTCCTAGAGGAATGTATCTTCTGGAAATCGTGAGGAACAATCTTTGTCACTAACCACCTTCTTTGAATAGATACTTACACGAAACATGATATCAAAGAACGCACAACGATCTTGATCTGTTTTCCGTCTACTCTCAGAGGTCTTTCGCATCGCTCATCTAGTAGGGACGCTTTGAATCGGAGTGATATATCATACAGCGGAAGGAGTTCTGGCGTATCGTTCTTAGCAATGTCCGAGAGCGGGACAACATTCGACACTCGGAAGCGCAGTCGTACGTGTTCCTAATTCTGAACATTTGCTCAGTACTAGTAGAAACAAATAGAATGAAATGTTCTGCAGCACTTGCTCCTTTATTCAAGTCTTCTGGTGCGAGCGAATGAAAGATTATGCATTTTTGTCGTGAAAACGAACGTATGCTGTGGATAAACAATATACTACAACAGACAAAGGAAGTATGGCTCTAGCAAAGCGGAATGTATCCGAGTGTCTATTCCTCCGCGGCGGAGCGTCACCGGGTGTATGCCGCTATAATGTGGATCTCGACGACCCTAGCAGACGGCGTGGTGGCGCAATATCAAGAGCTAGGCGATTTGATCCACCAAAACGGCTTTTCCCAGAGCGTCCGCCACCCGGACCGCAGTCATACGCACCAAACTTCCTCGCGATGAGTGCGCGACCCTCAACCTCCAAATAACGGAGGACGAATGAGTCTAAGTATTCTGTTAAGATGGTGTGGGTGCTGCTTTTCCAAACCGCGCATGCTCGTTTCAAATTGATTACATGTGCTTCTCCGACCAAGTGAATAGATATTTTGATTTTTGCTTTTGAAGCGAAGGAGGCCACGCTCAAAATAATATCGATCTTAGGAATCTGACATCAACACATTACTTTGCTTCTTGATACCACGACTTTAGAATGAAACCAGAATAATGCGCGCAGGTATGAGGTGGGCTAAATACCACAACCTAGAGGTAGTTGAAGCAAAATGTAAACGCTAAGAAAACGTGAAAACTATTAATGACCACTAATCACTCTCTACTAACTTTCTAAACTAGTCCATGTCATAATATTAAATTTCAACAGAATACAGCAAATCTCCATAGAAATTAGCCAAAAGTAACACGCCAAACGATCGTAAATGAACTTTATAGCACCGACTTCGTGTGCTCACAGCAGTTAAGACATGCAGCCTGGTGCTGCTTTCGTTCTACAACGGTCTCATATGCTATGTCCATACAAGTACAACTGCTTCTGAACTGAAGAAGACTTATTCAAAACTCATTTTGAGTATCAAACCGTTAGCCTTTATATTTTCCGATACAGCTCCTGGTCTTGTACAGTAATGTATACCAATCTATCGAGCAGAAGGAATCATATGTTGATTTACCGGGAGCGGTTATTCTGTATGATATCATTTCAACTTGTTGCATTTTGATGTGGGCGGGCTATAAAAATGAAAGAACGTCGCGTGAATCTCTACTAAAATTTGAATTTGTCATGACAACTACAGCAACTTACACGGTGAAACCTTTGGACATTATTGACGTCTTCGTGTCACGTGAGCGACAAATCTGTTGTACAAAAAGCAGAAAGAACGGGAAACAACAACAGAGCTTATAAAAAGCGAACGAGTCAGTCATCTCGGTCCCAACATTGAAGCGCGTGGATGTGCATTGATTTCCAGCAGTTCTTCGTCTCTGTCGGAGATTTACAACTTATGCGCACGGCCACGGGAGTGCGGCCACACGACCTTGCTAAGAAAGAAGCTGTTCTTCTATTCTGATCCTCGATGGATGTGGACGAGACCCGGGAAGATCTAAGGCTGATGGGCTATCTTTTCTCGCGTGCTGGATCGCAGGATCCTCTTTGTGATTGTTTACGAGATACGCAATTCGACACTCGGTGGAGGTAAAGTGATGATGTTATTAGTGACGATGTGGCCGGTACTGGTTTCTTCGCATTCCTTTTCCGTGAACTTGCATGTTGCTCTATGTGTAGATGATATATTATCAGATGATTGATCGCTCATGCTGATTTTGTGACAACGAACTTAGTAGTTCGTAGTCGGTGTCCTCTACCTTACAAAAACATTTAAGAATTTCCCTGAAGATCGATTTGGTTGTTTATTTTTGACCTCGTTTCTAATTTCTAACCTAACAAGATCTACTACTAACTTGTACTTCTGTAGTTGTACATCTTCTAGTCTAGAAACGCAAAGATGTTGGAGTTCCTTAATGTGCGGAGGTCCGGTACTATGCTAGAGCTAGTGTGGGCCGTGGGGCTGCTAGTCTGCACTAGTGTCGTTGCCAGCAGTCCTGGAGGATTGGGTGGTAAGGATGTTGCTCATGGTTCCGTAGTCGCGCAGGGACCAGCTGCGTCGGGCACTGCCGCAAATGAGGAAACGCCACTCAACTTGCCAAGCACTCATGTGCAGGAGACGATCACAATGAAATTCGGCGGTTCCAGTCTAGCAACAGGAAAGAACCTGCTGCAGTTATGACTACTTGTACATCGGAAAATTGGAATTTTCTATTCACCCTATATATCTATAATCTAGTACCTTCATCCCAGCAAGAACGGGTTGTATATCACTCACTCACTGCTCAAAGTGAATTAGTACAACAAGGAGAAGGGTGAGGTCGTCACTACATTACGGTGCACCATCGACAGTTTAGACCCTGTCAGGTCATGAACGCATGGAGAGTTTACACTAGAGTTTAAACGACAAGACGAAGAAAGTAGACGGTTTGTGAAGATGTTTTGTCTAATGCTTGTGGCAAGGATCATTCATGGCACACAGAGCCTGAATACAGTGAAGCAGGTCTTGGTAATCTGCTCTGCGATGGGGAAGACAACGGATGCGCTGAAAAATATGTTGAAGCTTGCGGCTAGAAATCATGATGATCTTCTACATCAGGGAACTAATCAGCCATCCGAATCACCTGCTCAAGCAGAAGTTCTGACATCGACAGTTGAAGGAAGTAGTCGTAGTATCGAAGGGGGAGTGAGGACTTCTTCTCCTGCATTTCTGGCTTCCGAAAGGACCACGGGTCAGGAGGACGCCAAGGCAAGAGAAAATCAAGACAAGAGTGCAGTCAAAAATGCGCTTCATGACGGTGCCAAACTCTCGCTTGCTTCTTCTACGCCGCCACCGCCTTACTTGGCGACTTTCGAGAAAAGCATAGTACAGTATCACAAGGATATCTTCTATGCTGTGGAAGCGAGCGCGCTTGAATGTGTAACGCCTTCCGTTTCCTGCGAAAAGGGGAACAAAGAGTCAGCATCGAAGAAGAAGGAACAAGCTTGCGAAGAGTTGATCAAGCAAAGTTTTTCTACCGTGTGGAGTGAGCAGATTCAGGGCCCGCTGATTGACGCTTTGAGGCGTGACTTAGATACAGTTTATGAACTGTCGTTTTCCCCCTCGGTAGACCGCGTGGAGTTGGCCAACCGCTACTCTGATACCATCGTGTCCTACGGTGAACGCATCAGTGTGCGGATTGTAGCGCAAGCACTGAAACAAGTGGAGAAGTTGGTCGGATCAATGTATTTCGATGCCTGGGACTTGGGGCTGCAGACGACAGCAGGTAGCGGCCAGCTTGATAGCGTGCTCTCGTCGGCAGAAGTGGACACCGACCTTGTCTACCCGAAGATGGCTGCGCGCATAGAGGCGAATCGACTGCAAATTTAGGACTCTCTTCTTGCTAATCGATATTGAAAGGTTTTGAAGTGTTGCTGAATTACAATGGCGCTAAGTCAACTAAGAACGGCACGAAAACGGCCACTATTGTCGCCTCCTCGTCCTAGAAGTGCTCCGCTTAGCCGCTTTTGCTACTTGCTTCCTCTTGGTTTTTCTGTCTTTTGGTTTCGTTTCATGTGATTCCCCGCGCCCCTCCAGAGTCCACCGCGCCAGCCTGCAAATGTGTGCTGGGGGATTCTGGAGGGGCGCGGGGATTTGGAGGGTGCCCGAGGTTCTTGGCTCGCAACTGGGTGAGGGTTTTCCAGAAGGGGGCGCAGTAGGCGGCGAGTGTTCTGCGGATTCGTATCATGCCCGGAAAGGTTGAACTTTGTCCGGATTTTTGCAGTCCTTCGCAGAATTTGCCCCAGTATGGGCGTCCTCTTTTCTCTTCTTTTCAGCGGACGACGATACTGCATGAAAAGACCGATTGCGTTCCACTTCTAACACGTGGCTTTTTCGACTCCGGGCGCGGCCTTCTTGCCTGTAGTCACTGGTTATATAGCCAAGGACGCTGAGGGCAAAATAACGACTCTGGGTAGAGACGGATCCGATTTCTCTGCTGCGCTCTTTGGCGCCGCTGTTGGTGCGAATCGCGTTCAGATTTTCAAGGACGTTCCCGGGATCCAGAGCACCGACCCGCGACTGCTGGGTGCGAACGGCAGCGAAAGGGTGAGAACCATCCCGCGTCTCTCCTACGAACAGGCAGCTGAGCTTGCGATCTTCGGTGCGACAGTTGTGCATCCGGAAGCGATGGGGCCATTGCGCGCGAAGCGCATTCCGCTCGAAGTTCGGAACACAGCGGACCCCTTTGGTTCAACCTTCTCGACGATTTCCGAAGAGCTACCGTACGGTGCTGCGATCAATACTCCTGGCTCACCATTTTCTTATGCTTTGTAGTTGAACATCTTCCTCACAACGTGAGCGAGGCGAGTAAGCATTACTGTATTTGAGAAACTGTTCACCTAAGGTCAACATGGATGGAGCAAAGATGTAATACAGAGCTCTTCACTTTTTTGGTCCTTTTTTATCAACATCGATCTTTTCAATTTCCACGTACAACTTCCGTCGTTTTTTCAGGAGCTAGCAACAAGATGCGCTTACCTCTAAGAGCAATCCAGTTCTCCTGCCAGCCGCAAACCCCTGCCTGGACCTCCTGTGCTGGCGATTACGAAGAACGACCGAGCTAAACTTATTCAAATTTCTTCGGCTGCGATGGTACAAACAAGTGGTTTTCTTGCTGACGTTTTTGCGGTGTTCAAGGAAATGGGGATCTCAATTGACGTTGTGGGAACATCGACTAGTTCCATTTCGTTAACGACAGATGGCATGGACGATTAAGGCATCTTCAATTTTTGTAGAAACAACGAGTTGTTTGGCAGTCATTGAAGTAGACTGAAATACCAACTTTTATTGTTCTAATAGGCGAACACAGAGGCGTTGCTTCCACAACTTCGACAAAAGTTGATTGCTGCGGTGGGAGGGCTGGCGAATGGACGTGGCCTGGATCTGCAAGTAAATGTCGCGGCAACCGTGGGCACTTTGACTTTGATCATTGGCTCACCGTTGACGGCTGACTCTGTCATGTGGAAGGTTCAGCGATTGCTCGACGAGGAAGTCAATTATGTCCATACAGACTTCAGCATAGGTTTGAAGAATTTAGTGATAGTGTTTGTGATAACAATGAAGAGACCTCTCAACAAGACACTACGTACACAGACCTTCCGTCGATGTAATTGTTAGTTGACGAAAGACAATGGCATGCATAAGTTTTTGTTTAACAGAGAATAAGGTCGTCACTATCTCTAGTGGAAGAAAATGACATCCTTGAGAAATAGTGCCTAGACCATTTGATGGCAAGAAGTCTTCTAACTTCCAGTCCCCCTGCAAGTGGTGACGAAAGCGAACCCCTACCAGATAACCTTCGTGCTGGAAAGCGATAAGCAAAAGATGAACGAAGCAGTCGACCGGGTCCATCTGCGTTTCGTTGAGGAGTACGATGGAGATGCGCGTCACTAAAATATATATGTAACGATCGAAGACGACACTGCTGATCTAGAAGGCGAATGTCGGGTAGCTACTGTATAATTACGAGAGGTAAAGCTCTACTATCTAATGATACTGAAGTAGAGGTCAACAAACTCAAACATATAGGGAAAGTGACGTCAACATAGTCGTATGCTAGGTGCATTAATTATCCATAAAGACGATGTTCAGCGTCGTCAATAGTTTCTCAACATTTTTCGTGCAAGCTACGGACCATGCATTGTTGTCGTGTCTTCGATTCACATCCATGCTGTAAGTGTAAGAAATCATGTTGAAAAAAATATGCAAGAAATATGGTTCCGAAACTGTATTTACAGGACGAAAAGTTTTTGTAAGCCTTTTCAAGAACACTACTGACGTCTGGTCGCACATTCAAGAATACTACAGAGCTGTAGTAGCGCTCGTGACGAAAGATGTTTTGTTCTTGCAGCATGGCCAAGGGGTTTTGGCGCTGTTGGCTATGATAGATGAAAAGGGAATGTACTTGTTCGGAGAAAAGCTTGAGAACGAGCACTTTATTTCGTTGACTGATTTATCCCCCATTTGCATTTCCTTTTCCGTATTACTATCGCTATGCATGGTGCTCCACGACAGGTTTTGATTAGAGGCAAGCAAAGATGCCCTACTGTCCCCAAGTACTCAAGGCTTTTGGTAGTTCCAAAACTTTTTAACTCATTCTGAGTCTGCCTTCAGGCGCCATCACCATCATATTCACTTGTCATAGCTATAATCTTTTCGGGTGATATCTGATTCGTAAAGGTGCTACGTAAATTTTTTTGCCTCCACTAAGAAACTGAAACACAATGGACACAGAGGTCAGTAGACATGAAGGGCGGAGCGGCTGTGTGATGGGAAAGCCGCGCGGAGACGGACCCACCGTGTGCAACTTCTATTTTTGCTACAACTTCATCACTTGAAGAGAAGGATCATTCAACTAAGTATTTGCTAGAACTACATATCAGCATCAAGTGCTGATTCGTATAGAACTACATATACATATTTTTCATTCTAATTCGTTGATTGCCTCTGCAACGTATCAACACTTCTACAACTTCATCACTTGAAGAGTTTGCGAGGAACCTCTATTTTTGCAACAACTTCATCACTTGTTTGAAGAGAAGGCTCGATGTTGATAGGTTCATTTCAACAGTTTTGAAGTGGCTTCCACGACGAGCAGCACGACCGCGATCTTCAGTTCGTCTTGTACCGAAAAAAGCTTTCCGTGTCTATTGCCAAGTCGATGTAAGAGTAAATCTCATCCTGCAAAAAGATACGAAAACATAAACACCGGCATCTCCGAGGATGGAGCAATATTCAACTTCAGTGATCCACCTGAGGCAGAGCTACGAGCTTTCGCCTCTTCTAGCCTCTGCTGTGGTAGGCAAGGAAGTACGGGGGCTATGCTTGCGGCATCTGTTGTTGCGCCAGAACGCTGCTCAGGCCGAGGGGAACTCCGTATTTCTCAACAAGACCAATGAATGCGTGCGCGAACTAGAAACTCAGATGGCAGAGCATGGCCTTCTTTTACGGCTCTTTTTCGAAGTGAATATTGTGATGAGCTGTACTATATTACATCTATGTATCTATAAAAGAACAGAAATTTTGAGGAAGGATGCAAATGCAACAGAGTCAGAGGTTTGATTCTTGTGGGGGGTCATGAGCCGCACTTGGATGGTCTTCATACTCATAGGTTGTAAGGACATTCATCTTGTTCTAATTCCTGTGTTTCGTGGACAGCAGGGGTGAACCGGCGATGAGCAGGTGGCGATCAGTGAGCTCTTCGGTGGTCGCGAAGTGCACTCCACCCACGGCGTGCACCCAAAAGCACCGAGTCGGCATGTTTTCCGGCTTTCAAACGAGGGTATGCGTGGGGTCGGACCACAGTGGCACAATGACGGATATTTTCTTCGCGTCCCATTTTCCCACGTGTTGTATTACATTATCAAAACCCCAGCGCAGGGGAGAGGCGGCACGCATTTCTGCAACACGTCGCGCGTCTATGATGTGTTGGAGGCGGCTGAGCAACAGCGCTGGGCCCACTTGTACAGTGTGAATAGCAGCTACGGCTTCGTGCATCCGGTGGTCGCCGAGCACCCCGTAACGCGGAAGAAACATGTTTTTCTTCACTTGGGCTGGACCGGCGCGGTATACGACGCGGCACAGAAGCGACTCCTAGACTCCACGGAGCTTGCGACACTGATGCGGCGCTACAACGAACTGCTTTCGCGCGAAGACTTGTGTTACAAACATGTGTACCAAGAAGGCGACGCGGTTTTCATCGACAACCTGACGGTGGCGCATCGCGCGGATCCGACTGCGCACGAGGAGCTGCAGAGCGTGGATGCAGAGGCGATTATAGAAAATTCGGAGGAAAAAGAGGATGAACCAAAAGCAAAGTTGCGTATTGTGCATCGCGTTACGATCAAAGGGCAAGACGGAATTCTTGACCCGCCACCAGAAGTGCTGCCACCAGTCCTGGACATCGCAGGTCCAAATCCTTTCAACACGGATGGTGTGTGGTTTCACGGCAATACCGGGTTCGAATGGGATTCGGACAAAAGACTGCAAAATTGAAGCGGTTCATTTTGTGCATATCTCATAGCGCTAGGAAAATGTTTTAGCTTTTGTTTTTAGCGTCATAAATCAACGCCCGGGCGAGCAGCAGCTAGCAAGCATGTGTACCTATTCTACCCAAACAAAAAACACTTATTGAGATTCTCTATGCCAATCATGGTCAATATTGGACTTGATTATGCAATGTAGCGTTTGAGACCCGTACTTGCCTCGTTCAACAGCGTGACTCCTGCCATTGTGCCGCTTTGTTCTGTTATTGTTTGAGCAGCTAGCAGGATCATGATGATCCTTTTTGCGAAGGCTGCGATGAGCGGCTCAGCAGGAGTTGCAAGCGAGAACATGGAAAAGGATCCCTATGCTCCACCGCTCGATCCCGTCGACAGGATCTTGTAGCTCGCTAGTCGATATTCAAAAGTTCCCACTTCTTGCGAGGACTTTACCGCTTCTTGATGTAATGCTTCGCCACCAGAGACGCTTGAACGAGCGAATTGGTAATGGGATAACTTGTGATATAAAAGTCAATGATCAAAAGTTTTCGACGTCCTAACACTCGATTATGAAGGCAAACGGTGTTGCTCGCCTCGTGGTCGGCGGCATGTGCGCGTCGGCTGTGCTGGTAGCTGTTGTCTACTTCCGGAAGTACCTTAATTTCGCGTACCTGGCGGAGAATCACAGGCAACTGCATGCCTTGGTGGAGAAAAACTTTGCGCTGGCTGGCTGTGCGTACGTGGGCTGCATGGCTTTCGTTATAGGTCTAACCGTACCCGGAGCGACGTTCCTTAGTTTCGCTGGTGGAGTACTCTTTCCGCAGCCCTACGCTGCGGTTTTTGCGTACCTAGGCTATGTCATTGGCGCGATATTCAGCTTCGCGGTCGTGAGCTTCGTGTTGGCTGACGTCTGTAGACGGAGGCTCCAGAATCTGAGCAAATTCAAGGCGCTCCAAGCAAAGGTGCAACGGAATGCGCTTCTTTATCTCGTCGTCGCCAGGTAAGGAGGTTATTAAATAGAACAAGAACTTTTTGTTCTGCTGGGTAATCTCAGTCGTAGTCCAAGCATCGAAGTTTTGTTTCACGACAAAGAAATTCTGAATTGAGGAACGAATCATCACTCATCTTCTAGCTCCTAACATGAACATCACAGGTATACCTTCGTGTTTCCATTCTGGTTCGTAAATAGTGTATCCGCGATCGTGGGCGTGTCCTTTCCGACCTTCCTGCTGGCCACGGGGGTAAATACTCTGAAATAGAAATATCAACATTAACATTAACATGATTAAACATTATGATTTGTCTAACTTGGGAATATAAGAAAATTACATGATACAAAGCAAAGAAGAAGTGTAATCAACTTGCAGATTGAAGGTGGCTTGTACGGTGATTTGTGTACAGTTACAGCGTTTTCAGCAAGCAGCATCACGACCATTCAACAATCGACAGGTAAGCGTTATTCCGGGATCTATCGTCTATACAAGTGCAGGTCGGAGTCTAGGGAATCTCTTATTAGCTGGTGAAAACAGTCCAGAAGCGAGCGCCCTACTATGGGCGGCGCTTCAGGATCCAAATGTCTTATCTTGCTTGGGCGGAGTCTCCGTCTGTGTCCTTTGCGCGCTTCTTGCCGGAAGAATAGCAAATTCTGACAAGGATACCGAAAATACCGATGAAACAGAGAAAGAACAAGAAGTAAAAAAACAAAAATAGCGATTTTTTTGCGTTGGCATGTCGTGGTTTTGCACCTACTGGCTTCAAGTACAACGCAGTACTCATTTTAGTAGCACATTGAAAGGGTACCACTACCAACCTTAACTAGGAGGAGGTGCGCATTTTTTACTTGTGTGCACTGTACCTCCAAAGTGCTCTTTATTTTCGGCGTTTGTTGTCTAATCTATGGTCGCAGGCATCTGTAGAAGATCAAGCACATCATAATCATATGGGTTGACAGTGAATGTTCTAGAGTCACGGCCGACTTATCCGGGGCTCTTTAGAGCAAGATTCCTTAAACAGAGAAGCTACACCGGATCAACTACAAGCTTACGAGCTATGTATAGGTTTTGTCGCTCGTGCAGAGCCTAGACGCTGCACTATGACAATGTAGTTAGTTTTTTGATTATGGTTGCAAGTAAGCCCAAATAAGAGAAGCGAGTAGTGTAGTTTGCAGCTGGTCTTGAGCGCTGTAAAGAGATGACTAGTTCGTTGCACGATCGATACAGAAGGCAGCAGCTGATTCGCGAGTGCGTTTCGTAGCAAGACTTGGAGATCCTTGAAGTAAATGAACCATCTTCGAAGTAGTCCTCTGCGTCTGCTGCATCTGAATTCTTCGCGGAGACTGTTCCCCTTGCTTGCGGGTTCCACAGGAGCATAGCCACGGTTTCCAAATGTCGGCATCAGGCGGCGCGCACCAGGGCGCGGGACGCTTTTACGGTAAGGAGTCGTTCAATCCTCGGAAGATCCTGGCGCAAATGACTGTTTTGCAGAGTGCCTGGTACTTGCTCTTCGTCTCAACAGTTTCAATGGCAAATCACGCCAGCGGAATGGATCTGAGTGCGTCGCAGTTCTTCGTCCCAAGCGCCTACACGTTTCACACGAAAAGAGGGGTACTAAGTAATTACTTTTCTTGAAGTTATATATAAATATATAATTATAATGTTTCTGTTTGTTCTTGTACGAGGTTGCATATCTAAGCACTAGATGACTAACGACTGTTGCCAGACAACATCAGACCGGATGCGAGGCAAGAAGAAATGATTTTAGCGGTAAATAGCGAAAAGAACTGGTCAGCAAAACGAAGCCTTCCACAGTTGCCAACTTTTTCATTTTGTACTAGTTTCATACTGGTGAATCCTTGCTTCTGTTTCTATTTTCATACGTAGGTGACGCTGATATTTGGTCAGTGGATCTGCAGCCTGATTTTTGCTCCATTTTTAAGCTTCATTATCGAACGTGCGAAGAAAGTGTTGGACTTCTGCGTGACAATTCAGTTTTGGCATCTAGTTCTGTGCATTTTTTCGCACGAATTTCCTGGTCTAGCGTGGTGGGGCGTTTCGCTCGTCGGCTGCGTTGTTGGAACGCTGCTCTCCGAGGCGATCTGCATGCGATGGGAACTGCAGGACATTGAGTTGGGCGGAAACAACAAGTACGCGCCTGTGGCCACAGTTGACCACGATGCGGAAGATGATTTGAGTGCAACGACGCCGCAGCAGCATTTTGCCATCCCGGTATTGAAACCAGGAGGTCATGAAACGGGTAATGCGACACCAGGGGGGCCTAGTATGGTGGGAACGAGTAGCGCGGCTGCTCCACCTGTTGCTAGTGCTAGCATCCAAATGCAGAACACGAATAGTCGCGGCGGCCAAAGTAGTTCGGTCATGACGCTTCCTATAGGAAATAACGCTTACGTAAACAATAATATGCGGGACACGCCGGGAAGCACAGAAAGTGTGATAGATGCGATGATTGATGAAGATATGAAGGAATTAGAAGTAAGAAATTCTCCTGACAGGCGAGGAAAGTGATGTCGACGACCTAAAAGTACGAAAACAGAGAATAAGCGAGTAACAAATACAATAACCGAGTATCTGAGATTGTCATCTAGATTACTCGCTTATTTCAGTTTTTCGATACCTGGGAAGGTCAGCAGCTTAAGCATGCCATTAATACCACCTTCTTGCGGCTTCCGATGTCTTCCACAATTGTGGACACGCATAGGCAAGGTCGTCCTGATGTCCTCTTATCCTTCGTATAGATTGAGGACGTCGTTGTCAGCTATGTATATCTGTCTGTATCTGTAGTTGGAACTGTAACTCGTGGAACATCGATACAAAACTAACTTTTGCCTCGGTTTTGAGACCCTTTAGATAAGAAGATCGGTTAATGTTGTGTCACTTGCTGTTCACACGTGTCGGTCTCGGCAGTCGGTTGATGAAGTTCTCAGAATCTTCTGAAGCAGGAGCTCATACACCAGAATAGCCACATCGTCTGCCCGTCATGCGTAAAAGATAGCGCATCATCAATGTTTGAATTTGAAAACACAAATTAATAGGTAGTACTAAAGCCCGAATGGACCACCTCATGTTTCCCTTCCGATATTACATTGATGTGTCCTAGCTGCAATGCATAATTCGTAACAAATTGACCGTTTATAATGCGCAGAGGACAAGGTTTTTGTGACCACTATATCTTGCTATAATATTCTTATATCCAGCGAGAATGTCTGCTTTTTCTCCTTAGATGGGAGCTCACTTCATCTAAATCTAATCTACCTGAACTTCTAGGAAGTAGGCACCTCGTCCATGAGAAGATTGCCTTTCAGACATTTGTTCGAGAAGCAGATTGAAGATGAAATGATAAATTTTCTGAGTCATCACGAACATTTTCGTCAAACAAAATCAGAGCCCAAGATATTTTCTCATCATGTCTTCGTCATTGTTGACGTCTTTCCTGAGTGCAACCGAAGTCACGAAGCTCGGATGCACGCAAGTATCTGTGGTAACAAACAAGGCGCTCAAATTCCTCCTGCCACATAGAGACTATGCCGAGGTCTTTCTTCTTAAGGCAACACGCTGATGACGAAGTCATATTTGGACGTATAGTCGCATACACTAGGATTAGAGGATATTAAGACTGCACTCCCTTCAGCTAGACGACATGGAGGGAAAGCTACTCCTACTCGAATAGGTTCTATCTTGTAGATACGATAAGCATTAACATTAACTTTTATTATTTAGAAAGAGAAGGCGCAAGGTGTGCTTGGTTGTTGATAGATAGGGAAGCAGCTTTTCCAATTTTGCGGCAATAGATCATCGGAATCCCAAGGCGAGTACCGAGGCGCTGGATCAAATAATGCAGCGTCTATTCGAAAGTCCTGATGCGGACGCAGTGACACGTAACTATGGTCCTGCGACCATGCTCAAACTGTTCATCGCGCAGCCACGCAGATGGCCTCTGGGTTTGTCAAAGAAGCAGAGGCTAGCAGGCTACTTGTTTCGGCAGAAGGGGGTGGAGAAGCTGATGGCGAACGGTGGAATCGACAGCATGACGGGCATTGCCGCTGAAGCGCGCGAAAATGAGGCGGGGCCAGCGGTGCGTACATACTTCAACTGGGAACGCATTCCGCCGCAATTGGAAGCACGCTTGCGTGGGGGGAAACAACCAGGAAATGCTTGTTCTTGCAATGATATCGAGCAGATGTCTTGCATGGAGAAAATGAAAGAAATCTTTGGAATGGGTGGCGACAGGGGCAAACCTTGTGAACGAGCGTTTAAGAAAACCAAAAAATGTCCTGTAGAAGCAGGCTGCAAGGAACAAGAAGACGACGAAGGAAACGTTACTTGCGAACAAAACTGTACTAAGTAATCATTGCTTCAGCACCGGATACTACCACGACTTCATCTACTATTCTATCAGATTATCAGAAAGCAGCGACCCCTTCAGCAGAAGATTCTGCTCGTTGTCGTTCGTGTCTTTTTTTGATCTACAAGAAATAGAATTATGTTAGCAGAAGGTAGAAGTATGTTCATGTACTTGTCCGTCAAGCCTTCAACTGAACATACAGGCGAGAAAGCCTTTACGACCGGTAACGCGTGTGATCGGTCTTCTAAGGCGGTTTTTCCAGAAGTGAAGGCGTGCAAGTGGTACGACGAGACCGGTAAAAAGGGGCACTGCGGGCCGAGTGATGCCAAGGAGGATGCTGCGATTCAGAAGGCACGTGCGCAGGAGAAGGAGGCACGGGAAGGAGCAGCGGCGAAGGATGCGAAGGAAGCAAGAGAGAGTGAGGAAGACGGTGATAAAGGCGATGAAGAGGATGAAGAGGTGGAAACGGCCGAGGACGCAAAGGAAACGGACGAAAAGCAAGAGGATGGTGATGAAGAGCAACCAGAGGAGCAACAGGAACTGTAATTTTTCAGCCTCAGTTTTGATCACCATTTTTTCCTGCGGAGTCCGAATGCGCTTCTGAACCTTATTAGTCTTGTTCCAGTAAAACATTGATAACTTCTCATGTCTGTGTAATCTTTAATTATTGAGACTCCCTCGTTGCCATTGCCTGCGTCAATGAAGAGTCCACTTCGCGGTACCGGTAACTGTTTCCGAGTCATTCTTACTACATGTGGTACTCCACCTTCGTATTTTTTGATATCATACGACGAGGCACACGTTGTTGCGAAATTGAGCAGTGTGATAAAAAGATATGATCTTAAAAAAGTGACCTTGTGCATTGGCCCTGCACCAAATGGTAGTTGCTTTCAACATGATTATTGTTCCATGTGAAAAGCGTCAAATCTGAATCCTAATAATTTGCAGCAAGTGTAGTTGGTAGGCATCTCTCTGTTATTGAGAGCGTTGTGGCGGTGGTCTGTAATTATGGGTTGATTCGGATCTGTCAGCAACGCAACCCGCGACAACACCGCGGGCTATCCGATCCACGGGAATTTATCACTCGTGAGTAGGTACTAGAATATGACGAGCACGAGGTGAATAATGGCGCAGCTCATAATGTTGACATTCAACCTACATAGTTTCGCTCTGGTTCTTGTTCTCCATCCTTTTCATTCGTAGGCTAGTTTTCCCATACCATGATCCCAGATCATCTGCCCCACTTCCCCAAATCGTTCGTTCAAAAGCCAGCTTTATTCAATCCTCCTCTTCATCTTCCAGTAAAGTTAAAAATTAGACTTCAACACGAGACGACACTCCACCTAGTCACTCTGTTCTATGTTTTGAGTTGCAGTTTACAGCGTTGCCTGAAGTAGTGCATACTGTTATTTTAAAGTACTACTTTTTTTGCGTGGACGAGGATCATCAGAAAGTTGTCATGATCAAATCCGAAAGTAGGACTGCTCTTTTGAGTCTTTTCTTGATTTTATGATGAATCTGCTGTAGAAAATTTAACAATCGACGCAACAAGAGACGAATCGAAGTTAGTCTATCCATGCTGACTGATTTTTTTAAGCATTTTCCAAGAACGCGACAATCATAAATTTGTACAAGATCAACGCCCATCTGAAGAGTTTGATTGGTATCTATATTGCTAGTGAAGACTGCCATAATTACCAGTCACAATGTACGGAGCATACCGTCACACGCCCACCTCTTCTTCAAACCAGGATGCGAAGCATCTCGATTCTGTATATGGTCGAGATGACCCTGTTCTGCAGGCGAGGTTCAAAGCCGACGCGCCCCGCATCGTGCAGAGGGACGCACAGTCGGAGAGCCCTAGAGAGGTGGAAGATCGCGAACCCGCTTCAAAAAGGGCAATTTTGCTGCTTGGTGCTGGTGGATCTACTACAACGTCATCTCTATTTTCTCGTCCTCCACCTGGTCCCACAAACCCTGCTGCGTTTGTGCCCAACGTAACTACTTCCTTGTTTGCGAAGCCTCCTTCCCAAAATACAACAAGGACATCTTCCTCTTCGTTATTTTTAAGGCTTCTCCAAAAGATCCATCTTTCCTTTAGATGCATGATGAAGACGCATCTTCTTTGTGATCAGAGAGTTTTTTTGTTCGAGAAGAATCCTGATAGATGGCTTTCATGAAGATACTTGTCGTGCATCTTACAACGATGGATCGATTGGTAGGTATGTAGGTTTCGTCCTCTAAGATTTGCGGCGCCTCCTATCAGAAGTGGGACCACCAGCTCTTTGTTTGCCAATCCCAATACCTCACGGCCAAGCTCGTGTGAACTTGAGAATGGGGAAGACCTGGAGATGGGCCGCCCAGAGCGATTCGACGGGCGTGCGCCAAAGCTGAATATGGCTCACGACCATACCAACTTTTCCTTGCTCCGGGTCCACCGAGAATCGGCACTGTTCGGTAAACTTGAAAGTCTTCTCTCGTGGTACAGGTACGGGCACGCGCCTCATCAACAGTCTTCAACCACGATACCGAATACGTTCGGAGCTGCGCCAAATGAGATTAGTATGCCAGTAGCGGATGTACTCGGACGAGAGCGGCGGCAACTCCGAAGAGCATGGCTCATTGAGAACCCCTTACTGTGGAAGCGCTACGTGACGCGAAAAGGCGAAATGCGGGAGGAGCTCAGGCGCTTACGGGACGAATTCGGCAAGACAATCGGTATGGGGAGCGCGCACGTGGAGCGGGACCTGCCTGGAGCACTGGATCGTGGTCTCAATGAGACCTGGCTGCTACACGGAACGCAGGCACATATTAAGAAATCTACAAAGCAACTCGTCTCCTGCACAAACACCTTGGTCGGTTTCTTCAAACGAAGGTCAATATGCTCATGGGGTTGGAGTTCTGCTAGCTCTAAAAATAATGTGAAAAGCATATTAGAAAACGGATTACTGCGGAGCAAGGCGAGAGGCGGCTGCTTCGGAAGTGCCATCTATTATGGACCCCTCTGTGACCAAGAACACTCAGATTTTCAAAGTTCTTGCATCTTCTGAAGCTTTTTGTACTTCTTTCATCCATGTTAAAAATGTGAAGAAGAAGATTTAGATCATCAAAATGAGTATCGTACAATGAATGGCAGGCTTGCTAGAAGTAGTGTTCATAATCATTGTGCTTTTTTTGGGTCATCAGTCTCATTCATGACCGAGTGCATGTAATGAATGTTAGTTTCTCATCATTGTGAGTAACTAAGAGAAACAAGAGGAAGAGTCGCAGTAGCGAGCGACCTTTTCTAAGTCTTTCTAGCGGAGAACGCCGCGAAGAGTGTCCACTATGCTGTCGGAAATGGCAGCGGGGAGGCTTTTTTGCTGGTGTGTCGCGTGTTGGTGGGCTACTACCAGACTGTTTCGAGCTTTGATGCTGCTGCTGGAGGGCAGCAGATGAAGGACGCGGTAGAGGTGGCGGGACACACGAAGCCCGCAACGATGTACGCTTATCATCGTAGTGCAGCGGAGTCGGCATCGTCTCTAGTACAGACCGCGTCAAGTAGCACGCGTCAACTGAGTGGAATTCAGTACCACAGTCGCGTGTGTGATGCAGGTTCAAGTGGAGGTGCTTTTATTGGCGCTAGCCATCGGGAATTCTGCATTGAAAACGAGGCAAATATCTACCCCGAATACCTTCTGTGCTTTTCTACTGACGGATATTGAAACGCACATCGCTGATTTGAACCTCGTCGCGCTTTGGCTGGCCGATTGATGCGGCGCATAGAAATCCGCTGACTCGATGGCGAAATGAGTGATAGTAACTAATGTAGTTGTAATGATTTATGTTTTATGCGATTTTTAAATGTACATGGTGAACTATCCTTGTTATCCCATCATCTACTCCCTAGCAGTATCCTCGTAGTGCGGCTGTTGATCGAACGCGTAATACATAGATTTCCGGTTTGACAATTAAAACTAAAAGGCCTAGTTAGATGAAGCTGCCGCAGCATGATTTTTATCATCAATCGATCCCTTCCCCATTCATCTCCAACATCGGACAATTATTTCCCTGTACTGATGTGCTGGGGTTCAGAAGCATCGACACTTGATATTAAGCATGCTCTCTTCCTATACTCGGATTCCCTAGAAACATGTTTCCCCAATCAGGAGATCTAGAGCACGGTTTTTTGAGCTGGTCGAAAAGATAAAACAAAAGTCGAAGATAGGTTAAAGAACTTCATCTAGAGTAAGGCCCCACTGAAAAAACGGTTTTCTTTAACTGTCGTGTGGTGCTGAGTCAATCTATTCGGAATCGTTCGTGAACCGCTTAACCGCTTATACTATGTATTGGGTGATGTCAACATTTATATCCGCTTTCATACTAATATCTTCGCTTCAATTATGAGCGGCTTGATGGCTTTGATGACAATGTCCAACTTGCCCAACTGCTATGTACAGCGTTTGCTCCATGTGCACGCCTTTTCGCAGGCGTCTATGAGAGCAACGGCGGTCTTCTGTCTATCCGCTTGAGACCTGGCCCCAGCTGGGAAGATAGTGCTGAAAATTTCATTTGTAGCTGTAGTAATGGAGAGGTGAAAAATCGTACGTCGCGCTCGCGGCGCCAGCATTGTATTGTAGGATGGTGTAAGAAAAATACACAATATCATTGAGTAGATCTGGTCTCTATGTGAACTTGTAACTCTGTCTTGAGCGGCTACCTCCATCTGATGGCGTAGACGAGAGAGAGAGAGAGATTCACCCAGAATTCATTTCTAATTGCAACAACTACGCAGTCTGTCTCTCTTTGATGTTGTCGATCTGTGATTCATAATGTCCATGAGAGTCAAGAAAGAGCCGCTCGAGCGCGTCTGCTTCTTCATGAAGATCCGCCTAGTCTTAGCAAGCCGAAAAATGGGCCGGGGTTCGTATAGTCTTAGCCCGGAAGAGGGCCGCCCCCGCTCGGTGGCTAACCTTTAAGAAGACTACCGGGGCGAAGCGCGCGGGTGCGACGATGCCAGCGAGCCCGAGACAGGGGGGGAATGTGGCGACGAGCGCCCGCTTCCTCTTCTTCTTTTGTTTCCTCGTTTCTCCCTTTGTTTTTTTTTTGGTTGACGCGTCTCCTTCTTGCGTTATTTCTGACGTGTCTACTAGACTACTGCGCGCGCCTCTTTAAAATACTTGCCTTTTATTTAATGTGAATTCATTGGTTGGCCCCACTGCTAAAAGGAAAAGTAAGGTCTAGGTCTTTTTTTTCATCGAAAATGGAAGAGACTGAAACAAGGTGTTTGACTTATTAGAGCTTCTTCTTGTAAAGTAAGCCCCATCAAGTGCCCGCAATTATTCATCGATTGGAATGAAAAGCTTCGCTAGAATTTGTCTGGGTTAGTTACTCTTCTTTTGATGCCTTATGACGCAGAAGAATACTGACTGGGGAAAAGAGATGTCGGGTGCGTACGTAATAGCTTCTACACTGCAGGCAACGCATCAAGTACATCTACAACTTCGATTACCGTGCGAGCGGGACAAAACATAAACAAGCAGGAGTAAGTGAAATTGTATCGCCGTATATGTCGACGCAGCCAATGTTGAATCGGTATTCAATTCTGTCGGAAGCGAAAACTAAATGCATGAAAGAACTCGTCATCGGATTGCGTCCAGCACACGACAAAACAAGAGGCGTTTTGTTCGTTTTCGGTCGTTCGTCTGTTGATGTTCAACAGACTCCGCCGGAAGCAAGAGCTGCACAGCATTGCAGAACTCAATCGGTCGGTGTCCAACAGGGAAGCAAATAGTTAGCGGCTCGGCCACTCTTGTCTCGTCGTCCGGTCAGACTCAGGCGAGCCTCTTAATATAAGTAGTCTTCCACTCCCACGAACGAAGTAAAAACTTATTTATAATTTCCGCAAGTCTTAAGCTGTAAGGCATTCTGCTAATAAATAGCAAGCCGAAAAATGGACCGGGGCGCGTATAGTCTTAGCCCCAAAAAGGGGCGCGCCTGCTCGATGGCTGGCCTTTATGAAGATGACTCGGCAAAAGCCTACGAGTACGACGACGCCAGCGAGCCCGAGGGGGGGAAATGTGGCGACGGGTATCCGCTTCGTCATTTTTTGTTGTATGTTTCTGGGTTTTTCGGTTTATAAGTGCTCCTGTATCTTCAGTTGAAGCAGCAGCAGCTGCCGCTTGCGCCACCAGTAGCACTGACAGGGACTCTGGCACACAAGCAACGGCGGGACCTGGAAAGAAGCGCGCGAACTACAGGAAACAGATGCGCACGCGCGCGCGCGCGTTTCTCTTTTCTGGGTGACGATGAAGGAAAGCCGAGCGTCTGAAGATGGAGCTCAAGACTTTTAGCAGAAGAAAGACAGACGCTCCTACAACCATGTAGAAGGCCTCTCCTGCAGGGTGGTGCAGCCGATCACATTCTTTCGAAGGCAGTTAATTCACGATAGAAGGAGCAAATATCAAGAAAATACTCGTAGTTGCAAGTTTTGGCCGGCGCTTTGCCAGGAGATGCGCCACGGTTATGTAGTTATGAAAACTTCTAGTTTTGGAAGCCATGGAAAACGAGACTTTGGACTTCTTAGTCAAGAAAAAGCTGGGCGCATTTGAGTACTTATCTATTATATATACGTACAATCATTTGATTGGTAGCTTGCTATGGGTACGTATGTCTCCATCAGACGCTCGTCAATATAAGGAAGCTTGTCTGGATCGCGGATGAAAAGAATGTGTTCGTAATGATTTTCTTGGTTCAGTCATTTTCAGTGTCAAAAAGTTTGTCCGATTGTCGTTTGAACGCCAAAAAAAGCAAGGCGTTGTAGTTCATAATTATGTTTATGATTTTTGGGAACCTGCACTGAATTTTTTTAATTTGATTACAGAGCTTCATCCACATCAAGTGCCGAATGCTATGATATCATAAATGAGTATCACTTACTGCTGTATTCGAACGAAAAGGAAAACGATGCCACGCCGCTTTGCTATTTAATTTATTTATTCAAACAATAACATTAACAAATCTTGAGATCATTTCATCAGATGATTAATTTGTGTAGCTGTAGTTCATCTTCTTGTAACAACGACTAAGACACAGTCACTCAGCAGACAAGACGACACTGTATTTTCGTCAGACATGGAAACGGAAAGTAACAGAGAACATTCATCTGTCACTATCACTTGGAATCTTCGTTCATTTCAGACCGACGTGTTCAACCAAGCTTTGCAGAGCGGCTCAAAGATTCACTTCAAACGAAACATCGGTGAAAAAAGCTACTTGCTTAGCGGTTGTAGAAGTTCACTGTGAATTTCATGATGCGCAGAGCGCAAGTGGTAGGACGATTATCCTTCTGTGATGAAGGTGTTGAATGATAATAAATAATTACTATTGCAGACCAATCTCCATTAATTATTGAGTCATTGGCAGAGTTCGTTGTCAAGCAAGTAGTTGAGAGAGCTGCTGGAACAAGAACCAACACAAAACACGGCATTTTACTAGAGTCTTTATCTTCTAAGACCGGACAAGACCACAAACGAAGACCACCTTCAAATTTCAAGCGTGATTGAAGATACAAGATGGGTAAAAACAGCGGTTGGGGCAAGCGGCCCAACTATGGGGTGCGACATAATGACGGCAAGCGACATGACAAAGGCGTCCATCACAGCGTAGACAATGCCGCGAAGTCCAGCGGGTTTTCCAAGTCCAATACCAATTCGTCACATGGATCTCACAATCGTTGGGAGTCGAATCAGGGGAACGGTAAGTCGGTCGCCGTCGATTTCTGGCGCAATACTGGCACAGCAAATTAAGACCAACACTACATATACATAGATAACTCAGTGAGTGTCATCCAACATCCATTCTCATGATTTTCCTCTTCATCGTCCCTCTCAGATTTCGCTTCGGAATTCTGCTGAGAAGATAAAGTCAATACGAAACGAACTAAGTCTAGCATTCTAAGCAAATGTCACACGCAAGGAGCCGGGGCAAAAAACTGTTACAGAAACGTATCGCAATCAAAGTTACAGCAGTCTCTGCAGTGGCTTTCATCAAGGATGGAAGACGAAGAAGTAGCGCTTCGGCCCCTATGGAGTTGCGCCAGTAACGGACGATACAACTTGTATGTAAGTATGCTAGTAGCAACGTTACCATTCAAGACTCTATTTTTTCGTTGGCTTCTTCTTTTTATTTCCATTTCAGCTCGTTTTTGCTTGATTTCGTTGTTCATCTTCTCAATTGATTCTTTGCGAGCATCGTGCATCAACAGCGTTAAATAAAGTTGTAAGTGTACTATTAGCAATAGCATGACAAGAGTATCCCACCTTCTGAGTCCAAACTGATGTCTGGGGACAAGACCACAGTGTCAGTCTATGCTGGTAGTACCAGGGCTAGCCGTGGTTACCAAATTTGCAATTTCACATGCAGAAAAAATTCAAATATAAATGAGAAGTAGAAGTAGAATCGTAAGACTGAATCTGAAAGGGTAACGAAAACGACCTAGCATCTCCAACAACTTACCACAGCTGAAAGAATTTTGTATTTTTTGGCGCTGATTAAAGTTGATGGCTTTTAAAACAGAGTGTGAACGAGGTTGCCGGCTTGCTCTGACGCTAGAGCATTCTCGAAGCAGAGTGGCGAATCCATCGGGCAAGTGTACTATGCTGAAAGATATGATGAGCACGTGATTGTGTTTAACCACTCTAGATGTTCTATAGGTTTCCTACATGAGAGATCAGGATCCACGGTACATCAATGGTATATCCATGACATTGTATCAATGATGATCTGTGTCGAGGTATTCTTGTCGTCGGGCTTCCCATAGCTTAATAATGGTGAACAACCGATCGCGACGCGGAGCCCACTTTTCTACTGTAGATGGATCGCTCCAATCGGTTGCTGATAATCGTTGCTGATGCTGGCGATATTGTGATTTAACTCTGCCAAAGGCTTTGTGGAGAAGGTGTATCTTCCTGGAAAGTTTCGGGATTAGGAATGCCCAAATTAATTTCGACCTTTTACAAGGTTCTTATGTAACGACCAGAGACTTAGAATACATTCGAAGAAATAGATAACTATTATATGGGAAAACACAATTCTGAATGCACCGCTTGCGTCTGATATATATAACTTCTACACTTAACTCCCCACCCTTCATAGTACTTTTGTCTCAATTATAAGATCTTGAACTCATTAATTAAATGTCGTGGTTTTCTTCTCCATATCCAAACACACCCTTAGGAAATGAACAAAATATAAAAATGTCCTCTTGCAATGCAGAAGCGGAAGGAGGAGAGCTCTGAGATCTGAGTTCTCTCAAGATGCAATATCTTTTGTTTTTTGTTAGGAAAATCGTTCCTTGAATTCTAAGGCTCTCGAGAGACTATTATATGGGAAAACGTTGATGTGTGTCTCTTTCATGAGGCGAACTCTCTTCGAGTATAACTTCAGCCTTTCATTCACCAGTCTCGGGAGAATAGGATCAACTGACATTATAATATATATAACAAAGTTTGAATAACAAGCGACTAAAAAAGTTTATCTCGAATTTCAATTTTTCCATACTACAACGACATTTAAATTAACAGTTCTACTTTTTATTCTGTGTTTTTATATATATTATAAGAGAAAAAGTATTGCCTAAGATGTCGTTGTCATTTGTTGAATGAGATAAGCAAAATGTCGGAGAATGCGAAGAAGAAGCCGGCCTTCGTTCGGCCCAAAGGGCCAGGGAGGTCCAAATACGGTCTGACATGGTGGGGAGATCAATTTCTGAATGCGTTCAATGGAATTGACGAAGCTAATCGTTTGCCTCGCGGTGTCACATACGCAAATAATGGCTCCTGTACCGGCATACGCATAGAGGATCACAGCGTGAGGGCCTTCGTGCAGGGGAGCGACATTCAGCCCTACCGAGTGGAAATCAGTATGCGCAACACATCATATACTGTAGAAGAAGTTTTGTCGTCTTCAGTTTGTATACACGGAATGTAAAACCTAGATCAGGGTTTTTCGAAAGTTAGTAATTACCAACATGGAAAATGTGAACATCAGACGAGAAGGCCTGGGTGAGCCCGTACAGCATCAACACATATTGGATCAAAGTTCTTCTACTAGAGGTCGAGGACGAGTAACTACTTACTTCGAGTGATTATTTATTCTTTTGTCTATCCATGCATTCTTTTCTCTATTTCGACTACGGGTGTACTCCGCTAATACGCTATTCCAAGATTTCGTACCCGAGAAAGCGCGCGTGCGACAGCTCTTAGAGTCTCAGGGGCCGTTGATTGTCTCAAAGCTACTAAATCGGGAATTACCGGAGAGCATCCTCGAGTGCTTCAAGGGGAGTAGCAGTGGCAGTTTTGTTCCTTTGCGTCTCTTTCCCCGGTCTTGGGGTGAGATGCGAGCAAAGTGTAGCTGTCCTGATAGCGCAGTTCCCTGCAAGCACATCGCTGCGGTTATTTTTCTGACCGCTGGAGAAATCGACAAAAACCCGTTTCTAGTGTTTCAAATTCACGGCATCGATGTGGAAAAAGACATTCTTTCCCTGTTGCAAGGTCCACAGCTGACTGCCACCGCGCTGGCTAAGGATGCATTGGCGGGCAAGCCATCTGGGATTCCCGCGAAGAGCGGCGGGAAAGTAGTAAATGGTAAACGCAAGAATGGTGCACATGCACAGTACGACCAGCCGATAGTCAGCACATCTGCAGGACATGCTGCGTCGATAGGCCAGCTGCCGACACTGGAGGGATGGGACGAACAGGCAACAACATGTCCCGAAGTAGATGCGCAGCATGGCTTTCATAATGGAGCAACTTCATTTGATTTGACGAAGATCGAAAATTTTGGCGAAAAAATCCAAGATATGTTGAAACCACAGCCTTTGTTTTTTCCCAATGCAGACTTTCGCGTTTTATTACATGCGGTGCAAAAATACTGGGCGAAGGCTCTGGGCACTGGCACAAAGCGGCGGTGTTCTGCGAATGGCGAAGTCTCCATGCACGAAAACGCTGGAGAAGCACGTGCAGAGATGAGCTTCGGTCGGAAAAATACATCGCAGGCAAAAGCTAAAGCGAGCAGCAAGATGAAGGGAAAAGCCACAGCGTCATTGGCACTAGCGAGTTCGCACGACTCGTCTGCGTCCTCTCTGGAAGGAGCAACCGATGCTCGATGTGAGACTTCGTCGAAAACCGATGCGATTGGTCAAAAACACAGCGCCTTGATGCGTTTTGAGCGTGTACAGCTTTGCATCGACAGCGACAACACCTTTGTTTCTTTCGACGGCAGCCACGGAGACACAAACGAATTCGAAAAAAATACATTCACGGCGGTTGGAAGGCACGGAGGGGGGTCCGCAGCCATTGCAGCCTCGGCGATTGTCGAACCAGGTACACGAAGTTCTACCTTTCCAGAGCCACAGCTTCCAGAAGAAAACCTGTCAGATTTAGAAGGTTTTCGGACGATTCTGGAGAACACGGGAGATACGAGCACGACAGGGGGAGCCTCCTCTGCGGATCAAGTTGAAGCAGGCGTTCCTACTATTTCGGACACGTGTGAAAGACTCGAAGAGCTCCTGGACTTTCTCGAGTTTGATGTCACTGTAGAGCAGCTGAACGGCCTTTGCTATGACTTGCAATTTCTGGCTCGCTTGACCCGCTACGCGAGCGCGTTGGTACGTAACTTCGCGGTCATACCACAAATTTGTTCTACAGATCGCGCGCGTCGTGGTGTCTTCGTTCGCTGGGTACCAGCGCTTCTCACTATGGCGGCTCAGGATCTGCACGCATCTTTGGCGGCGTCGTGTCCGCGAAACCTTCTTAAACTCAGGCGGCAGACGCGTAGTGTTCCTGCTTCAACAACTCGCAGCACAGCGTCTACCAATCTGAAACGCCAGTCTTCTCCGAATGATCTCCAAGATGCGCTTTCCAAAAGTGACGAGTTCCTATCTCCAAAAGAGCAGATTAATAGTCTGGTCGCCCTGGTGTTGCAACGCACGCTTCCGGCCATTTGTAAATTTGAGCTCCCGACTGCCGTGACCAAATACTCGCGAGGTGACCGCAAGGACATCCTTGGTCTATTCTTCGACCTAAACCACGCTATCCCCAACAAGAACAGCCCAGGTGAACCCGTCGGTCGCCGGTTTTGCGACGCGAACGCAGAGGATTACTTTCAGGTGAAGGAAATTCCGAGGACCATTCACATTTGGCTTTCACGTCTCTATATCAAGGAAAAGGACTACCGCATTCGACTGCTACTCAAAAATAATCTATCCTCTTCGACAAAGAGCGCTCCAACAGGAGCAAAAGGACCGTCTAGCGCGAGGAATGATAGCAACGGTGAAATGTCCTCAACAGGAGATACTTTTGCTCTTGCTGTTGAGGTAGAAATGCTAAAGTATGAACCGCAAGCAAAGGGCACGAAGAGTACAGCTGGCTCGGCCGCAGCCGAAGCAACTCTGACGACCGCAAGGAGTGCAGTAGATGTCGACGAGCTGCATCAAGCTACGGCTGTTGCATCTTCAACATTAAGTAAATCGAAGGCTGTCGCGCTTGCGCGTTTTCTAAAGATGCAGACGCCGTATTTGATGGACGTGGTCGGGACCCTGAATCTGCTGTCCGAGTACATACCTGGTTTTGAGGCTGCTATCGCGAAACTTGGCGGTGAGAATTATACTGCTGCAAGTGAGACACTTTCACGGCAAAAGGAGGCGGAACTCAAGAAGATCGAGCGGACTGACCCGGAGCTGGCGGAGGCGATGCGCGAGTCGCTTTTAGACGAGCTTCGGCGTAAAAAAAAGGGTGCTGCTCAAGGACGTGGAGAGAGCGACGCGCAAACGGCAAGATTTCGACATCAGGAAGGTGAGCTGGAGATTGCGAATCAGCCTGCATATGATCTGATGCATTTTCATTATTCCCAGTTGAGTGACATCTTCATTCGAGCATTTCCGCTACTAGAATCTCTGGGTGTGAAAATTGTTCTTCCGAAGCAACTGCGCAAAAAAACGCGGCCGCGACTGACTCTCCGTGTCGTCCCGGAAGAGGCCGCGAAAAAGGGTGCCGACGATGGTGGAGGAGACCAGAAACAACACGAAGATGCTACCGCAGTGACTGCTGGAGTGAACGGATTCGCTGATCTAGCAACTGGACTAGCTTTCCGGTGGACGGTTGCTGTTGGCGATCGCGACGTGCCCCTCGCAGACTTCGAACGGCTCGTTCGCGGCCAAGAAGGTCTGATTCGCATCGAAGAGCAGTTTGTGGTCGTTGATCCCACGGATGTGAAGTCGCTCTTGGCTCGCGCAAAACAAGTTCCCAAGAAATTGAGCAACTTTGAAGTGATGCAGGCGGCCTTGGGGTGTCCAGGAATTCTCGGCCGCGATGTGGATTGCTGTGTGGATGCACAGGTTGCCGAAGCGGTACAGAAAAAGATCAGTTTCCAGGGCCAGCCGCGAAGTCGCTTTCCCTTGTATGCCAGACCCGTGGTAGAGAAGTGTATCCGCGAATTGGCGGGCGAGCTGGAGGGCGTAATCTATCCAACGATGATGGAGGTTGCGTGTCTACATGACGGACAAACGTTTGACGCAGAAACAGAGATGAATGGTCTCCGCCGGGCCGATCAGTACCAAGAACCGCTGGTCAAGCTCGTGGTACTTGCAGAAGCGAAGGAGAAACACTTCCGGCAAGTTGCCGCAGCGCACAAGGCTCGGCTAGATCGCGACACTTCCAAGAGCGAAGCAGGTGATGTCATCCCAAGCAAGAGCGTTGAAAAGATTAGTACTGCTTTTCCTCAAGGTTCATCTTCGGTCAGTTCCGCTTTGGGAGCGTCCGGCTTCCCGGATTTACTGCACAGCCATCGAAACGCTGACTTACTGCAGCGGCTACGTGGAAACATGAGGATGGGTGGCGGCGTGAGCCCTTCGTCGGAGTGTGTAGATACAAATCTCGGAAAGTCAAAAGCGACTTCGTCCTGCATAAGCCGCCTTTCGCCCGCGTCTCCTCTGACATTGCGAGTTTTGTTCGATCGCATTGCTCGCTTTGGTGTACCGGAAGAAGAGATGTATGTGGCCAATCCGATAACGCGCGCTCGCATCGATCGTAAGGCGCCTCCTCGGCTGAACTTTCGGGTGCAGAACGTGATCGATGCGCTCGAACCGCTGATGCCGTCTCGAGACCTCGCTGGGCCTGCCTTTGGCGGCGCCAGCGCAATGAAACTGCCGGGTACCGAGCGCGAACTACCCGAGAGCCTAGAGCGCTTCAGTGACGAACTGCTAAGCAGCGTGTTTCACCAGTTACGGCGAGCGTGTCGAGACGAACTCCCCGAAGGAGAGGGGCCAAATGTTCGCTATAAGGAGTTGAGAGGTATTGTAGACACCTGTGCGAGCGATCCGAGTGTGAAATCAGCAGAGGCTGACAATCCGGACCTCCTTCTAGGAGTCACCACGACGTCAGAGGAACAAGAGTCCTCAGCGTCTTCAGCGTCGGCAGCAGCCGCCGCATTAGAAGTTTCTGCATCCGGGAATCAAAATGGTACTCCGGCAACATCACCGAACGAACAGTTTCCGGTCCCACAAGACCTTGTCGCCGAACTGCGCGATTATCAGAAGCGCGGTTATCAGTGGTTATGCCACAACATCAGCTTTGGATTCGGAAGCATACTAGCGGATGACATGGGCTTGGGAAAAACGCTGCAAGTTTTGACTTGTATTCTGTTCTTCCGCAATCTTCTCGCTGCCGCAGAGAAAAGAGTGGGACGTCGATTCCCATTTCGGGTTCTTGTGGTGTGTCCAACCAGTGTACTTGCAAATTGGTGTGCTGAAGCTGCAAGATTCACGCCTACGTTGCGGGTGCACTGCCATCATGGATCAACGCGAATCGCGCAGTTGCGGGACGCTTTCAAACTAGGAGGCAATAGAAGCGCAAGTACGACAACTACGACGGCGAATGCCAGCGCATCCACGCTGGCCACTGCTGCTGCCAAGGCTAAAGCGAAAGCGGGCGTTATGAAAAGACAACCAAAAGCGAAAGGAGGATCGAAAGCTTCAGCCTCATTGTCTAGTGCAGCTTCACTTACAGCCGATGGACAAAGTGCAGTCGGAAACGGACAGAGCACAACTGACCCACAAGGCGCAGGAGATGAGCCGGAAGTTGTCGTCACATCTTTGGGCACCGCGCGGACGGACGTCGCGGCATTGAGCTCGATCAACTGGTTTCTATTTGTCCTTGACGAGGCGCAAAATGTGAAGAATCCATCGTCGCAGCAAACCAAAGCCATAAAATCGATCCCGGCCCGTCATCATATCGCCATGAGTGGCACTCCGGTTGAGAACCGTCTGCTCGAGTACTGGTCAATTTTTGATTTCGCAAACAAAGGCTACCTCGGCGCTACTCCAGGGGAATTCAATCGCAATTACGCGCGGCCAATAGAGAAGGAAAGCAGTCAGGAAGTGTTGAAGCAGTTTCACCGTGTCACCAAGCCATTCCTTCTGCGACGATTGAAGACGGACAAAGCGATCATCCGTGATCTGCCGGACAAGATCTATTGCAACGAGTCTTGCGCTCTCACGACTGAACAGGTAGCCCTCTATGAGGCGCTAGCAGAGCTATGTATGGGAACGCTCGAGGGGCGACCGAAGAAAAAGCAGCCGCTTGGAGGCGCTTTTTCTCTCACCGAAAATGTAATCGTGGATTCGACGACAAAAGAAAGCGAACAACGACGAGGAGTCGCTGGCGCTACAGAAGACGGTGGCGCAGAAGTAGTGACTGCAGAAGTCGCGAGTTTGGTGGAGAGAGCCTTCTACGCAGAACATGTGGGCCCGACTGGCGTGAGGGCACAAACTGGTGGCACCGGAGACGAGGAAAGCCCGCAGAGGAAAAGACGACGATCATCCAAGCAAGACACTGCGGCCGCGGCAGGAGGCTCGTCTACGTCTAGAAGAAGAGGCTCCACCGAACAAGACGACGTTGCCGCGTCGTCTGGAGCGGACAATATGCTATCGGGCATACAACGAAAGGGGATTGTTCTAAAAATGATTAATGGCCTGAAGCAGATCTGCAATCATCCATCGCTATATTTGAAACAAAACGACAAAGAGCGTTCGGGCGAAAGGCCACCTTCTCCACGGCGTCGGAAGATGAACGCGGTCAGCAAGAAGGCTTCTGCGACACTGGCGGCATCTCTGACTACTACTGGCAGTAAAAAGCCTTCCGAAGAGTCGATTGCGCGATCCGGTAAATGCGAAGTGCTGATGCAAGTAGTTGAAAATATCCTGAATGGAGATCCTTCCGACAAGCTGCTCATCTTCACGCAGTATGTTGGGATGGGCGTGTTGTTGCAGGCTATGCTGACTGCGCGCTTCTCAGATGCCTGTCGTGGTTCGAGGACAATCCCCTTTTTCCACGGCGGTTTGAGTGCTGGAGAACGAGCGCGCCTTGTGGCCCAATTTCAAGGTGAGGACCCACACCCACTCTCAAGCACTACATCAAGTTCTTCCTCAAGTTCCTCTACAACAAATCTCTTCAGTGGAGGACAAGCACAAGCAACAGGAGCTACAACAACCCCGCGTGCTCTTGGTCCGCGTATTTTGTTGATTAGTTTGCGGGCAGGCGGAACGGGACTTAACTTGACGAGAGCGTCGCACGTTATCCACTTCGATCATTGGTGGAATCCGGCTGTTGAAGACCAAGCGACGGATCGCGCTTATCGTATCGGGCAGACCAAGAAAGTGTTCGTGTATCGTCTACTAGCCGCTGGGACTCTTGTTATGGTGGATGAGTATGTAAAGATGCGTCATTTTTTTCGTAATTTCTTTGATAAAAGAGTCTCAATCTATATTTTCTTGACAGTTCTTGTGTCTAAATTCGAAGACCGCATCATGACCATGGTGTCCAAGAAGCGGAGCCTGCAGGAACGTGCTGTCACGAGTGGCCCAGAAGCATGGCTCACGGAAATGAGTACGGAGGAGCTGCGCGACCTAGTCTCTCTGTCCTCAAACCCAGCGGGAGGAGAGCAAGGACGGGCAAGCACCAGCGCTAGTAGTCGCCGCCGCAGCTCGGGCAACGCATTTGCGGACGTACGAGTCGTGCGATCGAGAGAGGAGATGCGATTGTAGTAATGATGTGATCCAGTTTAGGACTTAGGAGGTAAACCAAACAAAGCGCATGTTGTCAAGCAAGAAAGCCACTTTTTTTGTTACAACGAATTATCCGAAGCCGCTACATCAAGGCGGTGGCTCAACTACGCAGTTCTTTCTTCTAATAAATCGAAAGGTAAAATTCACCACGAATTTTTGTGGTTCTCATTTTCTTGTAGTTCAGGCGCGAAAGCTCGAGCGTCGCCGACATCCGTACTTACAGTGTTGGTGTTCTCGAAAAAAGATCAAGACAAGATGAACACGCTCGATACAATGATCACTACGTATATGTAGATGATTGCGTTGTAATTATTGACCGAGATACGTCTAGGTCTAGTGAATACCCAAATAAAATCATATTTTTCATGAAGAAAAATATCTTCTCATGAAAAATATCTTCTTGACCACAGGTAACGCATTTCTGTTTGAAATTTCTTTTCCTCCCTCTCCTTCTTTTTCTTTGATGTCCTTGAATGACAACTAAATGTATCTAGTCGTAATCGCAGAGGTTTGATGTTACACCTTCACCTTGTTTATTCTTCATTCGTAGAAGTCTACTTCCACTACAACATTTTCATGAGTCTTATATATTGCCAATAGGTTGTCAGGAATCAGAAATCATGGCAGCAGTGACAGTTTCGTCAGGTGCAGCTGCTGGTGGCAAGAAGAAGCGCTGGGGGGCTTCGAAGGGTGAGAAGAAATACGCAACCACTGCTCAAACGGATGGTTCTTGTGCTGACCAAGAAGGACAAGGAACAAATGGTGCCCATCCGGCAGTACAGGCTCGCGCTATACAAGAACAGTCGGACGGTGGTCTCTCGCTAATTACCGGTAACAATCTTCTCGGTTCCAACAATGCACTCGACTACCTCGCACAAGGTCTTGGCGGGCGCAGCGCGCAGTCCCAGGTACTCGGGGAGGCAACTACAGGGTCCTCTGCGGCACAAAGTGAAGCCAGTCTAGCGGAGTTTTTGACCCTGATTCGAGAAGACGAGCACTGTTTCTGCCTCTCAGAAGCGGTATGTCCGCGTGCTGACCAAAGGCTATTCCAGGGACTTTTGAAGGAGCTTCAATTTCAGCAAATGTGGATGTCTGGAGGCACAAGATTGCATAGACCGAGTCAAGTGGGCAGTCAGCGTCTCTTCGACGAGTCGCCAACTTACATTATGACAACGGGCATTTATAGCGGCTGCGACTATTCTCATATAGACACTTTTGGAACTTTCTTATTAGTCTGATTCTTATTGTTCTTCTGTAACTAACCTCCTCCCATAGCAGGTCTTTAATTCCCCTTTGTTTTCGTTTCGAGGTGTGCTGCAAATCTTGATTGGCTTTCACCCTTTGGTGAAGGTTTAGGCCCTGCGGCGCTCAAAGCACTAAGTAAGCCAACCGGTTAGTTTTCACCTCGACTAAATTAGGCTTATCCCGAGCAACAATATTTATATATAACTTAAAAATCTTTAGTAGGACTAAGTACACAATTAGTAAATGCCATTCCGTCATCACCAGCTCAGGTTAATGTATCGGGTGGTGCTATCAGGTAGTAAATGCTGACGCTTTTCCCAGCATTTTGATTATCATGATAATGATCATTTCTCGTGGTTGTACATGTAAGTATACTCTGCGCCTTCATCTGATCTCCTCTCTTCATTCCCTGGCGCATTGTCCGGTTCCTGGTACGGAAGTTCCGTTTGTCCGATCCCATTCGCAGTATCATCAACCTCTACCGCAGTGGGGACGATTCGACATCGCTTCATCGAGACCAGTACTTTGGGGGTACCAATTTCACCTGTGGTGTGTCCTTTGGCGCCACCAGGCACCTGGAATTTCTGCAGGAAACGGATTACCAAGCACAGGGAGCCAGCGCAGCCAACATTTCTGCCATCAGTAGCAGAGGAGGAGCAAGCAAAAATGCCGGGGGAAAGCGGTTCATCTTTCCCCAGCACAATGGAGACATTTTTGCGTTCTCAGACGTGCTGAATTCGAGGTGGAGGCACTCAGTGCCGAAAGAGAAGAACGCGGGACCTAGGATTTCACTCGTTCTCTTCTGTTCGCGACGCGGAAACTCTGGTGTGTGGGACTACGAGGGAGCAGTAGCAAAAGATCCTGAAAACTTCCATGTTCGGATATCAGACGCACCACACATCCTTGATCATGACCCGAATAAGGCACCAGCATAAAATTCGTTTGTTGATTTCAGGTGTCCCATTTGCTTGAAGATACATAGCTGAAGAGACCTTCCGCTTCCAGATCGATTCCTTGCTTCATTCCCATCATTTTAACAGAATTTTAGACACACGTAACATCGTGGGCGTTATTGTGCTTTCTGGCGATCATTTCTGATTCGTGTATCCTGCACTATCTCCGCGGTCGTGGCAAAGAAACCAGCAGTAATTGGCTTCTCAAAACGTTGGTCTGCCAGAGTTGACAACATTTAACTAACTTGATGTCCTCTTGAAGTTCCTGTGAGTCGGTACAGAGCGACATCCGAAGTTGCACGTCTATAATCCACTGAATCGGTTGTACTACTTATTTTGCAGAAAACCGTTGGTTTTACAATCACAATCGGTTCCCAGCTAGTTAGACAAGAAAGAGTGTCACCACAGGATCACCAACAACTCCTATGATCACTCCAGACCTACTACGCTCGCCGATCCTTATTTCTTCAACGCTAGCAAGCTTATTGTCTCTATATATAATAATAATTGTGAACTGGGTATGACGGTTACGGTGGTAGATGCAAAGCAATGACAGATTTATGGCAGTGATAGCTAGAAGATCTACTTGTTGAGTAAATACATTTATACGCACGTACTTAGTTGGTTAGCTGACTGACTTGCTTTTCGACGTACTCGAAGGTGACAAGAAAGATGCCGAGCGAGGGCTCAAAGAAACTCTCGACGCCGAGCTCTCACACCCCAGGGCTTTCCGAGGATTCGGATCAGCTGAGGTCTGGAGAGCGTCGTGCTTCGATGGGGGGCCGTTCCTCAGAGAGCAGCGAAGAAGAGGAGGAAGAGAAAGGTGATGTCATCGAAGAGGAAGTGGAAGACGAGGATGCAAGTCCTTTCCTCGGTTATTCACCGCGAACACTGCAGAGACACTCGGCGCACATACACTATGCAGCAGCCCTTTCGCCCACTGCAGTTGGGAGGAAATTTGTCCGGGACGAAATATTGAGGCAGGGGTCTACTTTTGGTTTTATAAATCCAAAATCCGCTAGTACTTTCTACTTTCATGATCCAAGTTCGGAAGTTGTTGCTGTACTATATGTATACTAGCTTGGAGCGTCCGATAACATCCCTCCCACTAGGATCCCCCTCCTCCCCAAAGTAAGAAACTAAGCAAGGCAACGACGTAAGCGATATGCGTTTTCAAATTTCGAAAATTTTCCACGTTTTGCCATCGTTTGGGGATTGGGTCTCGTGCGTTTGAAGTCAAGGGCTAAGATCCCAAAACTTTTCGACTTTCAGCCCTTTCGCTGAAATTTAATGCATTGGCTTCGCGTTTTTCAAATTTCGAAAATTCTCCACGTTTTGTTGTCGTTTTGGGATTGAATTTTGTGCGTTTGAAGCGCTAAAGTCCCTAAATTTTTGATTTTAAGCCCTTTCCCTGGGATTCAGTTTCTTGGATTCGCGTTCTTCAAATTTCGAAAATTTTCCACCTTTTTCGTCATTTTGGGACTGAGTCTGTTGATTTTGAAAGGCTAAGATCCCAAAACTTTTGATTTTAAGCCCTTTCCCTGAAATTTAATTCCTTGGATTCGCGTTTTTCCTATTTCTAAAATTTTCCACGTTTTTCGTCGTTTCGGGAGTGAATCCCCTGAGTTTGAAGCGCTAAGGCCCCAAGGCTTTTGACTTTAAGCCCTTTCCCCCGAAATTCAATGCCTTGGCTTCGCGTTTTTCAAATTTCGAAAATTTTCCACATTTTGCCGCCGTTTTGAGATTGAGTCTCGTGAGTTTGAAGCGTTAAGATCCCAAAATTTTTGATTTTAAGCCCTTTCCCTGAGATTCAATCGCTTGGCGTCGCGTTTTTCAAATTTCGAAAGTTTTCCACCTTTTTCGTCATTTTGAGAGTGAGTCAGTTGATTTTGAAGGGCTAAGATCCTAAAGCTTTTGACTTTAAGCCCTTTCTCTGCAATTTAATTCCTTGGATTCGCGTTTTTCAAATTTCGAAAATTTTCCACGTTTTGTCGTCGTTTTGGGATTGAGTCTCGTAAGTTTGAAGCGTTAAGATCCTAAAATTTTTGATTTTAAGCCCTTTCCCCCGAAATTCAATTCCATTGCTTCATGGTTTCGTGGTTTCATGGTTTCGTGGTTTCATGGTTTCATGGTTTCCCGGTTTCCTGGTTTCCTGGTTTCCTGGTTTCCTGGTTTC